TAGTTTGGTAAAAGATGCCCAAAAATTGCTGAGGAAAAATCATTCCTTAAGAATAAAAATTGGCCAAATGGTAGAAGAGGTACAAAGCTTCACTGGAGAAAATAACTCCTTAAATATTAGAATTGGTTAACAGGAAGCTGATAACTTCTTGAGGCATCATGAAGTAATAAAATAAAGTTAAAATAATCCAAAAAATAGGAGGAAACTTGAAATATCTCAGGGAAAACAACTGGCCTTGTATCAAAGGTGAGATAATTGAAGAAACCTCAGAGAACATCTGCTTTGGTCCTCTCATCCTGCAAATGAGGAAACTGAAACCTAGAGAGCCTAAGTGACTTGTCCAAAGCCTGAAAGGTAGAATCTTGATCAGACTCTCTAACTTTCTGTGGTGTTACACTGCTTGTTTCGACTTCTTCATCTTTGAATTGGGGCCAGTGATACCTCCCTAACTGGTTTATTGTGAGGAGCAAATGAGATAAGGTATGAAAAACATTTTGTAAACCTTAAAGCCTATATAAATGTGAGCTATTATGGTATACAATCCATCTTCCGACAAAAGTCCAAAAGCTCCTCCCTGAGAAATCTGCAAGATCTTGAAAGTCTGAATGATGTATCTATCAACACACTGTCATTTTGTGTGGACGTTTTGTACCATAGTATTCAGCTAATCAGCCCACAGATTTCATCTTATCTCTTAATTGTCCTTTCCTCCTAGATCATCTATAAAACACTGGGCTGTGCCTCTAGCTATCCGTGATGTTAATGAACCCTAACCAGCAGTCAAGGTCAACCAAAAAATGTGTTACCTTCCTATACTTTCAGATAACAGGTCAAACTCTTCTCATGGCACTTATGTCTCAATAGCTTACTCATTGGCTTTATTATGAAGGACCTAGTTACAGGGGTGAGGAACTTTGGGATTGGAGGCCACATGTGGCCCTCAGGTCATCAAGTGTGATCCTTTGACTAAATCCAAAATTCACAGAACAAATCCTCTTAGTAAAAGGATTTGTCACGCAGTTGCAGGTACAATTGCCAATCTTAAGTGACAGTCTTGTTTTGCCCAAATTCTGACTTCTTTCAGCTCTGTACTTCTACTCTCTTCTACTACCTTCTACTCTGTTTACCTAGACACCTATTCCCATTTCTTATGGCCAGCCACATCACTTCATATGCTTCAAAAAACACATCGAAAGTATGAAATATAGGCAGAGAAAAAGCATGAACCTAGAGGGCAGTTATCAGACTAGTTGGTTGTGAGTCTCCAGCAAAGGCAATAAGAATATTAATTGCATTACCCCTTTCACGTAATGGTTGTGAGCAAAGTGCTTTGTGATCCTTATAAACGGAGTTATTTAGCTTTGTGATCTTTTCTTTTTCCTTTTTAGGCAATTGGGCATAAGTGACTTGCCCAGGGTCACGCAACTAGTAAGTGTCAACTATTTGGTCTGAGGCTGGATTTGAACTCAGGTCCTCCTGGGTTCCTCAGGGCCAGTGCTCTATCCACTGTGCCACCTAGCTGTCCCTAGCTTTGTGATCTTGAGGGTGTTACTCAACTCTCAGCACTATGGCAGATTGGACTACAGAACCTCTGAGGAAGTTTTCTCATTGGGAAGTTCCTCATATCAATGAAATTATAGGTACAGTCCTTAGCCCCATCCTTATTTTTAATAAATGGTGTTAGTATATTTAAATGGACTTTGTAGGAAGAACTAATGGTGGTACATCAGTCTTTTTAAGTTATCCACGTTAGTCTTGAACATTGAACAGTGAGAATCATACCTAGGACAGGTTGAGTGGGGCTTCGCATGAAGATGCCAACATTTAAACATAGTTATACTTCCTCAGTAAGAATATTTCTTTAAGGAGCCAGCTAGGTGGATAGAGGACTGGCCCTGCAATCAGGAGGACCTGAGTTTAAATCCAGCCTTAGACACTTACTAGCTGTGTGACCCAAGGATTAACTTAACCCCAATTGTCTAAAAAAAAGGGGGGGGGAAGTTATCCAGTGGCAGCTTCTTCCAAATGTTCTTTCCCAAAAAAAGTAAGTGCCTCCTTGACTCAGCATAATCTCACTGTGCCCCTTTTTCCTGGTGGTGCTCTCTCCTGCAGCAACCACATGATTTTCTGTCATATCTTGGGTTCTTGGATCTCCCACTATGGAGCAATATCTCAAGACCTCTGTGCTACATAGATAGGGTCTTGTGTCCTGAAGTCCAAGGTCTCTCCCTCTTCCCCTAGATTTGAGGTCTGCTTCCCACCCTTAACTTCTTTGCCCTGCACAACAGAATTAGTAGTGATGGCTCTTGTCAGTAACTTTAAATCAAACATGAAAAGCAGTAATTTAGGCCCCCAAAAGGGCAGAGCTCTGACAGAAGTGACAGTGAAAGCTGGCTTTCATTCCTGCCATGAAAAAAAATTAAAATGACTTTTGCTTTCCCAAAGAAAGCAATGATTTGAAGTGAACAGGATCTTCTTCGCTGCTGAGATTGCAGAGAAATTAGACAAGTTTTCTCTATAGCCAGGAGTCTCAACTTGGAACACTTTGAACTTTTCTCTCAGTAAATGCTAATGCTGCCCCTCAGTTAATATAATTATGCTTCTGGGATTGGGATTTTATTGAGCTCGCATGTTGTTGTCCTGTCCTGTTGGAAGGATCTAGTTCCTTGCTGTAATTCTTCATGTATTATGAAATAGGTTTGCTCTTTGCCAGGAGAAAGTGAGCCTCCTTGGAGACAATGTTCTTCAATGTTCTAGCAGTTTTTATCTTCCTGTCTTGGGCAATTGCCAGAAGAAGCCTTTCTAGATCCCTTTTAATGCAGGTTTCTACCCTCTGGTTTATCTCCAATTTATCTCATATATGTCTTATTTGTATATAGTTATTTGTATATGAGAACTAGACTGTGTATTCCTTGAGTGTGGATTAATTTTTGCCATTGTATCTATAGCATTTAGCAAATTGCTTGCTTTAAACTAGGTGCTCAATAAATGCCAATTGACTGATTGGCAACTAAACCAGTAAGCCTTCTGTGTTAGCCCAGCGTCTATGACTCTGCTTTGGTGTGAATGAGGCATCTTGGGGGGCCACTTCCAGCATGCCTGCATATCCCAGCTAAAACCCAGCTTCTACAAGAAGACTTTCCCAAATCCCTGTTAATTTGAATAATTCCCTGAAATGATTATTCCCAATTAATCTTGTAAAGAGATATTTGTATGTTGTCTCCCTCATTAAACTGTAAACTCCTTTATGACAGGGATTGTCATTTATTTGTATCCCCAGTGCTTATCACAGTGCCTTGCACATAGTAGGTACTTAATCAAATATTTACTGACTTGTTGAATGATTAAGAAAGGCAGAGAGAACACTTCATGAGAGTGATTACAGAATTTAGAGCACAAAGCAACCTCTGAGGCCAGATCCAAATGTCTCTTTTTAGATAAGAAAACAGATTCAGACAGGTTAAGTGAAAGCATAGTCTGATACATGTAGAATCAGGATTTCAATCTAGCCCTTAGCACTCCAAATTCAGCACATCATGCTGACAATGTGATGACTTAGGAGGATTAAATTACTTGACTGTGATCTCAAAGTTCATTTCTATGAGAATATGATGCTCTCCTCACCAAGATCCCAATGAGGTATGTATCATCTTCATTTTGCCCAACGAGGAAATTGAGTCACAGTGGTAAAATAATTTGAATAGTCACTTTGCTAGTAAGTAATATCATAGATTGAGGGCTAAGGAAGGACTTTAGAAGCTATCTAGTCCACCTCTACCCATTTAACAGATTAGGAAGCTTGTGTTTAGGAAACATGCCCAAAGTTACACAATTAGTGTTAGAGCCTTCACTTAAACCCATGTTATTTGACTGCAAAGCCAGGGCTTTACCTTTTAGATCTTCTAACTCCAAATCTGGCATTCTTTTGCACTCTACATTGCTACCTCTCAGATCTGCTGATTCTACATTCTGTGTTGTTGCCACCAATCACATTTACATGCCTTATTTAGTATATGCTTTAGCCTCATGAGGAAGGGAGGGAAGGAAGGAAGGAAAGAAGAGATGAAAGTGAAAGAGAAGGGGGGGAAGGAAGGAAAGAAAGAAGGAATGAAGGCAGAGATAGACCCAGAGACAGAAAGAAGAAAATGTAGGTAATATGAGTATTTTCTTTTTTTGTTGTATAGATTTTATGTAGCTTCTAAGATAGTAGGTGGATGAAAGAAATAGGTATTTGGGCATGGTGCCCTTACTACAACTATACCACTTCCCTCATATTAGAAAAATGAGTACTCAGTTTATAGTATCTGCTATCATCAAAGAGTCTTCCACACTTGGGAAAATGTGTTCACCTTTTCTAACCCCCACACTTGGGATCAGCCACCAAGGGCAGCAACATGGCGTAATGGAAAAAGTGCCAATTTGGTGATTCCACTATGGATTTTATCATAGCTATGAAACCACAAGCAAGTCACTTCCCCTTTCTAAACCTTCATTTCCTCACTGTAAGAGGGGGAATAATTAATATACCCAGTCCCAATGTCCCCAGATTGTTGAGCGGCTCCAATGAAGGGCGAAAGAAGGTTGAGAGAGACTAAATTGTGATGCTTAATTCCCATGGTTATAAACAGTGTGCCCTGATTTAGCCTTTCTGGTCTCAGGTTCCTCAAATGTACAATGAGAAAGCTGTATTAGGTGACCCTTCCACCTCCAGGTTTATGATTGTATTATCCCAGGTATAGGCTTTGTGAACTTTAAAGAGCTATGTAAATGTCAGCTCTCATTACCTCAGTCCACTAAAGCAAATTTCTCATGTTCCGTGATTCCATCCTGAAGGTGAATGCAGTAAAGAAAACTTTTATCTACTATCTTCGCTGAAAGGCACTTAAAAAAATTCTTCCAAATTTTCTAGGTCCTCTTGATTAGTTGTGGCAGTAGAGTGTCCCATAGGTCTCATGGGGTCTAAGCCCTTTCCATTACCTCCGTTGTTTTTTTTTTTTCAGTTCATAATTTGAGACCTGCTGATATCAAGGTGATAGGAGCGCTGGGAGACTCACTAACCGTAAGTCATTTGGATTGGGGGCAGGGGAATTTGGCTGGCTGGGTTCAATACAATTTAATAAGCTTTTGTTAAGTGTCTACTGTTTTCCAGACACTGTGCTAAACTGTGCAGATGTATAATGAAAAAATAACAGTATCAGTCAACAAGGAGTTTATAGTCTACTGGTGCAACAATAGTGTGTATACAGATAAGTAAATAATAAAATACTTTTACCAGGTAATTTCAGGGTTGGGAGGGGGATACTATTAACTCAGATATGAGGAAGAGGAGCATCCCAGTATAGGTGACAGCTCCTGAAGAGGCTTAGATATTGGAGATTAAATGTTCTGTACAGAAACCAGCAAGCTGGCTGGTTAGGCATGAGAAAAGCACATGTAATAAGGCAGGAGAAGCCAGAGAATGAAAGGTCTTAAATGCAAAACTGGCATTTTGTCTTTTATTCTAGAGGTAATACGGAGCCACTGAAGTTTCTTGAGTAGGGGAGTGATGTGGTCAGACCCACGCATTAGGTTTGGGCTAGGTTGAGGAAGTCTTAATATGAAACTTGGAAACAAAAGCTTATTCCAGAGCAAATCCCTCTCAACTGCAGTAGTTAAGCCTCTTATACTTTAAACTTCCAAGGTGTTTTCCTTCATCCCTACCATGCTGTTCACATCAACCCTCTGCCACCGTCAGTTTGTGGTACAGGGGAGGAAGGTAGTTTTGAAATCTAAAGCTTGGATAAGGGAGATAGGGATTAGTCAGGGGGTATAGAATGATAAGGAATGAATGGTTAGCAATGATAATAATCATAATTATAATAGCTCATTTATATAGTTTATAATTTGTAAAGTTTGCAAATATAATTTCATTTGATCCTCACTATTTTCTCTCTTTTATAGATGAGAAAAGTGAGGTATGAAGAAGTCAAGTGAGTTGCCGAGGGTCACACAGGTAGTCAGTGTCTGTCAGATTTGAAATCCGATTTTCCTAAGTCTAGGAGTAGTGCTCTTACCACTACACTCCTAGGCTGCTTTGGTAAGCAGGGTGTTTGGATGACGGGGTGATTCTAATAAAATTGTACCAAACTCTTCATTCACTCTCCTCTAAAAGGAACTTTACCTGCCACCTGTACCTCTCCAGGTGCTCTGGGAGAAAACTATGTAGACAGTACAGATTCATTCATCTGGGGAGTCCTTAAGTATATCAAGAAGCAGCTCAACATGGGAAAAAGCCCCATCCGTAGAAGGGAGATTTCTCGGCTTATTTGTACATTTTTCCTGGAGATTCATAACTCCTCTGATAACAGAGGTCTTCAGATGGCAATTTGATACCATTTTCTCTGCTTTGAAAGCCCTCCCCAAGCATGGGCTTAGATACACTACAAATGCCACATTGACCTCCACCAGGCAGAAACAGCTGAATGCTTTTCATTAGATTTCTGAGGTTTCCCCCTTCATGGTGACAGGCAGCTCTTACCCAAGCAGAGGGAACAGTGTGAGCTGCTTTGGTTGTGGGCCCCTCCACTTGTTGCTGCCTCCTTCTCTTCCCCCTCCCGCCCCCGCCTTCTTTACCATCCTTTCAGGCTGGGTAATGAGTCACCAGGTTTCAGCGAAGTTTTATAGGTTTTATTCTGGATGATTGCCAAGGAGTTTCTCCAATGAAGCAACAGCTCCTGGCATAACCGGAACAGGGAAGCTAGGTGATGGAGGAAAGAGGCAGGAGTCCTGGGGAAAACAACAGATCTGAGCTTCCTCCCTCCCCTCCTCTATTTAGGAGATCAGATTACTCTTCAAAGCACAGCATGCCAGTTTTGAGTGCTTAAAAATATGTAGAATGTTCCACCTGGGAGAGACTCCACAGATCTTAACAAGGGTCTTAACCTTGTATGTGTGGTCGACTCCCTTGGCCATCTGCACCATGGCCTATGGACCCAATTTACAGAATGACATTTCATTACCTACATTCATGCTATATTTCAGTTGTCAGTGAAAACGAAGTATTTCTTTTTTCGCCATACAAGTTCATGGACCCAAAGAAATCTGTGGATCATAATTTAAGAACATCTCACACCATCCAACGCCCTCATTTTACGGATGGCAAGACATAGGCAACTGTGTCCCCCAGTTAATTTGTGACAGAGCTATGACTAGTTCATGGAGTGCATGGCCTGGAGTCAGGAAGACCCAAGTTCAAATCTTGCCTCAGACACTTAATAGCTATATGACCCAGTTAACCCTGTTTCTCTCCATTTTTTTCATCTGTAAAAATGAGCTGGAGAAGGAAATGGCAAATCACTCGCGTAGCTCTGCCAGGAAAACCCCAACTGCTGCCACTAACAGTCAGACCAAAGTGAGCAGTAAACTTAATAGCCTCAGGGTTTTTTTGCAGTAGTAAACAACAGAGATGGCATTAAAACTCAGATTCTATTACTCCAACTTCCATTTTCTTTCCACTGGATCCTACTTTGAACTTTAGCTAAAGAATTGGCCCCACGCAGGAAGACAGCCCTCGCTCACATCTAACCCCCACCAAGGTGTATGCTTTGAGGGGTTATTAACTTCTCTGGTAGACTGTAACTATTTGTAGTGAAGCATGACAGGCCTGGCTAAGAAACACTTGTATTTTCCATTTTGGACACCAAACCAGGACAGAAAGGTCAAAGAAAAGTTTGCTTCTTGCAATTTTTAATTCTTTCAATTTATGGAAAAGAAATTTCTTTAACATGGTATAAAAAAGATAATTACACAGGAAACTGTAAATCTATTATGTATAACTTGCTATTCCTTTTTTTAAAATTCCTTTTCAATACATAATACAGTTAACATTTAAATTTCTCATCCTTTTTTCCTTCCCTCCCTCCCCAAGAGATAGCCACCTTTAGATAGAAATAGAGGGGTGTGTGTGTGTGTGTGTGTGTGTGTGTGTGTGTGTGTGTGTGTGCTGTGTATACATATATCAGTAACTCCTGGAAAGTATAAATTGCAAAGAAGATACAGACTTCTATTGGTAGAGAAAGTTTCTCATAGTAATGAATATGAAGGTCCAATTCCTCTCCATCTCTAAATGTATTGGTTGACACATTCAGTCAAAGAATTTGACCTGGGGAGGACAAAGGCGAAACACCAAGTCCCAATATGGCAAATCATCGCCTCCTAATATACATGAGCATTTCTTGGATGGACAAGAATATGAGCTCTCTCTATGGAGTTCACTTCCCTTTCTCTCCTTTTTAAATGTCAGGCAGGTAATGGTGCAGGATCCCAGCCTGGCGATATCATTGATGTCCTAACTCAGTACCGAGGTTTGTCTTGGAGGTGAGTGTGACACCACCTTCCCCTCTTTGTGACATAAGGAGTGTTTTGGAGGAGCCTCCTCTGGGGGAAAGGGGGAAGGAAGACATGCCCAGATGTTCTTCACCCTGAGCTCAAACTGATGAAATCCTCTTATCACCTGAAAGATGTGATCAGCAACCCCAAGGATTGGGACTGAGATGTGAGCATTAATTTGGGGGCACCAATTGCAGAAGATGGGAAAGCTTTGGCCTGGAAAAATCACATAGCTACTCTTTTCCAGGGCCTCTCACTGCTTCCAAGGATTTCTTCCTATAACAGACCTTATGAGTGTCCTAGACTTCTAGGGACCCTAAAGATGTCCCCCTTCCAAGGGAATCATAGAATTTTAAGAGGTAGAAGGTGCCTCAGCAGGCATCTAGTTCAACCACCTTATTTTACCAATGAGACTGAAGCCCAGCTCTAAAGTGACTTACACAATGTCTCTTAGGCCATAGAAGAGCAGATGAGATTCTGATTCAGGTCCATAACTCCAAATGCATCCTCTCTTTGATGCTATTTTGAATTTCGTGATTTTTGTTTGGAAATAATTGGACTTAAGTGATTTGTCTATGGTCACACAGATAGTGTCAAGTGTCTGGGGCTGGATTTAAACTCAGGTCCTCCTGACTCTAGGGCTGATACTGTATCCCCTGGGCCACCTAGCTGCCCCTGAATTTCATACCTTCTGCTAAGGAAATGACCCCAGGCAGCATTCCCAGCTAACTCCCCACCTGCCCCAGGGTGTCCTCCTCTGCTCCTACCCCCACCCTCCTAATAACTATGTGGAAACTCAAGTGATAGGAAGCCCCTGTGCATCACAAGAGCCTGAAAGGCAAACGGCTTCAAATGCAAAGGAAAAAGTGTTACTTAGTTTAGTCTCTTTACTCCAAGCTCCAAACACTGAGTAATGGAAAGTACACTGGATTTGAAGGCAATGAATTTTGGTTAAATCCCAGCTTTATGCCTTATGACCTTGGACATGACACTTAACCTCTCTGGGCCCCAATTTCCTCGTCTGTAAAACGAGAAGGTTTCAAGTATCTTAAAATGTTAGCTCCAACCTGAACATCTAAAAGTCAGATTTTGAGGAGAGTAAGCAGGAGTAGAAAAGGGATTCTATTTATTGCGAGAATAGGTAAGAGAATGAATGCATATTGTTAACCCAGGGACAAGAAGTGTCTTTTCCCCTGGGAGTGATTCTTTAGAGTGTTCCTGTATTTCTAATTACTGTTTTCTATCCCCACTTTCCCACCCCATCGTCACCTTGGAACAGTGTTGGAGGGAATGAGAACATCACTACCGTCGGTACCCTACCAAGTGAGTACCTGCTGCTGGGGAACTGTGGGACGATTTATACTGCGGGTGGCCTGTGCAACCCAGGTAGCTCTAGTCCAGGCATCTGGCAGCAAAGGGTTATCCCTCTTTCAGGCTACAACACACTGGCTTGAGGCAGTGTTTCCAACGTTGCAACGCACAAATTGCCACCCATGGATAGTGTGGGTCCTGTTCTGGGAACTGTGGAAATGCAGCGCGGGGCAGTGGTCTCTGGCTCTGGTGTCCCACTTCCCCTCTCCCTGCCCTTCAAGCTGGACTGGGCTTTTGGGATTCCCAATGCTACCTGTGACTGAGTATGTGTGAGCAGGTGGGGAGGTAATTTCCCGAACAGTTTCTTAACAAGAAAATGAAAGAAGAGGGCATCAACTCAGCCTAGAGTGAAATGAGGATATTACATATTGCCTCTTGTCTGGGACATAAATGAAGACAGAAATCTAGAAGGAAAGGGAAGATAATGTGAAGAGAGGAAAGGATTTATGAAGCACCTTCTATGTGATAGAGACTGCCTTAAGCACTGGGGATAAAAAGAAAAGCACCTTTCCTCCTCTAATGCATACATATACACATAAACCCAGTCCCTGTTCTTAAGGAACTTACAGTCTAAGGGAAGGAAGGCAGGCATCATTGGAGTCCCAAGACCCAAGTTTTAACCCTGCCTCTTATTTAGTTGTGTTAGCTTGGGTAAGTCAGTTAACCTCAGTGGCTTCATCTATTTATTGGAGTGCTTGCACTTAGATAGCCTTTGAGGTACCTTTAAACTCTACATATAGGGGTAGAAGGAAGGAAGAAAGGAAAACAAGAAAAGAGAAGAGAAAAAAGATGGAGGGAGAGGAGATTGGGGGATGATTGAGGAAGGTGGTGGGAGTATTTACCCCCTTGTACTTAAGAAAACAAATGACGACTACCATCTACAGGGTGGTAATGCTAGAATGTTTTTGGGTGCAATGAAACCCTGGTTCCTGGAAAAACAAAGAGCTAAGACTGATGTGGTGTGTGTACCAAGCATCGTGTAATGTTGTCTTCCCAGCAGTGAGGTGTGAAGGGAGTCTGTTATCTTGATCTCATTCTGCAAACATAGCCGTATTTGGGGCCCATCACAAGCCTCCAACTATTTCATGTTTCATTTTTAAGCCTGACTACAGTCTGTCCTTCCTAAATCGTTTAGCATTCTTCATAAGGAGAATTCTATGTGTACCAATCCTTATTTTTAACCCCCTTTATAGTATTTCTTTGCAAGCTATGATACCTTTAAGCCAATTGAAAATCTGTAATTAAGACTTTGATCCTTAATAACAGAAAATGATGTCATAACCAAGAGTAAACAGAACCGACAAGACCTTGGAGGCCAACCCAAACCCTGGGAATTGAAATAGGCATGATTCTGTGCCCAAATGCATTCCCTGACTTCTTCATTTCAAGGTCTGTACAAATGAGCTATAAATAAGCTCTGGTGTGGAGGGCTTATTTGGGATGCTCTGTAAATGTGAGTCACTGTACAATCAGCATCCTATACAGCATCATTGCTGCTAACCATTTCAGAGTGTGCTGTAGTTTGAATTGGCAGCTAAAGCCCAGAGCAGCTGGTTTTTCCATCAATCATCAGGCATTTATTAAGTGCCCACCACGTGCCAGGCACTGTGCTAAGCACTCTGGAATACAGATGCAAAAAAGAAACAGTCTCTGCTAAACAGTAGGGAAACAAAGACTAAGAAAAGAAAGAATCTTTGTTTTCAAAGAAGTAATGTCTTATCAGGGAAGATAATACATGCACATGTAAGTAAATGCAAGTTATAGATAACTTATAGAAATAGATACAAGGTAATATCTGATGGGGGAAGCAATACCAAGCTGGGGTGATGAGGAGAAAGGTCTTTTGTAGGAGGCAACAATTGAGCTTAGCTTTTACAAAAGCTAGGAATTGCAAGAGGGATGAGGAATGGGCAGGAAGCTCTACAGGCTGTGCTGAGGTTTACTATGAGAGATGGCATGTTTTCTCCAAGCAATAGCAAAAGGACCTATTTCGCTAAACTGTGGAGTTGATGAATAGTTGTGATGTGTAAGAAACCTGAGAAGATAGATTACAGTCAGGTTGTCAAGGCCTTCCAATAGTCAACAGAGCAGTCTGTGCTTTATGCTGGCATCTTGAATAATGATTTGTAGTGCCTGGGTTAAACAGGAACAAAGACTCCTACAATTCAAAGGGCTTTAACCAAAGACGTTGTTCAAAGAGTAGAGAAGGCAAAATAGCCTGAGCAGTCTGAGCCTTGTGTCACCACTGGAAAAAAAAAAACACTGGAATTCAAGTCCGCAGACTTGACTTGGAATTTTGATTGATTTTTGATTTGAGAATTCTGTTCTGCTATTTTGTGTGATCAGGCCTCCGTTTCCTCTTTGGTGAAATAAAGGGAGTGACTGTGACCTACGAGGTCCATTCCAGCTCTGTAATCTGTGAAATGAGGAGGTTGGACCAGAAGATGATGTCTAAAGTAAATTCTACCTCTAAAAGTCTCAACCAACAATCTGAAGTGTTACATAGTGATTCAGTTTGCTTCAACAAACATTCATTAGACTTCTTCTATATGCAGAGTTCTCTGGTAGTAAAAAAAAAAGACAATACCTGCCTTTGTTGATACACATACATGCATTTTGACAGTAGGGAGCATCCTGTGTGGTTTCCCAAATTAAATTCAGCTTTTTTTCCTCATCATATTTAACACTCAGGCTAGCTCATTATACATCTTAGTGCTGGTCCAAGACATTTACATTGATAGATTAACACAATAAATAACACTATAAATCTGTTGTAAGTCAAGACCTTCATTCACTTCTTTTGGCCTTTTTCATCCCCTTGTTCTCTTTTGAATGGTCATGGAAGTCATTAAGGAGATGCTGCCATGTTCTGGAGGTGGGTCAATGTAAACCACCCAAAGCCATTTGTACATTGGTGCATTTGAAGAACCTCACCATCTATAGGGAATTGTGCTGCCATTTGGATCTAGTGGTCAACATTATCACGGTAGTGGTGAATACCTTTTTTAACATGTCTCCCTGTTTTATGCCTCATTTGTTATCAATAACAAGATCATTTGAACAAAATTTCCTTAGTGGTTGTATCTGTGGAGGAATTTATTGTAATTGTCACATATGAATGGGAAATACCTTGTTGAAGGAAGGCTCTTAAGGGTGCCTTTTGTTCTCCCAATAAATTTGCCTGTTCTTTCTTAAAATCACTAAAAAATAAAAGCAGTGGGATCTTGTATTAGCCACACTCCTCAATCAATTGTGTAACTAGGAACATGTGAATTGCTATTGTGAATCATCTGTGCCAGCCTGCTTTTGTTCGCTTCTCATGTTTTTATCAAGGATACCTTGGATATACACTAGATTTGAACAAAATAACACCTACAAGTCAGCAGTTTTCTCCTATTGCCTTTATAGGAGTAATGATATCTCTTCCATTCAGAGGAGTTTTCTCCCCTTTAAGATATGTTGAAAATATTGCCCTGAGTTTATTTATATTTTGGAAGATTTGACAGCTGACCACTGTCTGTTATCTTTGAACTACTGAACTGTATAACGAAATAGGCTTGGAGGCCATGTTTTGTTCTAATTTCTCAAATGTTGGAAGAAAGTAGAGTCTCTTAATGATAGGGTGTGGGCTTCCTTTTCACTGTGGGTCTTTAAAGAAAAGCTGAATGACTACTTTCCAGTAATGTTGTAGACATTATTCAAGTTAGGGTTCTATATGATGGCCTCTGAAGTGTCTTACAACCCTGCGATTCTATGATCTTTACCTCTGCATGATCTTTTTAATATATTTGGTAATGTCAAGATGCCCTTATTGAATTCATTCTTTTTCTTAACCTTTTATTTAGTAGGCTATATTTCCTCACTTACATGTCAACACAATTTCAACATTCATTTCAAAACATTGACTTCTCCCCCTACCCCACCCTCATGAGAAGGTAAGTAATTTGATATAGGTTATACATATGTAGCCATGCAAAACTTATTTATAATAATCATGTTGTGAAAGAAAACACGGACAAGAAAAAATGTTTTTAAAAAGGGGTTTCAATCTGTATTCAGGCAGTATCAGTTCTTTGTCTGGGAATAGAGAACATTTTTCATCATCCGTCCTTCACAGTTGTCTTGGATCATTCTATTCCTGAGAATAGTTAAGTCATTGCCAGCTCATCATCTTAAAATATTGCTGTTACTTTGTACATAGTATGGAGCATCTTACTCATAATCTCTTATAGTACAATAGTCTGAATTCATACTTTTGCGTTCTAGTCATACATTTTCAAGCACCACTTTGAATACAAATGCTCAAATGTGGTGGTTCCACTTTCTGCAATGAGAGGTGACAACTGTAAAAGTACTGGGACTCCCGTTCCATTCCACATCTTTTTGTTTTCCTACTTCTACAAGAAATGCTTTTGGGATGATTTGGTTCAGCTGACCTTTGTGCTAAAACTTTGGACAGACTTGTTTTTGCCTGCTCTTCATTATTTGTGAGATGATTGTGTTTGTTATCATCTGTCATCATCTTTTCAAATTGTTTGAAGAAGAACTTGTGTTCTTAAACCTTGCCCTTGGCTGCTATGTCTCTCTAAGTTACATACTGCATAATTAAGATAATGTATTTGCTGTCGAAGGTGTTTTGTGGGCTCCATTTGGCCTCTTGTTGTGATGACTATATTGATATTTGATTTATATTGAACACTAATAAATGTTTATAATCAAAATTAATGGAAAAAGTATTTACTAATTTTCAGAGTCAGTAGTTTATTAGAGGCCCTGCAATTGTACACAATATTTTCATATATTATTATTTTCTTTTAATTTAGTGTTTACTTTCACCTCCATTCTAACCAGTAAATGGTCTGACTACATGTAGACCATTGCCTTTTTTTTTTTTAAGGCAATTGGGGTTAAGTAGTGACTTGCCCATGGTTATACAGCTAGTAAGTGTCAAGTGTTTGGTCTGAAGTTGGATTTGAACTCTGGTCCTCCTGACTTCAGGGCTGGTGCTCTATTCAGTGCACCACCTAGCTGCCCTATTGCTTTTCTTTTAAGAAACTGTATCTTAATGGTTGCAGCCAATTTTCGTTTTGTCATGCTTGATAGCACTCAACAATACCTTCCAATTCTCTTCATAACTAAATTATCGACACTAAATCCTTTGACTTCATTTATCTCTTTCTCTTGAATCCTACTTTCCAATGTTTTGCCCCTCTTTCTCCTCTGCCTATTTTTGTGGTGGACTCGATGTTTATTGTTGTATACTTTGAGTGAGCTTGACGCTCATGTTTTTAAGTTCTCCTTATAATTTCTCTACTTCAGCCACTGCAGCAGACATCGATTGTTACGTTAAGTTGCCACTATAGCTGTCTGCTCCTTTGCTCATGTTCATTACAAACACGGTTAGGTAAGGTGAGCAATTACCTCATGAAATGGTATTTCTTTTCTTTTTTTTTTTAATGGTATTTCTTATTGCCCTAATGTGAATTATCGAATCAGCCCCCCCACCTCCTTTCTTTGCCTTACCAGTGAGAGAACCAGGTTGTGATGGAAGTAGATGCTTTAGAAAAGTCCATTCCTGTATGTTTCTTGGGACCTAACATTTGTATTTCCAGCATAATTTTTACTACTACAGGAGATACAATTCCTGCCATTTCTATCCCTCTGACATCTAGCCAGTGGACTTTACAAGTCCAACTCCTGCTTTGTAAAGGTTAAGTAACTGAAGCTTGGAAAGGTGAAGTGAGTTGCTCCTGATCGTGAAGCTAGTAATTGGCAGAAGCAGCTAGGTTGACCAATGGATAGAGAGAGTAAGACCTGATTTTGAATCTGACTTCGGATACTCAGTACCTGTGGGAACCTCCACAGTCATTTAACCTCTGTGTACTTCAGTTTCCTAAACTATAAAATAGGAATAATTATAATAGCACCTACCTCCCGGGTTGTGTGGTAAGAATCAAGTGTGATAATGTTTGTGTAAAGTGCTTCGTGAAAGTGCTTTACAGGGTGTCAAAAAAAAGCTATAATGTGGTTTTAAAAAAGCATTTTAGTTTGAGCTATCAAAATTTATTTAATTTAAGGTATTAAGGCTGTTTAGCTTAAGCTATTAAAGTTTAAAAATGAACTATGAATTTTGAGACTCTATAAATTCTAGCTGTTATTTTTAGTAGAGCAATAAATAGCCAGGTCTTCATTGCTCCAACTCCAGCACATTCTACTATACCACATTCAGCTAGGCCCTTGCCCTGCTCTGATGGAGAATATCCTGGGCCTTGTTATATTGCAGATAGAAAGCCAATGTGGTGGAGAGGATAAGGCCCTTGACCTTGGTTTGAATCCTCATTCATATATTTATTTGCTGTGTCACCCTAGGTGAGTCACTTAATCTCTGGGGATCAGCTTTTTCACCTCTAAATTTATGATTCTATGATAGAAGAAGCCACATGTTTGTGTTCCTTTGGGAAAATTGCCTCTGTCCATAAGTTTTTAGCCACTCTTCCTTTTCTCGATTCAATGTTAATGTAACCTTATAATTGTACCCTTCTAGAAATATTTGCCTCACTGTTGTCTTGTGCCAGTACCCCAACTATGCAGCCTGATGTTTTATGAGATCCCCCAAACCCCTACCTGGAGCTTGCTCATTCCTGCTATCCCAGTCCTCTTTTAGCAATAACTTATAAAAAATTTTTTTTGTTTCATTAAATATTTCCCAATTGCATTTAACAATCCATTTTTAAAGATTTTGAAGTTCCAATTTCTTTCCCTCTAACCCTTCCACTGTCCTTGAGAAGGTAAACCATTTAATATGAATTATACATGTTAAGTCATGCAAAACATTTCTATATTATCCATGTTGCAAAAGACAACTAAAAAATAAGACAATAAATATAAAGTTTTTTAAAAAGTATTTCTCAATGCACACTCAGAATTCATAGGTTCTCTCTCTGGAGGTGGATAGCATTTTCATCATGGCTCCTTTGGAATGGTCTTGGGTCATTGTGTTAATGTGAGTAATTTCAGAAGTACTTTCAGAAGTATGCCACGTGATGCTAACTTAAAGTCTTTTACAGTTGATCTTCTTTCAAATATTCTAGTTATAACCTTTTTCAGACCTTAGACCACCTTTATTTCCATCTTGTGGTTCATTTTAACTGTTCCCTCTCACCATTTCTATATGTCATGCTCTTTAAAAAGCTGGTTAAAGGGGCAGCTATGTACTCAGTGGATAAAGCACCGGTCTCCCCTGGAGTCAGGAGGACCGGATTTGAAATCTGCCTCAAACACTTGACATTTACTAATTGTGTGACCCTGGGCAAGTCACTTAACCCCACTGGGTCCCCCCCCCAAAAAACCAAACCAAAACCAAAACTGGTTAAAATGGTCGTCAGTTAGGGGTAAGAAGGGCCAGAGCCATGTGCCTTTCCTAAGTAGATGGGATTTCTTTTATTTCAGTTTAAGGTCTATGATCATAGATTTGGTGTTGGACAGAGCCTATGAAATCACCTTTCCTAACTTTCTAATGAGATGAAGTCCACAAAGGTTGAATTACTTGACCAAGTTCACACCAGCAAGATCCAAACCGAGATCGAACTCTGTTCTCTCCTAGAGCCCGGTCACTCTGCCTTTTGCTTCTTTCCTTGTACCCCTCAATATCTGCTCCCAACATTTTCACCACCCTAAGGGCATTCTTTGTGTGCCATTCCTTTTGAAGCAAGAAATTCGGGGTAATCTTCCCTTCCTTCCTCCATTTCTACTCCAAGTTCAATCGATTTCCTAGGGAGCTTTCATGCAGAATTCATAAGTTTGCTCTTATGTTTGTAGACATCCTCAGGGAATTCAACCCATCCCTGACTGGCTTCTCCACTGGCACTGGAAACCATCTCACCACAAATGCCTTCCTAAATCAGGCTGTGGCAGGAGCTCGAGCAGAGTAAGTAATGGCCTTGGGGGCACTGCTTGGCAGCTTCCTGGACTAGATTATGGCTGCACAAGGGAGATCTGGGAGTATCAGGATAGTCAGAGCATTCACTTTCAGGGGATCCCTTGGCTCATTGCTGGAAGCATCTTTAGTGTGCATGTGTATTATATGTACGTCATGTGTACACATGCGTATTATGCTTTTGGATATATTATGTTTCTATGCATTTTGTGGCTGTGCATGTATGAATGTCCATCCATATATTATATATGTGTTTCATATGCATAACTTGTGTGTCCAAGTGTAGGAGGCAGGGGTTTCAGAGTGGAAGTCAGAGGGGGAAGGAAGGTGTCTTCTATATTTTCTTTTTTTTTTCAGACATAACCATTTATTTAACAATTAGGCCAAATAAATTCCATAGATATTAATGTTAAAGCAAAAGGCATAATCACAATACACGTCACGCTCTCTTAATACACACCATAGCCTGCTATTAAATGTGCATGAAGAAACAATTTTCAAATGTCCACATTCAGATGGACAGTTTTGAGACTGAAAATGACCTGTGCATAATTTTTTAATGCTACAGCACCTCACCTGAGAGGTGGTGAAAACTAGATACACATTAGAGGAATTTCAGAGAAGCGGGTAGACATGGGAGTCAAACACATGGGCTTAAGAGGAAAGCACAACTTTGGATGGCAGTTCACCCTCATCACTTCTCATCTTCTCCATATGAAGATAGCATTTTTATAAGCCCTCATCCTTTAAAGGGAGTTTAGAAAACCTCAGGTTTTAATAGTATTAATCCTTCTGTTTACACCAGGAGGACTGCAAAATTTAATCAAACTATCTCCAGCCAATTATTCACTCAAATGATTGCTGCCTCATCCAGTCAGAACAGACTTCCCAGCCACCGAGCTGAGGCTGACCTGGCTAACAAGTTGTGGAAGCCTTTCTTTACCTGCTCAAGCAAGAAGGGGCAGCCCAAGTATACCAGCTGCCAAGGCAGAGTGCAGCAAATGAAGAAAAGTATATTTTCTATAGTTATTACTCTACTGCTAGAAGAAGAAGAATCAGAATAAACTTAATTTCTGCAATGTGTCCACACCTTTTTTTTTTTTGGTCACTGCCAGTTGCTTTTATTTGAGAGGTAGTACAAAGCATGCTGGATTTGGATTCACAGGACCTGGCTTCAATTTCCACCACCTCCACTCACTCACTGACTACGTAAACTTACACCAAACCCTTAACCCCTGGTTCAGATTTGCTCCAGGAGACCTTTAGAATAGATCTAGAGGTGCAGTCACCTGTGCTAACATGATCTACCCAACTCTTCACCCTCTGTACCATAAAAGGAACAGTGACACAAGTCAGTGGCTGACAGGTTTCTGGCTCAGCTTTTTAAAGCTTTGCTAGGAATTCTGTGATTTCCTTTTATAGTGGATTGATCTGCCTGTCTATTTGGTTTAGGCTAATATTGAGAATCTCCTGCATTCCCTGAGCCCACACCAATTGAAAATGTTGAAGGGGATGACGCCCTGATGCCTGCTTGGCCCATGAAGCTGTGACGGGATTAAATGTTTCCTATAAAGAATCAATATCTCCAGCAGAGAGTACACCTGTCTGTAGTTATATTAATGCAGTGGATTTCAGTATTAATTTTTTCCCCCAAACTTCAAAAGCACTTTATACTCAGTACTAGATCCTTGTGAGATAGATTTGTAATTGTTTCCCCATTTTATAGATTGAGGAACTGAGACATGAAGAGTCATCTCAGTGAAGCTAGAATATCTATGGAACATGGCCTCTTTTCTTTTGGGGCATGGTCCCTCCTTGTACAAGGAATTCTGGGGATGAACCAATTTGTTTAATAAACTAAAAGTTAGCTGAGTTGAAATGGTCAAAAGGTGAAAGTAGTATTTCTTCCTAAGATGTGCATGTATCAGTCTATCACTGACATTTACATAGTATTGCAGAGTTTGTAAAGCACTATCGTATTTGAGCTTCAACAACCCTTTGAGGTAGGAGCTACAGGTATTATTATCCTCATTTTATAGAAGTGGAAACTGAGGCTGAGAGAGACTAGAATTATTTGGCCAGGGTCTTACAGTGTCAGGGTAGGATTTGAACCCAGGTCTTAATCTCTACTTCAGCTTTCTAAATCCAGCTCCCTACTACCTCTTTACACAACAGAAAATACTGCTCACCTACTCTCCTAAATCTATAGGCACTAAGAAGCTTGTTATGTCCAAGATGGCAGGAGCAGAGTATGTGGCACCCTTCATGTTACATTTTGAAAGCTTAACTTAGAAAAACAGAGAGAAAGCTATAATAAACTATGCATTGACCCAAGGAGTGGCAGAAGAGACTACATAGGGATTTCTAGTCCCATCCGTTTGTTCTTTGTGTTTTCACCTTCCACCAAAATTTAGGTGCACCAGGCACCCTCTTTCCAGATCCTCCTTTTGTCTACATGCATCTGGACTCTGTATATCTAACTTCTCTCTGTTATAACTTCCCTCTTTCTAATCCCAAGTTATCATCACTACTTCTAAAGTATCTCTCTTTCTGTGTTGTTGTAGGGATCTGTCTAGCCAGGCTAGAAGATTGGTGGACCTGATGAAGAATGATACAGTAAGTATGGATTCAGTGAATGACTGAATGGTGCCTCTGAAGTTACTGATTATGGAATGCCTTGAATAGAATGCTAGGCCTGAGGGTCAGGTAGAGACACAGATGAAGGCCATTTGTGGGATGGAGCAATGGACAAATGGATGAATAGGTAGCAGCCTATTTGAAACTTAAAATGAATCCTACATCTGTACAAAAAGCTTTCCTGCTCTCTTCTCTGCTGTCATCAAATTAGTCCTGTTAGCCCCTGTTAAAATGTTTTCCTGGGGCCACATCAAATAGATCAAAGAAATAATTAAGAGGCTATGTATCTATTTGAGAAGCATCACGTAGTAATGGTTGGAGAGCTAGAATAATACATGAATTCAAGACCAGTCTCTGCCACAAGGTGGCTGTGTGAACCTGGGCAAGTCATTTAACTTCTCCATACTACAGGCAACTCTCCAAAAGTATAAATTGTGTAATAGTTGCTGATCTGCTTTGTCAGAGAGAATCTTTTCCCTTGTGAATTCCATATGCAAATGAAATCCCAGGTCTGTCAAAAAAAGAATATTCATTTTGTTGTACATTGTTGAAATGCTTGAATAGCCTGTATTGTCTAAGTGTTTAAATTATTTCAGCATTCCTGCTACCATTAATGTAGTCATTTGTTAGTTTTTCCCCCTCAATTCTTTTGCACCTTACCCTCTTTAAGGAAGACAGATTAGAGAGGCCAAGGTTACACAGAGCTGATACAGCATAAAGGGATAGCAAGGGCTTTGCAGAATTTTCCCTACCGTCCTGATGGTGCTCTGTCCACATTCTGGAAATGAGCAGTTTGGTCTAGAGAAAAGATGGAGCCCTCCCGACCAATCCTGTACCCACCACACCCTATTTCTTTGTGCTTTCCAAGGGAAAGGTGTTTTCAACTCTGGCAAGCAATCCAAAGTGTTAGCTTATTTAGCAAGGCTGGATCTTTCACTGTCTTCTGCACAACCCCATGCACCCCACAGTCTTAGTTCTCAATTAGTATCAAATTGTAAGAATGATTACAGCCCTCTAGGTTCAGTGGGCCATTTCCGAAGGACTTCAATAGGAGTTAATGCCTTTCTCCTTTCATTCAAAGTGAAAATCTTGGTTTCTAGGACACTAGAGAACAACTTCTTCCCAACCTCCCTTAAGGTTGAAGGTTCCTTTCATATTATCTCATAAGTCTCTGCATGCTGTAATCTCCTGCCAAATTATACTCTTCCCATTATTGGTAATTCCTACCGCACCCTTCATCCTGGCTGAGCTCCAGAAACAATGACTCTGGATGGGCATCTGCATTCACGTTAGGGCATGTGTCAGTGTTCGAGGGAGTGAGGGCTGCCTGGGTGATTTGGCAGCCCTGAGCTTGGCACTGGCCTGTTTACTGGGTGTAGCTGATTAGAATCACCTGCAGGACCAGTTGTCATGCCCAATACACCTGCTCCAGCTACTGCTGCCAAGCCTTTAAGGCCCACCTGTTTTTTTTCATCCCCATGACATGGCTTCAAATCCTGACTCAACCACTTGGTACCCATCAATTCTTGGGCAAGATATCTACCACACATGTAATGTATTAATGCCATCCAAAAGTAACTGTATAAAATACCATAACACATATGACCACAGCTACAGCGTTGTTCAATAATTTTCAACGTCAACATGATCAATTAACACATCAAATCGTGACGTATGTGCTCACCAAAGGAGTTTGCCCACTGTCACCAGGGTGTACAATTTGCCTTTTGATGGAGAGTTCCTCTCACAGATCCTGTTGTTTTCAACCAGCATCATGCTGAGTGCAGCAAGATTTTTCACACTATGGTGCCTTCTCAATGAGATTCGGACACAAAAAAAAAAGACAAAGAGCTGAGAGATGCATTGTTCAAATTATTGCATGTGGTTCAGGGTCAATTCACTAAAGCAGTCCATCAGCCTATACAGATCGACATTGATTTGGGCCCAGAACTCAACGGAAAAGGATTGATTTGGATGCCATTTGGTCCATGGTATAGAGTTTTTAAGTGATACCTAACTGCTTGCTGCTACAAAAGCCAACCTTTTTAACACCAACATTTTGTGGTGTTAATTTATGAAATTATCACTATCATGGAGTAGCTCAATCTGAGAAAGAAAATGCTTCCAGGTGACCCAAATGGCAAAAGGATAACTCATGGCGAGTGTAAATAGAGTTATGGAGTGTGTTTGACAAGGATGACCTGTGCATGCCAAGTAGCATAAAAGAAATAAAAGGTATGTGAATGACTGTAGCTGGCAGGGGAACAGTCCTGTGGTGAAGTTGAGAGACAATAGATAAGCAGAATATTAATGCTGGGAACTATGCTAGGTGGCACAGTGGATAGAGTTTTAGGCCAGAGCCAGAGATCCCTTATTTCAAATCCTTCCTCTTGACACTTAATAGCTGTGTGATACTGGGGAAGTCACTTAAAGCTGTTTGCCTCAGTTTACTCATCTGTAAAAGGAGCTGAAGAAAGAAATGCCAAACCATTTCAGTATCATTGCCAGGAAAACCGCAAAAGAGGACATGACTGAAACAGCTGAACAGCAAAACCACAGAAAGAACTCATAAAAGACCTCAGGTTGAATCCATCCTCTGTGAGGATCTGATAGAAAATCATGAAAAAGCTTTGCAGTGTGTATTGTACCAGTGGAGTGAGCAACCACAAGGAGATGACAGCATCTTTTAAATTAGTGAAGGAATTGAGCTTTGACAAGTCAGTTAATGCATTTTGAACCTTAATTTCCTTATCTGTAAAGGAATGAGATGTACAGGATGATATCTAAGGTTTAGAACTCTAGAATTTTTTGATATCGTATATACCTAAGCGTCCAAGACCTAGCAAAACTCAAATATCTGTCTCCACTTTCAGTACATAAAGTTCTGAACTGCAAAGTTAAACCTATCAGCCTTACCATAGCAAGATCCATCTGGAGTTGAGAAGTGCCCCATAGTATTATCTAGTCCAGTGTTGTCAAATTCAAATGGAAACAGTGGCCAATATTAACATTATCTATGTTATTGTATTTTTATTGTTAAACTTTTTCCCTTGATATTTCCATTTTGTTATAGCCTTGGTCTGGATTGTTTCTTGCCACAATGCAGCCTGCAGACATTCTACACCATTGATTTAGTCCAACACCATCATTATATAAATGATATTCAGAATGAATGTAGTGGCTAAAGTGGGATTTGGAATTAGGAAGACCTGGGTTCCAATCCAACCTCAGACACTTAATAGCTATATGATCCTGGGCAAGTTATATAATCTCTCTGAAACTTGGTTACTTCATTTGTAAAGCAGAGGGATTGGACTCAGCCGTTGAAGTCCATTCCAGATCTAAATCTGTGATCCTACAAAAGTGAGAGCCCCAGAGAGGTTGGGTAATTTGGCCCAGTTGATGAAGGTAATTTAGGAGCACTTTCAAGATTTAAATTCAGGCCTTGTGCCATTTCTTGTTTGTTGATTGAATGGCTCTTATTATTACTGGGTTTTCAAATTCATTTTAGATTTAGTTAGTCATTAAGGTCATTAAACTTCTTGCTTTCTGCTAAGATCATATTGCTCCTGAAGGCTCAGCTATTTCTCATTTCACCTTTTACTATGACTTGTTTTTGTGTGTTTTGTTCATTTGCTTTTAAAATCTTTTCAGAGCATCAATTTCCAAGAGGATTGGAAGATAATAACCCTCTTTATAGGAGGAAATGACCTCTGTGGCTATTGCAATGACCTGGTAAGTCCCTGTTCTCTATGTACAGAACCTGGAACCAATATTCCACTCTCAGGAAAGGGGTTTCCATAGCCTCTGATTAGCAGATTTGTGGAATAGCACAGTTGGGTTTGGGATAATACAGGACTCAGGGCTCATTGCACCTCAGCTAGTCACGTATACAAATCCAATAGTGCCCTCCTAGCCTTGTCATTAACAAGGAAATAGGAAGGTCATTCACCTCTAGGTAGATAAAACAGGAATAGATATCATAGTTTTGATTCTGATAACTTTCTATAATGGCAGTTTGATCATATCTTGCTAGAAAACGAGATAACATTTTGGTGATCATGGGAAAGCTTTAATTTCTTTATTAATCATGATAAACAGACAAAGGATTCCTCCCTTCTACTCTCTTGCATTCCATGTCCTTTGTGCCCTCTCCACCTTTGTGCTGCCTGTTGAAATAATATATCAGGTGAGAATCATGGAATCTCAAAGTTGAAAGAATTTGGCTGAGAGCTCATCTCACCTAAACTGTCCCCTCCCCACTCCCCATGTAGGGAGTCCCTTCCCTCTACAATATCTCTTAGAAGGGGCTCATCCTGTTCTCCTTGAATACTTTCAGCGGCAGGGAGCTTAGTACCTCATAAGTACTAACTATTCTGTTGTCATTATTTCCTTTTTATTGAACACAAATCTGCCTCCCTATAACCTCACATACCCATCAATATTAGCTATGCACACTTGCACAGCATGGAGGCTGCAGTACCAGATTCAGATCCCACTTATTGCCTATATGTCGCTATGGACAATGTCAATCTTTCTCAGCCTCAATTTCTTAAACTGTAAAATGAGAACATTCTCTTCAATACCTGTATCTCAGGATTATTAAGAAGTTCAAATGAGATGATACAAGGCACTCCAAAGGTCTCAGTGTAGTTCTGGGCTCACAAGTAGGGTTGGAGGGATTGAAAGTGATGCTAAACTAGTATGTACTTAGCAATTCTACTCAGTCCTCAGATAACAGTAAAGAGCAGAATCCAGGAGAGAAAAGTGGATTTTGAAAACTGTGCATCTATCCAAAGAGTTAAGAATCTTGTTTCCACAGGTTCGCTATTCTCCTCAGAACTTTTCAGGAAACATTAGGAAGGCTCTGGACATCCTCCATGAAGAGGTATGGAATCCATGTTTTATATTCTTAATGAACTTCTGCCTTCACTCTCTTGGTTCATACCAGCCCTGCATACCAACTCCAGTGGTCTGCTGCAATGGAAAGAAAGCTGACTTTGGAGGCAGAAAACCTGGCTCCCCTTCTGCTATTCACAGGTGACCTTGGACAGGTCACCTAGGCCTCATATTTCTAATGTAGGTCCTTATTACCTTATGCTATTGCAATAGCATATTGGTTCGTCTTCCTGATACAAGTCTCTTGCTACAATTGATCTTCCTAAACCACCCATCTGACTATGTCATCTCCTTACTCAATATACTCCAGTGGCTCTCCTGACTCCAGGCCTTTTCTTTGGCCCTTGCTCCTCATTTCCTTCTCTTGGCTTCCCTGGCTTTCTTGAAATCGGAGCTCAAATCCACCCTCTTCAAGTAGCTGTCCACAATCTTTCTTAATTCCTATTTATATTTTATCTTATAAATTATAAATAATTTATCTGTACATAACTTTTTGCATGTTTTAAGAGCCGTGTTTGTCTTTCTTTGTATCCCTAGTACTTAACACAATGCCTAGCACATAATAGGAGCTTAATAAATTTTTATTTACTGATGGACATCAATAAAATGATGTGGGTGGACCTGATGATTCTCATGGTTCATTGTAGTTCTGTTCTATTTTGCCCCACAGCTTGAGTAGTTTTTATTCTGCAGTAATTACACCTCTGATAAACTTCATAGGTCACAAAACTGCCATTTGCCATCCTTAAATCATTACCACCAGGCATTTGGACTGGCAGACAAATCTAATGGCTGACACAAAGTCACTGAGGATAAAGGAAGGAAAGCAGAGAAAGCAGGATAGAAACAATAGGTTCAGGGTGGTTAAAGGTCATTGGCCTCTATGAAACGAGGCACACTTCCAAGGGAGGCCAAGCCTACGATGTCTTGACACACAAATGAAGAGATCTACGTAGCTCCTCAGAGTTCTTTTGTGTCTGAGTCCAGAGGTTTTTCTTTGAATCCTAGCTGTCATACTTACTATCTATGTAACCATGGACAAGGCTTTTTACCTCAGTTTTTTTAGCCTCAGTTTCTTTATCTGTAAAATGAGAATAATACTTGTACTACCTATCTCATAATGTTGTTGTGATGTAATAGAGGCAGCTAGGTGGTACAGTGACTATAGAGGAGTGCCTGCAGTCATGAAGCCCTGTTTGAATCCTGCTTAAATACTTAGTTGCTATATGTATCTGGATAAGTCACTTAACCATTCCTTCTCAGTTTCCTGAGCTGTATAATAAGGATAAAATTATAGCATCTACCTCACAGGGTCATTTTGATGATCAAATGAACTAGTATATTTAAAGTTCTTTGCAAAGTTGTATCCAAATTTTAGCTATTTTTGTCACATGAACATGCATTATTGTAATCACTACTCTACTCTTTGTGCAGGTTCCCCGAGCCTTTGTGAATCTTGTAAGTGTGCTAAGAATCGACAGCCTGAGGGAGCTATACCAGGAGGAGAAAGTTAACTGTCCAAAATGGCTACTCAGGTATGGAACTCTGTTCCCCCAAAGACTGAAAGAGATTCAGCCTCATGAAGAAAATTGGCCTTGATCATTCTTTCTGTCTCCCACCTCTTTTTGTTATGTGTTTTCCAACATGTTTGATATATTCTTTTCTTCCTATTCCCGAGCCAATACAGAAATGCCTCTCTCTTATCCCAACTTTCCCCCAGCCTCCCCAACTCAGAGGGATTTCTTTCCTGAGCCCCTGTGCCCTGGTTGGCTGAGCTTGAAATGAAAGCTGCTGCCTCTCCTGTAGCCACACAAATTCCATGTGATGTCCTGGGTTGGGTGGGGGGGTTCCTCTCGGTTTCATCCCACAGCACCATTTGCCCTTGTGTGGTGAGCTCTGAAGACAATTCTACGAAACTCGCGGAACTCATTGAGTTGAATAAACAATACCAGGTAAGATTGAAGGGAGGCAGATTGGCTTAAGGGATTAGGGTGAAGGCATTTTCCAATTCTGGACTCCTCAAAGAGCCCTTCTAATGCTCAAGGAAATTTGACTTTGGCTCAGGAGGTAAATACTGCTGTGAGCTGTTTGGATATAAAGCTCATTGATTCTGAGAGCTGGAAGGATGCACTCAGTCCCATCTCCTCAGTTTTTACAGCAGCTGAAGTAGAGGATCAGATACAAGAAGTGACTTGCTGAAAATTCTAGGCTGAAATGGGAGCAGAAATGGGATCTTCTTGCTCCTGGTAAGGGATCTGTCCCACCACCTAGCCCTGCTATGCCTCTGGACAGTATATCCATTAGCTGCTAAGATTTGTGATTCTTATGTGGAACAGGACTGTTGAAGGCCTTCTGAATCTCATTGATTTAAAGCATGAAAGGCCAATAGTGGGGAAATTATCATCCCAAGGGATGATAGGGATGGGAATTGGCAAAGCTGGGATCTGGTGAATTTTCTGTTCAATGCAACAAAACATTTCCAACTGCCCATAGGAATAGGTGGTTGGGATATTTTGTACCAAGGAAGGACAGAGGGAGTGTGCATCAAGGAAATGCACAGATATTACAAAACCGTGTTTGTGTCTGTATCTTCTACCTGCTCTCATGCTAAGCCTTTTATCAGAGCCCTTATATAGCAGCCCCTGTAGGGTGGGGGGGTGGGCACTGACCCTGAAGGCAGGAGTCCAAATTCAGTCTCAGACACTTAGTAGCTATGTGACCACTGGCAAGTCATTTAACCCTGTTTGCCTCAAAAAAAAAAAATTGCCAGGTTGTGATGTCTAATTCCTCCCTCTCTTTTTTATACCCCATTATATGAAACACGTGTGATCAAAAGCAGTTGGGGACAAAAGTATGAGGTACAGACAATCCCCAGACTAGGTAATTGGGCTCTGAATAATTGAACTAGGACAGCTAGGTGGTGTAGTGTGTAGAGAGCTGGGCCTTGAATCAGGGAGACCTGAGTTCAAATCCAGCCTTAGACACTTACTTGCTGTGTGACCCTGGGAAAGTTACTTATACTTGTTTGCCTTAGTTTCCTCATCTGTAAAATATGCTGGAGAAGGAAATTGCAAGCCATTCCAGTATCTTTGGCAGAACTCCAAACGGGGTCACAATCCGCAACAAGAAGTGCTCATCTGTTTTTTTTTCTTGGTTGGCTGTTTGGCTAGTGGGTGGTATACGTTAGGGTTCAAGTTTTCTAATTTTTTATTTTCAGGCAATACCAAATGAAATTTGGGGTGTAGCCCTACTGCCTGATCAGAGGTAGTGCCCAGGGGAATCTGCGAAAATTCTTTGGCTCTTGTTTTAGGTTTGTTTTTGTTTTTGTTTTTTTGTTCTCCTCCACCTCCCCCCCCCCTTTAGGTGGCTACTCATCAGCTGGTTGACAGTGGGAGATATGATACTAAGGAGGATTTCACAGTGGTTTTGCAGCCATTTATGGAGAAAGTGAATATGCCCAAGACCACGGTAAAGAAAAAGAACTTCAGAACATGATTTTCTTGTCTTTTTTGACTCTAGTGAGCTTGGCCACATGATTTCCCTGATTCTCAATGTTCCTCTTTCTGTGACTAGGAGGGGTTGCCTGACACCTCTTTCTTTGCCCCAGATTGTTTCCATTTTGACCGCAAGACACATGCACGTTCAGCCAGAGCTCTCTGGAACAACATGGTAAGATGGACCATCTGTCCTGCAATGAGAAAATTCTTTTTGCCTGCCTTGAAGGCTCATCATCTTTGCCCTGAAAACTATAGAGATGAGTGCAGGTAATAAATCCATGCAATTCCTCTCTACTCCACCTCCAGTTCACAATCCTGACCTTTTTGACCTAATTAGTTGTATATTTGGTTCAGAAAATCCATCTGTTAGGTACAGGGTGGAGTAGGTGTGGGGCAACCACATTTGGTTTCATAAAGCCCCCAGGGATTTGACAGGGGTGGGGAGGGGGGAGCATTAGAGTTTGAATTGGCCAGCAAGAACCAATTCTAAAATTTTTAATAGAAGCATCTACAGTTTAGAAATCAGGTTGATTTATTTTTTTAATTGTCTAGTGTTAAGAAATCATGGAGAAAATGTTAATAATATTAAATTTTAAAGTGTATTACACGCACATTTCTCCCACCCCAATCCTAAGAGCTGGTAAATATTCACTGGCACCTCCATGCTTTTAGTGGCCTACAGGATCCATGAGACAACAATGCCGTGGCAAAAAAAAGGAAAAAAGCTAATGCAATCTCAGGCTATATCAATATTAGTGTAGTCAAATATGGAATGAAGGTGGTGACAGTCCTGTCTTACTCTGCTCTGGTCAGAAGACAGACCACATCTGTAGCATGATGCCCAGTTCTGGGAAGGACGTTCAAAAACTACTGTCCATTCAAAAGGAGGGTGGCTGAGATGGTTATTTTGGAAACTGGAATGTAAGCTCTATTAAAATGGAAGTTTCTTGAGGGCAGGCATTATTTTGGAATTGTTTTGTATCACCTAGCCCAGGGCCTGGCACAGAGTAAGTATTACATGTTTGTTTGTGTTTTTTTTTAACTTTAAAGGACTGTCCTGGCCATGTGGAGGAAATATGGGAGCAAATACTAATATAAAGCATTAAAAAAAATCAATAAATGTCTATTTGAATATAAATGCCTTTTCACTGTCATAGACCAGGCATTTGTTGACTGATTGATTAGCTGAAAGAACTTTCTGGAAAAAAATAAATTTAGGAAACAAAATATGTGAGATATTTTCAAGTATTTGAAACAATATCATGCAAAAGACATGGTAATCTTGGTCCCAGAATACAAAGCTGGAAACTGAGTAGGAGATTTCATTCCTACCATTTAAGTGTTCTTCAAAAGGCAGGTTTCAAATGGTGATGATTTCCCTATCACTAGAGGTCTTCAAGCAGAGGCTGAATGACAAGATTTCCATTTTTCTTACTCTTCTCTCCATTATTTCTTCACGTAGCTGGAACCAGTTGGAGAGAAGAATGATGAAGTTCAGTTTGAAGTTATTATGGATCTAATTTGCCCTAGTCAGGTATTGTACTTTCATGGAAATTTGTCTCTCTACACCTCTCCTTTAGTTGGGTAACTTGGGACCGTGCTTCATTCCATAACCACCACCATCCCATAGCACATTGGATAACGTCTAAGGTCCCAACTTGGAGACTATGAAACTGTTCAGTTGATTTCAAGCAAAATGGCTATTTGTGTAGCTCCCTTAGCACTATAGCAGATAGTAGAGGAGATCTTGGGAACTTCTCAAGGCATATTGCCAGACTTTATCCAATTGCTATGGGCATGGGCATGTCAGGATGATCTAAGGTCAGTCACTGACTCTCAAGCCCACCTGTGAATTAGGGCTAAGCACAGGTTGCAAGTTATTGAGTGAGGGAGACTTAATTTAGCAGGAACAGGGACTATTAGCTCACTGATAGTTCTCAAGATTTAAGAATCAGGTGTCCCGGACTAGAGAGAGGGTTGTGGTATTAGGAGCAGGTCCAAGTGCAGATTCCCAACTTGGAAGCTGGGGGTTTTGGAGCACCATAGGAAGTTGAGTTGTTTGGGGTTTTTTTTTTGGTTTGTTTTGTTTTTTGGTTAGGCAATAGGGTTAAGTGACTTGCACAGGGTCACACAGCTAGTAAGTGTTATGTGTCTGAGGTTGGGTTTGAACTCAGGTTCTTCTAAATTCAGGGCCGGTGCTCTATCCACTGCGCCACCTAGCTGCCCCGGAAGTTGAGTTGTTGATGCCAGCCTACTCTATTGTGGCATCTCCTACAGCCACATACTAAATTGTTGTTTAGAGTTCTTGCAATGCTCTCCAAAGTCTTAAAAGAAGACTCCAGCCCTCTACCTGTCCCCAGTGCCACTCTGAGAAACATTGTTCTATTATTATTAGGCCCACATTACTCATAATCTTAAATAACTAATGTGTTTCATGTGAGTACCTGGAAGTGATGCTGAGGTGGCCCAGGAAGACAGAAGCTCCCTATTGCCAAATTCCTCAGCTTGTTATTCAAATCCCTATAAAACTTGGCACCTCACACATTGCCAGCTTTTTTCTCCTACTGCTACCATCATTTCACTCTGTGCTCTCACCAACTGGCCATTGTCTTCCTCATCCATGTCCTATGCTTTTTCATTCATGCTGAACCCAAAGCTTGAAATGTCTTCTCTTGAATTTCTAACCATCCGTCAAAGCCCAACACAAATCACAAAGTCCCATCCTTCAGGAAACCTTCCATCTTCTCTCCCAGTCCAATTTCTCAGCTCCTTAAAATAATGAGCTTTTTCTTTCAGACCCCACCTGACAATTTGTCTCCTCATTATCTACATACGTGTGCATATTCCTTTGAATAACATGTGTAATATCCACCAGCCTGAAAGGTCAATGAAAGCAGAGAGTGTTTATGTCTCCTCCAGTGTCTAGAAGAATCTTTGCATATGATTAATGCTATTATTGTTGTTATTACTTGTTACATGACTTATGTCAATTAACCACTCTCAGCCTCAGATTCTTCATCAGTAAAATGAAGATGAATAAAACTTTTGTGTTTTCCTCAGGATTGTTACGAACACCAAAATGAAATAATCCATGTGAAGAGTTCTGTCAATGTCTAAGGGCCTTCTAATTTATGTTTACTGTTTAGAATCTGTCAATGACAGAGGAACATAAAAATGGTAATAGCAATAACAGCAGAAGTCCTAGTAGTACTTTTAGCAGTATTAATCTATAAAGCTACTGATGGGACTTGTATTAGCAATAGTAGTTGTGGTTGTACTTGCAGTAAAGTATAATAGCAGTAGTATTATTATGGTAACTGCAGTGCTAGCAATAGCAGAACCAGTAGGAATAGTATCCCTTGCCAAAAAACGAAAAAACTAATAATAGCAATAGTAGCAATGATTGTAATAGCAGAAGTAGCAATAGCAACACTAATCAGTAATAATAGTAATAGTGTAAATAATACTAGTAGCAATAGCTAAAATAACAATAGTTGGATTAGGAAGTAATTATGGCAAAGCAGTAATAGTAACAATGAGAGGGGTGACAACAGTCACAAGAACAGTAATAACATTGGTAAAAGCATCATTAGAAATAACAAGAAGTATGACAGTAGCAATATAGATATTGACGAATGTTTCTAAATCTATGATCTTACAACCTTCAAGCGCTTCATGTAAAAGTCAGTTCTTATCAGGGAGGAAGGTCACGTCAGGTCTCAGAAGGAAGCCGACAAAATCTGCTCATTTGTAGCTAGCAGCTGACCGTTCTCTTTTTATAGGATCAGCCCTACCTTCGAACCTACAAGAACAGTAATTACACGTATCCAACGGCAGCAGCACCCACAGCAACACCAACAACCAGCAGCCCTAACCTGGTACTGCTCTTTTGGTTTTATTTGGTTTATAAAGCATGGCCTCCAGCGTGCCTGTCTGAATGGTTTGTCCGTGACATCTGAATGGTTTGTACTACAGATTGCAGTGTCGTTATCTACTCACCTAGAGGAACTAAGTTTTTACCTGCGGTGACCTCAGACATGTCATTTAACTTCTTTGGGCCCCAGTTTCTTTATCTGTAAACCTGGAGGTTTTGCTGCCTTCACCTTGAAGATACCCTCCAGTTCTCAATCTTTGATCCTCCAGATGGACTAGGGGAGACATTAGACATGAGTAAAACAGGCAAGGCTTTATCAACCCTTCTGCCCAACACAACTGATCGAATCCTACTTTTGTCAACACCAGAAGAGCTAATAATCTTTCCCTTTCCAAAGGAGGGTGGGAAGCTCTGTGTGGTGTTCAGCTGTGCTGGTGATGAGTCTTTATCCCTGCCTGTCCCCATGTCATTCAGCTTCTTCTGTTCCTTTAGGATTTGGGGAGCCAGCTGAAGTGTGAAGACACAACCCCCTCTACCTCGATTCCCACCTCAGGTAAGCACCTTAGGACACACAGCGACTGAATGCTTGTTTCTTCAATGCTCTTGGAGCAATTGTGTTGTGCATAAATTACTATTTTAATTAAATCTTTAAAGCTGAATTAGTTGCTTTTGCCAGTCTGGATCACTGAAGATGACCTGAATTCCAGTAGACCCCAGTAGCAATTCTGAACACTGTGTGGCTCTCCTCTGCCCACCTTTGTTTGCTTTATTTGTCCACTCCTCAAGGCTCTTAGGGCCCATAGCAGTTGGGCTCCATTGTCTTCTCAGCCTGTTAGGGGTAATCAAGAGGAGTCACTCATTGGCCTGCTCAATTTCAGTACCTACTGGATACCAGACAGCATGCTATAAGCTTTATAAATATTATCTCATTTAGTCAGTAGAGTCAGCATCCAGTTGGTGCAGACTTCATTTTGTAATAAATCTAGAGGTGGCACCCATTCCTAGGGAACCTCTCTCTCTAAAATAGTAGTTGTTGCCTGAGAATAACAGTTTTGTTTACTCTGCAGGAATGTGGGAGGAAAACTATATGTCTATTGGGTGGGGTGGGGTCTGTAAAGTCCTGGATCCCTTCAAAAGAGAGTAATAAAATAATGGAATTTTAGAGTTTGAAGGTGGGGGAGGGGTCTAAAAGTAATCTGGTTCAACCACTTTGATTTTTTTTCTTTTTAAAGAAAATATTTTAGTGATCTTTCCTTTTACATTATTACCCTTCCTATGCACCTCTTCTATCCCAGTGAATAGTAACAAATAAGAAAAGTCAGGCACAAATCACCCATATGCATTCGTCATTAAGGAAAATACATGTTGCAGTCTGTACCCCTAGTCCACCACAGACTTCTAAAGTCACAACTGGCCACCACATTAATCAGAGTTCTGAAGCCTTTCAGTGTTGTTCTTCAATCCTGAATTTTATAGAGGAGGAAACTAAGGCAAAGGCATATGAAGTGACTTGGCTGAGGCAATACAAGTTAAGTAGAAGGGCCCAAGTTGTCTAAACACAAGCTCATTGTTTTCCCTATCACTTCTTGCTGTCTCCCAGGCAGCATCAACATTATTAGGTTGCTGAAATCCAGAAATTAATTTAAAGCATTCCATCAAAGTGTTTTGATTTTATTAGAGACTGTCTAGTGTCCACTTGACCTGTGTATCTTTAAAACTGAGCTCCAATTGAACACACACAGCACACACACACGTGCGCGACATTCCAAGGTTGAGCCCTATCCATTATGAGTCTTGGCTACTGCTTATCTACCTACCTATCCCTAAAAAGTATCTTGTTTCTTGCTGTTGTACATTTCTCCTGCTTCATCATTTAAACTCACATTCTTTTTGGTCAGCCCCCTGAGGCCTCTCTACATCTTCCTAAAGTTTCCTTGTTTGTAATTTCCACTGAGTAGTAAGCCCTGTGCCACAAAATTGTGCTGACATCAAGCATTTGTGTGTGCATGAAAGAGACCACAGGAGTAGTTGGTAGTGTTCCTACCTAAGTTATGTACTCACTGTGTGACCCTGAGAGAGTCAGTTAAACTCTGTGTACCTAGGACTTATCAAGGCCAAAGCGTTAAGCTTCCTCTAACTCAGATATATTTCCTTATACTGACAAATCCCAGCCTTCACATGTGCAAGACATTTGCTATAACTTGGGGGAGAGGCAAAGTTTGGATAAAACATGATGCTTTCTATCATGGAACTAACGATCTAATAGATACAAACATTGGGCACAAATAGAAATTATAAAAATAATGCACGATATGATATGATAATGCATGTAACAGATCCAGTAGAAAGTTTTGTGTGAAATTTTGGGGGGATAGGTCTAGAAAGGCATTATTATTTGAGCTGCACTTTAATGTGTGTGTAGAAATTTAATGACAACATGAACAAAGGCACTGAGAGCGATAAGGGAAAGGTCATTGACTTACTGAGGATCTCCTTGTCAATTCCGAACAGTAAGCAGTAAAAAGCATAGATTTCTCCCTCCACTTTGAATCATAGATCTAGATATAGGAACGACCTCAGAAGTCATCTAGTCCAAGTCACTTGTTTTACAGACAAGTAAACTGAGTCTTAAAGAGTTTAAGTGATTTGCCCAAGGTCACATATGTGACCAAGTGGCAAAACTTAGGCACAAATTCACTTTCTATAACTGGATGGGTCAGGAAGGGATGGAGAGGAGGAGGACAGCATCTAGTGATTTCATCTTTGTGAGGAACTCCCATTTTGGAAGTGTCCTCCACTGATACAGATCTGCAATTCCTCTGCGACTCTTGTAGTTTTAGAGGATTACTTAAGTACGCTGAGAAGTAACATACATACACATGGTCATATATGTAATATGTGTCAGAAACAGAACATGGTCTCGGGTCTTCCTGACCCCAAGTCTTCACCCATATCCAAACCCAGTACAGATAGACCCTTCAAAGATTTGGCTTAATGGTCAAGCCAAGTCTCCTATCTGAACCTGTGGACGTTACCCTCTAATGGCAGAAATTAGTTGACTATCCTCATATGTATTCAGCCTATGTTGGTGCTGCTTATTCCTGAAAATTGCCATCTACATCTTTAGCTCATTAGCATCACCTCCATTCCACCTACCTGTACCCTTTGTACTCCTAGCCTCCCTTAATGTCCTTGCTTCCCCCACTGCCTCCAGGACAGCCCCACTGACTACTATCTCTGTTAAACAAGCAATGACTGACTTCTATTTCTTTCCTAAAGACTCATACTTGTCCACTTGCCTTTCTAGTACATGCTCTGAAGCCAGCAGACATTCAAGTTGTTGCAGCTGTGGGTGATTCTCTGACCGTAAGGAAATTTATGCCATTGGCAAGCTTTTGTGTAATAGGGTGGGATGGACAGGACTGCCTCCTAATAGTTTCAGTCAGCATTCTCCCATCTGTTAGCCTCTTTGATTTGTCACCAGGAAGGAGCCAGGTGGTGGCTGCTTTATACACAGCTAAACTCCCATTATCTGAGGAAAGAAGGCCTTTTTTTTTTCCATTCCCAGAAACACCCACTGCTTCTGGCAAGACTCCCAAGGCTATATGACATCATTACAGAATGACACAGAAAGAAAGAGGGGAGGTGATTAAATGTCTAAGCTAAACCTCTCTATTTACAGTGACTTAATCTTGGAAGAGGCCTCCCTGAGTCCAAAGGGTACATTCTTCTAGGATATAAAAAGCTTTGATGGTGATGAAAATAAGAATGTTTGTGTTTGTATGTCCTTGAACAATTTTCAAAATGATTTTATAATTCCTAATCTCATTTAAATTCTCACAGCAAAACCGTTAAGTAGACAGAGCAGGCATAGAGTTTTGCACTTTTAGTCAGGAAGACATGAGTTCTAATCCTACCTCGGATACTTAGTTTGTGAAGCTGGGCAAGTCACTTAAATTCATTGAGCCTCAGTTTCCCTAACTAAAATGGAGAGATAATATCTACCCCCTGCAGGGATGTTGGGAAGCTTAAATGAGACATTCTTTTCTTTCTCAAATAAGATCATATATATGTTTATGGAAAACTTAATAAACTTCAAAGCATTACGTAAAAGCTAGTTATTATTATCCATATTTTAAGATGAAGAATTTGATACATAAGGAGGCTAGATGACTTAACTCACACCTTATCTGGTTAGCAGAAGAAATAAGATTAGCCCCAAGTTTCTCAAGTACTAATTTGGTGCTATGCCTATACCAAACTGCCCCCCAGTAAATAATACCGTTGATACCAATAACTAACACTCCCACCAAATCTGCATTTATTTGATGCTTTTGCGTTTGCAAAGCACTTCACATAAATAATCTCATTTGAGCCTCAACAGTCCCATAGTTGTTGTTAGTATTATCACTATTTTACAGATGAGCAAACTGAGGTACTGAGCAATTAAATGATTTGGCCCAGGGTCATATCTGGACCCAGGTCCTCCTGACTCTGGCACCCTTCACAATATGCTATGGTCTCACTCCTCTATTTTCACTGCCTCTCTGATTTTTCTTCTGGTCTTCACATGTTGGGTTTTTGGGGTTTTAAGGCTGGAAATGGAATTCGCTCGAAACCAGACGATCCTTCTGATGTCACTACTCAATATCGGGGACTATCATACAGGTAATACAAAGTTTGGATTTACTAGATCTGAGGAGTGTCCTCCCCACCACAGGAATTGGAACGGCTTAACTCTTGTAGGGGGAGAAAAAGGTGGGCATCGAAGGAAAAGGATTGGGCTGGGGTCGGTTTTTTAAGAAAGAAAGAAAGAAAATAGCCATGGTACCGTGATTAATCATGGAATTCATATTGGAAGTTGTGTTTAATGATGCCTTTTGTTTTTAGATCACAGTATTGTCCTGATTGCCCTGCTCTGCAGCATTGAACCTTCCTTTGTAATGAAGAAAAAAATGCTCAGCAACAATCATAATAGGGCCTATGTCTGACAGTGGGTAGAGCTTTCTGCCCCTGGCATCCCTCCTCTCTGGCAAAATCTCGTTAATAACCTGAAGTTATTCATATTTTTTCAATTGTACAAAAAAATAAGGGTTTCCTCCTGATTCCCAAGTCAGAAAGGCCAACAATAAACTCATTACACAATTTATATTCTCATAGAAATCCCTCTGGGTCTGGTATTGGTCAATTATTAGTATTTATTCATCTGTTGATTATAGTTATTGAAATATAAAAATAATCTACATATACACATACACATACCTATGCCCATGTGCAAGCTTTATGTTGCGTTCATAGTAGCATAGTATTCAGAGCTGGAAGGGAACTTAAAATAAAAGGTCATCTAGGCCCATTCTGTCTACTTGGTAGCATAGTAGTGTGGATGCAAGGCACAGAGTCAAGAGCCTCTGAGTTCAAATCCTGCCTCAGATATTATCTAGTTGTCTAACTCTGGTTCAGTCAATTAATCTCTTTTTCATTTTGTTCAACTCTAAAATAGGGATGATGGCAGCTATAGTGCTGTTATTTATTGTGAGGTTAAAATAAGATAATGCACATAAAGCATTTTACAAAATCTTGAAGAGCTACGTGTTACCCAATATTATTTTCCAAATAGGGAAATAGGCTTATGGCGGTCACGTATATAGTTAGTAACAAGACCAAGAATTCAACACACGTGTCTTCTCACCCCAAATCCAGGACATTTTCCGTTACCCCATCCGTGAACCAGACCAAGATAGGAAATCCATGGTTTTAAGATTTCTTTCTCTCCTGAGAAACTTTATTTTCACCAAGCAGCCGTCCAAGAATAGATCTGAGTATCCCTCCTCAACTAACAAGATAAACAAGCCAAGATGGTGTAAGGTGGTCATAAAAGCCTTGGCAACACAAGGAACTACTTGTCTCTTCTTTAGTGATTTCTTCCAGCCTATTTCTGTTACAGAGTTAATTCAAAAGAAACCCATTTTCCTCCAAAATCAAAAAGAATATTGGGGGTTTCTGTGATCATGCTTTTTGATTCTACCTGAGGAGAGTCTCAAAGTGAGAGGTGGACAGGGAAAGTGACCTGGAGGCTTCTGGTTTTCAGGCTTCAGAACTCTCTCAGTAATGAACAAGGTATCAGTCCCCTAAGTGTCATGGCAGCTGAGACCACTGGATTTGATGCATGTCACCATCCTTAGGAGGTAGTTCTTTTATCAAGTGGCTAATAGAGACTAACACTTGGTACTTCAAATGGATGCCCAAGCCATTCCACTTCAGTTCTGAATTCACAATTCCGGTTCTTTTTATTCCTCTCCTTCATGGTTGTGACTAAAGATAAGACATCTTTGCCATTAGAATAAAAAGAGTATGAGAAAACTAATGACCCCAAACTAATTACAAACCAAGGAAGTCAGGACAATGATAGAAGTTCTGAGCAGCCTTAACATGGCAGTTATGTCATATCATGGTGCTAGAAATTTGAGAGTAAAGCCCAAATGAATGAATGAGCCCTACAAACTGGTGAAAGAAGATAGAAATGGTGCGGCAGTCAAAAGAAAGGAGTAAGTGTGCCCATTCTTACTGCAAGAAGGATCCTTCCCAGCTTTCATATATGAGTAATTCAACCTTTTGCACCAAGTATTGTCCGTAAAGAGTTTTACTTTTTAACCAATTCCCCATCTTCAACTAGGGATGAACCAGAAGTCTGTGATGGGTGGACGAGTTGACTCACCCAGCTAATCTCCTAAAATCCATCATTGATCTGCCATTGGTCCTTTCAACTTCTGTAATATATGAGCAGAAAGTTGAGTAGTTGACTTACAGAGACATCATCTTGTCCCAAGATTCAGGTGCACAAAAAGTGACTGCACTCAGTCAGAGGGTGCCACTTAGGGAAACACACACCTGGCTTGGGTAAAAGTCAATCAGGAGCTTTTGAAATGATAAGGGAAGCAACGGTTTGAAAAGACTAACCTACTCCTTCTGGGTAACAGGAAGCCGAGAGGCAGCTAGTTTTACACTGATAGGGAAAGGAGAGATGTAGCCAGAATTCATGTTTAGCTGGTTATTACTGTGTGTGACCTTCAGAATGCAATTTGGCTGTGAATATACCTGCTGGGCTTGCTGCTTTGGAAAATAACTACTGGTTTGTCTTCAAGGGGTTAAATCCTTCTGAAGTTGTTTTGGGGTCTTTATGGCTCGGTCTTGCCTTGCATAGGAATAAATTGCTTGATTTGGGGTTGCTTAAATGCTTCAAAATAAAAATCACCATTTTGAAATTCCTTTCTCTGCCTCATTAATTCAGAATCTGAGCTTATGTCACTGAACTTGCAAGAATCTGAGCCATCTTTTTCTCTCCTTTCACATTTTATATAATTGGTACAAAAGTTAAAGTATTCCAAATAACCACATTTCTTTATACAATTTTTTTAACCTTTACTGTCAATAGGGCAGAGGACTACTCCAAGCATACTGGTTCTATTCTCCCAGAACCATTATCTTAGCATGGGGAAAATTTGTCCACATGGAATTGTGATAGAAATTTCTTGAGCATTAAGGGTGTCAATGTGGGCATGATGATGTGTTTATAGGAGTATGTAGGGCTGTAATGGTGAGATGCAGATATATGTATAAAATGTGTAGGGTGAAATGGAGATGGCAAAGTATATTTGTGTATGTATTTAAATCCATGGTTTCCTTTCCTTTCAAGTGTCAGTTTCGAGGCCTACAGTTCTTTGATTCAAAGAAGTGGGCAGCTAATACAAGTTCCCTGCCCTATCTCTTCTAGTGGTTGGAAGTTCCTCAGAACCACAAATCTATGCCCAAATACTATAAGTCAAGTTTGGCATCAGCATCTCAGGGCTTGGCTCACATGCAGCTTCCTATGGATAACCTTTTTTGATCACTACTTGTTAATACAGAGCTTTTCTCTCTCTCTCTTTCTCCCTTTCTCCCTCTTCTCTCCCCCCACCCCATTCTGTCTGTCTCACCTCAAATAATTATGTATGTTCTTACCTGTTTCCACTTTGTATCTCCTCAGTAGAATCTTTGAGGGCATGGACTGTTATATCAAAAAATCAACAATAGATGTTCCAGAAATAGGAAATACAAAGCCAAAAAGTTCAGTCAGTGATTTCGAGGACCTTACATTCTGTTGAGAGAAACATGCCTGCACACAAGCAAATAAAGAACACATAAAAAGTAATACAACTTAATGATGTTGGGAAGGCCGGGGGTAGTGCGTTGAATGAGGCACCAACAGCTGAAAAGAAGCTGAAAAAGTGTCACATATGAGGTAGTACTTAGAATAAACTCTGAGGGAAGGTATGAATCCCAAGAGATGGAGGCAAGGGGGTTGTGCATTCTAGGCCTTCTGTTCAGAATGTTCAAAAGCATGAAAGGTGACATGACCTATAGAAGACTACCATTTTGCCTGGGATGTAGAGTTCACTGTGGGAAATGAAGTACAATTTGGAAAGGTACACTGAACGCAGATTGTGAAGGACTTTAAATGTGAAACAAATGAATTCATTCTTTATCATAGAGGCAATAGGAAGCCAGTGGAACATTCTGAGCGGAGGAGTGACATGGCCAGACCTGAGTTTTAGAGCAATAGCCAGGGTAGTTGTATGGAGGATGAGCTGGAAACACTGAATGGAAGTAGAATAACGAGAAGGCCATTGCAATATGACAGGCAAGAAGTGAAGAGGGCTTGAACTGAAGTTATGGCTGTCAGAGAAGGATTGATAGAGATATTGAAGAGATAAAATTACTGGACTTAGCATATAATTGGACATGGGGGTGAATGAGTGGAGTCAATGATACATTCCTCTTAGGTTATAAACAAGAGTATTGGTTCCCATAAGAGAAATACGGAAGTTAGGAAGAAGAGTTGGGTTTTCAGAAAAGGGAGAGAGTATCATTGAATTTGTGGGAGTTGATGAAATCCCCAAGAAGAAGGACATACAAGTAGAAAAGAAAGGCAACCATGACTCATGTATGATGATACCGCAAAGGAGCCTGAGATGGATTGGCTAAAAAGGCCGGAAAAAGAACCAAGTAAGAGCAAACAGTATGTAAGAAAAAGTGATGGGGAGCAGTGTCGGATTTTGCAGAAATAAAGAATGAGCAGGAAAAGTCATTTTATGTGCCTAGTAAGAGATCATTGGTAACTTTGAAGAGGCCAGTGTCAGTCGAAAGATTAGGTCAGGGACCAAAGTGCAAAGGGTTAACAAGTGATAGGAGAGGAGCTGCATGCAAGCTCTATAGACAGCTTTTTTTCCCCCTAGAATTTAGCTATAACATGGAGAAAAGATTGAGAATGATAGCTTTAGAGGAGGTAAGATAAAGAAAAGAGTTTTTTGCAAAGTGGAAGTGGGCTGAACAATATAAAGAGAAATGGGCTATGGTTGCATGGTTGCAGAAGCAATGACGAGATGGGCCACCTCTTCAGAGACTGGAATAAATAGTGAGCAGATAGGGAATGAGGCAAAGGAATGGGGTCTGAGATGTAAAGGAGAGGAGAGAGATCTCATTGCAAATGGCCCCCATTATCTCAATAAATAATTGGGCCTTCATATCCCCAGTGCTTTAACACCCCGTAAATGCTTGTTGGTTTGGACTAGAGACAGCCAGAGGGGAAGCTTCTCGGCTGGAAGGAAAAGAGTGAATGCTGACGCCCTCTTTGGAGCAGCTGATGCCTTAATTCAAGGATTTAACCCCTGTTCTGGGTTTTCACAAAGGGCGGCCTGCTCTGTTCAAAAGGCTTCTCAATGGAAGGAGCAGCTGTGAAGAAGCTAGATCTTCGAGCCTCTGAGGGGCCTCTGCTCAAAGTCTGGCTTCTGTTTCAAAGCTGGGAAAAAGCAAATATATGTGGAGGAGAGTGCTGTGAGAGTTACACCACAGAATATTGTCCCTGAGTTTCTCAAAAACTGGGGAATTAGAGGCATTTTCTTGGGGCTAAGGGAGAGTATTTGTATACGTGTGAAAAATGGTACTTTGCAAATGTGGGAGTTCGATGTTTCTCTCTTTATTCTCCCTGACCTATATGCAGTTAGAGACTTAATTGAAGTTTGAGATCAACTACAGGTTCTTGCTCCTTGAGTGTAGGATCTCGTTTGGGTTCATCTTTCTATGCCCAGTGCCTTTTGATGTGTAGTGAGAAGCAGAGCATCTGGTGGCTGAAGGGCTACCCTTGAAATAAGGAAGGTCTGGGTTCAGCAATGGCACAGTGGAAAGACCATTAGCTCTGGAGCCAAAGGACTTCTGATCCCACTTCTGATGCTTATAATCCATGTGACCTTGGGCAAATCACTTAATGTCTCTGAGGCTCGGGGAGGCAGCATGATATTTAGTGGACAGGGCATTGGATTTGTATTAGAAAAATCTTAGTTTCAAATCCAATCTGAAACATTTACTAGCTATGTGAATCTGGGCTATCTCTGTGCCTCAGTTTCCTCTGTTTTAACATTACAGAGTTGGACTCAATGGGTTCTGAGGTCCTTAATACTCTAAATTAATGATCCTAAGATTTATGTCTGTGAAGGGAACTCTCACACTTGGAATTCTCCATACCGATGAATTCATAGATCCAGACCCTATCCCCCCCCCAAAATAATCCTAGACCCTACCTAGAGCATTGATTTGCACATAGTAGGCATTTAAAGAACATTTGCCATACTAAGTTAAATATAATCAGATTGACTTGGGGTCATTTTACTGAAAGGGAGTTTAATGTCAGATAGTTTATTCTCCTGGTCCCCCCCAAGCAGAATTCTATCAGACAAACAAAAATTCATCTGATTTCTGAAGAATTCCAGACCAGTCACTTTAGTTCACAGGCTGGCTTAGTCCTGACTTAGCATTGAACATTCCAGATTTTGAAAAACCGAAATTATGGGTTATGACTTGAATAAGTTTCTCAGGAACAGCCAAAGACCACAGCTATAACTGCCATTCTCGAAATTGGCGATGATTAGGATGGCTAAACCATGATGAGAATGTTGTTGAGTCTGTTTTGCCTCTTTTTGTACCCCTAATTGGTTTTGTACAGTCCCTGACACATAGTGGGCACTTAATAAGTGTTCATTGATTGCGAGTTTCAAAGAGTTTTAAGTGACATGCCCAAGGTCACACTGCTAGCAATTGTCTACAGACAGTATCGGAATTGAGATCTTACTGACCCCATGCCCAATTCTCTCACTTTGCCACCTAGCTGCCACTAGAAATGGTGTTTCAGTACTCATCTGGACACCAAGAAGAGCCCATTGTATTAAGTCACACTCTGCTTTTCCATAAAGGAAATTCAACATGTGTTTTTTAAGCTCCTATTATATGCCAGGCATTGAGGTGGAAGAGATGGAGTTAGGGAGGGGATGATTAAGACATAACTCTTGCCACCAACCAGCTTGGAATTTAGTAAGGAAATGCATGTCTTGACAGTATTTCTTTCTCTGGTTGCAGTGCAGGAGGTGATGCCTCACTAGAAAGTGTGACCACCTTGCCTAGTAAGTAAAGACTTGGCCCTTGGGTCTATCAAGAGATTTGGGTGTGGGCTCTCCTGACTTAGACACCCTGAGAGCAAATCTGAGCCAAGAAAGGCACAACGTTGAATGCCTTTAAAGGGGAGGAAGAATGATCTCTTTCCATTTATCTCCAGAACCTGGTCTATGAGTTTACACTTCCATAGCTGGAACACTTTAGTGCTGTGCATACCTACCAGTCCTTGGAGTCAGTCTGCTCAGCTGATGGCTTCTGGTCCAGACCTGGCAGATACTTTATCTTCCTTGCCTTTCAATGGATTATTGCACTGGGACATGGGGCTAAAAATAAAGCTCAGCTTTGGGGAAGGGATGCTCATTCTGATCTCATAACTTCCTCAGTTGAGAGTTGCTTGCTTTTTACTCCCCCTCCCCCTACCAGATATCCTACGAAAGTTTAATGGGAACCTAACAGGCTTCGCACTGGGCGAGGGGAATGCTGATGATGCCAACACCTTCCTCAATCAGGCGGTCCCAGGAGCAAAGGCTGAGTATGGCATTGGGGGAAGGGTGAGAGGGGACATGGAATGGCTCATCATAGAAGCCCCTTTCTGATAGTAACAGCAATCCTCACCTTTTGTTATTGTTTCACATGGGCTTTACAGGGCTTCCCCCTCAATAGTCTCTAATCACTCTCTTGACTGACGTCACTTACAACCAATGTATTTTCGAGACAGCCCAGCCAAGACCAAAGCCTAAGACCACGAAATCAATTGTAATTAGCAAAATCATGCACTAAGCACGTGCGGAATCTAAATCCAGTGCCCTTTCCCCTTGCATCATCGTACCTCATGTCCCAGAGGGTACTCAGGGACCAACATGGCCCTATTCTCTGGCTGTCTGAGTTAAGCAACTACAGAAAAAAATCCTCTACTGAGTTGAACTACAAAAAGAATCCATCTAAAGAGCATGGCATAATCATGCTAAAGGGATCCCCTCTCCTTCAGAGCCTTGTTTGTGGCAAAGCATAGCATTATGGGATCTAGAATTAGATGGCACCTCAGGAGTGGTGAGTAGAAGCTGCAAAGAGGTACATTTAGGCTCACTATAAGCAAAAAAAAAAAATTCATATGATTGAAACTATCCCAAAGTGGAATGAACCACTTTAGGAGATAGTGGGTTCACCCTTCTCTGGAGGTTTTTAAAGCATATCCTTGTCAGTTATGTGGAAGGGAGATGCTCATTCAGGACAGGCTGGATGAGAATCCTGATTCTACCATCTGTATGACCTTGGGCAAGTTACTTAGCCTCTCTGGGCCTCAGTTTCCTCATCTGTAAAATGAAAAGGTTGTGCTAGGTGACCTCTGAGGTCCTTTCCAACTCCAAAGGTATGAGGTCTCTGAGGTCCCTTCCAAGGCTGAGATTCTGTGAGCTCATGTAATTTTTTTTTAAAGGCAATTGGGGTTAAGTGACTTGCCCAGGGTCACACAGCTAGTAAGTGTCAAGTGTTTGGTCTGAGGCCGGATTTGAACGCAGGTCCTCCTGACTTGAGGGCCGGTGCTCTATCCACTGCGCCACCTAGCTGCCCCGGGCTCATGTAATTTAAACCCTTCTTTTACAGATGAGGACGCTGAGTCACAGTGAAGTTGGATGTATATTCCACAAGGTTAAATGTATTAAATGTAATACATTTAATACACGGTTGTATTACACAATTGCACAACATAGGTAGTAAGTACTAAAGCCAGGCCTGCTCCAAACACATAAAGACTATTTTTAGCAGATTGGCCTGAACAAAGAACAGTGTAGGTTGGAGAGAGCCCCGGATTGGGAATCAGAAATCCTGGATTGGAATCTCTCCCCCTAGACTCCACCATAGTCCATTCCCCAAACAGGGTTTAGGATTGTCCCATTTATCTACTTAAGCTCAGACTTTTGAAGGTGACACGACCTAGTCTGAGACTTAGGAGGCTTCAGTCTTACTCCTGCTACCATCAGAACCAAGGCAAGTGGCGTTCACCTCTTGGTCTCATGTTTTCTGCCTTCTGCCTGCCAAAGGAGATAATTCCAGTGAGATTTCCAGTGCAGTGGCCTTGAGAGGCTAAGAAGATGAGTCTGTTTTTTCCCCATTATCAGAAAGAACAATTGTCTTTGCTCCACAGGGAACTTATAAAGCAAGTCCAGACCCTGGTGCAGAAGATGAAAACTGACCAGGTAAGTTAGAGTTAGACTGCTTTATGAAAAAACAAAAACAAAAGTTCCTAAATTTAATCCATCCAAATAAAAGGGGAGGGCAGAAATGAGCTGCCTTAAAAATAGTGGTTGTCCCACACTGGAAACACCCAAGCAAAATATGAATTAGCATCTGCCAGAGCTGTCCCTAGGTCCATAGCTCTAGAGCAGGAAGGGTACCTCAGGGGACATCTCAACTGACCTCTTCAGTTTATAAGTAAGGAAATTGGGGCCCAGGGAGTTAATTAAGAGATCTGTTGAAGATAGGCTTCCTACAAGGTCTAGATGACAGCTGTCATATTTTTCAGAACTGCAATTCTATGCATTAATGCAACAAAGATATATAGAGTGGTATCTATGTGTTTGGTGCTGCTTTGGGAAGTCAAGAAGCATTTATTAAGCACCTACTATGTGTCAGGCACTCTGCTAAGTACTGAGATGACAATTAAGAACAAAAATAAAAATAGTCCCTGCCCTCAGGGAGCTTACATTCTAAGGAGTGAGCTTGGAAAGTCCCAAGGGGCTCAGTGGACTCCTTGGGGTACACTATTTCTCTTATCAGATAGCAAAGGTATAATGGAATGATATGTTTAGCATTCTCCTTCCTTCATCTAGAGAATTGATTTCCCAGGAGACTGGAAGGTGGTCACTGTGCTTATCAGGACTGAAGACCTTTGCAACTACTGTACTGACTCAGTAAGTAACCACACTAGGGACTTCTCTGGCCTAGGCTTTCAATGTAGAGTTCCAGGTCCTGGGAAAACTTTTTGGGAAAATTCCCTAGAACCCAATTCATCAGTGCCTGACTCACAAGATACCTTCACTCTTCTACCTCACCCCTAGCCCTAACCCTGGCATCAGGTATCTCATTTCAAGGCTCAGCTCTGGTGCTTCCTTTTAGGTAGACTTATCCTGATTCTTTCAGCTGCCCTTTGGAAATTACCTTGTATTGATTTTGTACATACTTTATATTGTTTATTATCTGTATACTCACTGTTTTCCTCCAGTACCTAGCATGGTGACTGCCTCAATCAATCAATAAGTATTTATTAAGCTTACTATGTTCAAGGCACTGTGCTAGGCACTGCAGATACAAAGACAGAAAAGAAACAATCCTGCCCTCAAGGAACTTATGTTTTAATCGAGGAACTATGCACATATATAAAGATGTATAAAATAAATACATAAATATAAGGTAATTCGATGGGGAATGAAGAAAGGTCTCATGCAAGAAGTGATGTGGACCTTTTAGAAATTCCAAGAGATGAAGGTGAGGAGGGGGTGTATTCCAGGTATGGAGGCAGGGGATAGAACAAAAAGTCTAGTTTGGCTGAAATGTAGAGCGCATGAAGGAGAATAATGTATAATAAAGGCAGAAAGATATGATGAGACCAGGTTGTGAAGGGCCTTTAACGCCACACAGAAAAGTTTGTATTTTACTCTATTACCTGAATAAATAAACCATCACGAAGTCATAGAACTTTCCATAGGAAGGGACCTTAAAGATGTCATGATCATTAATCTAGAGCTGTCAAGGAATTTTTTGGTCATCTGATCTAGTTCCAACATTTCACAGATGAAACCAAAGACCAGAGAGGTGACTGCCTAAGTGCTACCAGTGGTCAGTTCATAGCAGAGGCAGGATCCGAACCAATGTCCTTCAGCTCTGGATCCAAGGCTTTTAGCACTTCATCATGCTGCCTTAAATCTCAAAGCATCCCAACACTGCGACAAGGGAACCACTTCAGTGCCCCTGCTCATGCCCCTAGCTAAGTGCTAATATACTTGTCATCCCTTCAGTTCTGATGGACCCACAGGAAAGGAAGAACTCAGGGTATATTGGAAAGAGCACTGGACTTGGGAGCTTTGGAAAACTAAGGTCTTAATTCCTGAATCTGCTATTTACAAGTTGCACGGTCCCGGGCAAATTCTTTAGCCTCTATGAGTCCCTGTTTCCTTATCTGTAAAATGACAGCTCTTCTTCGCCCTCTGTCCATCTAAGCATTGCTATGAGTATCCAAGGAGAGCATAACAACAATGAAAAGACACAAGTGGACTTTAACATTTTCAAAGTGATTTGCTTGCAATGACTGTGTGAGGATTATCCTGAAGGTATTTTGTGGTCACAAGAGGGTATTTATGTATATGTGAACTAAAACTGTGGGTTGTTGCTGTAGACTTCAGTGAAGAGAACCTGCCTTTTTCTGCTTCTCAGATAAAATTCTTTCAAGGCCATTTAGCAGCCTCCTGGGCTACTCCCATTTTTGGTTGTTGTTTTTCAATCATTTTCCTCAAGGGTCCTGTCCCTGGTACAGAAGAAAAGAGTACCCAATTTAAAATCGGAGGATACAGGATCAAATCTTGTCATTATTTCTTGTCTTGGGCATATCCTCTTACTTCTCAGAACCTCATCTATAAAATGAGAAGCTTGAACTCTGAGGTCCCCTCTAGCTGTAAATACTATATTCCTGTGATTCCAGACCCAGTTGGAGATGAAGCATGATCAGCTGGCTATAGCCAGAGATGGGAGCAGAGAACAAGGTTTTAGTTCCAGAGTAATGAATGAAGACTGAATCATCTCTCATATTCTCTTACCCTAACCATCTCTTTCTTTCCCTCCTTTCTTTTGCCAGAATTTATATTCAGCCACCAAATTTTCTGCTCACCTCCGAGACGCCTTGGACGTCTTGCACAAAGAGGTGAGTTCAGCAGCTTCGCCTCCCTAGCAGGAATTCATACATCAGGGAGAGCTCAACTTTATGTTCTGATGGACCAGGGGAAGCTAGCAGAGGGCTGGGGTTCACGTGCAGCTCATTGAGGTTCACATCCCTACGTATTTCCTACTTTTCTTTGGAACCCTGGTTCTCGGAGACCACATATCTTGTAAGAGAAAGAAAAAAGCCCACATATTCTGAAAGCTGGGATGAATCAGGCACTCAATTAGCAAGTGTTTAATTATTTAAGTTTAAGCCAGGCACTGGGGACGCAAATATGAAGAATGAAAGACTCCCCATTCACAAAAATTGTGGAGACAAGAACATGTAGAAACATTAGCAGCACCACAGTATGTATGTATATGTATGCATATGTGTATATGCATGTGTGTATATATACAAAAAAATCCACATACACATAAAATATTTAAATATGAAGTAGTTTGGGAGGGAAGGCACTAGCAACTGACTGTATCAAAAAAGGCTTCGTACAGAATCTGGTGCCTGAGCAGCACCTAAAAGGAGAAGAGGGGCTCTGTGAGGCGGGGGTAAGTAGGAAGGGCATTCATGGCTTGGAGGAACCATCAGTACAAAAGCACAGAGATGGGAGATACAGCATCATGAGTGCAGAACAGAGTGAAGGCCACTTTGGTTGACTCTCCAGCGTGAAAGAAGAAAAAACTAAGATCATAGCATCTGGCCCCATCACTTTGTGGCAAATGGATGGAGAAAAAAATGGAAGTACTGTCAGATTCTTGGGCTCAAAGATCACTCCAGATGGTGACTGCAGCCATCAAATTAAAAGATGCTTGTTCCTTGGAAAGAAAACGATGGCAAATCTGAATGGTATACTAAAATGCAGTGACATTACCTTGTCAACAAAGCTGTGGTTTTTCCAGTAGTAATGTATGGCTGTAAGAGTTGGACATAAAGAAAGCTGAGCGCTGCAGAATCTATGCTTTTGAATTGTGCTAGAGAAGACTTCCGAGAGTTCTTTGGAGAGCAAGGAAATCAAATCAGTTGATACTTAAATTAATTCAAGCTACTCACTGGAAGGTCAAATACTGAAGCTGAAGCTTAATACTTTGGCCACATAATGAGAAGATGGGACTCATTAGAAAAGACCCTGATGCTGGGAAAGATTGAAGGCAAAAGGAGGAGAGGATGAGATGGATAGATAGTGTCATGGAAATACTAAACATGAACTTGGACAGACTTTGAGAGACAGGGGAGGAGAGAAGGGCCTGGCATGCTGTGGTCCAGGGGGTCACAACGAATCAGATAGGACTGAACCACTGAACAACAAAAACCAGGATGGGGCCTCCTGCAGCTGAGCTTTTGGCACTAGGTCTACCTGTACTCTTCCGGCTTCCTGCACAACAGGCTGAGTCTGCATCCCCAGTGACAGCACTGCAAGGAATCCTAAAAGAATCCCCAGTCCTGGGGCAGCTAGGTGGCACAGTGAATAGAGCATCAGCCCTGGAGTCAGAAGGACCTGAGTTACAATGTGGCCTCAGACACTTGACACTTAGTAGCTGAATGACCCTGGGCAAGTCGCTTAACCCTAATTACCTCACCAAAAGAGAAAAAAGAAAGAAAGAAAGAATCCTCACTCCACCTCCAAACCTGGAAATAGAGCCGATAGCTCAAACGCCTCCTGGAGGCTGTGAGTTTTGGCTTGGAATTAGAAGGATCCCATAACAGCTGAATGTGAAGTCCCCTTCATCTCTTTCAGCCTTAATCTCTCTCAATATTAAGGAAGGGCAATAATATATAACATCTTTTGCAAAGTGGTTGTGAGAAAAATGCTTTGGAACTTTCAAAGACCCTCCCCAGTGAGGCCCTTTGGCTCCTTGGTTGAAGCAATTAAATGTGTGTCAAAGGGACCCAGCTGTGAATTGGAATCGATCTAGTTCTGAATAGCATCTTCAAGCTTTGTGAGGTTAGGCTTTGGGTGGGAGGTCAAGGGGAGTCATCTTTTCACCAGGCTCAATGATCTGACCACGTTGCTCAAGAAAATCCCTCTGGCTTCCCAGGTAATTTATAAATGCCTGCATCCCTGGAAGCATTGGATACAGTGCTAGACGTGGAGTCAGGAATATTCAAGTTTGAATATAGAATGAGGATGATAATACCAACTACCTCACAGGTTTGTCATGAGGATCACACAAGATAATGTGTAAAGTACTTTGCACACCCTAAAGTGATGTATAAATACTAGTTATTATTATCTTTCCAGACTGATTTCACGCGACTATTCCCTACATGCTACTCATTCCAGCCAAACTTAAGAATTTTCTATTTGCTATACTCAACAGTCAGTGGAATATAAGATGTTTTCCCACTATTCCATTCCACTCTTCTATTCCACTGTTCTATTAATAACAACAAAAATAATAACTGACTTCTATATAATGTTCTAAGATTTGCAAAGCACATTGTCTCTTTTTATTCTCACAGAAACCCAAAGAGGTAAGAACAACAAATCTTATCATCCACATTTTGCAGATAAGCAAATTGAGGCCAAGAGAAGCTTAGTGTCTTTCCAAGGGTCACACGCAGCTATTAAATGGAATCTAAGTCAGATATGAACCCAGGTCTTAAAGAACCCTATTGCAGATCCCATGTTAGGGCTATTAAGTAAGAAAGAGTGTTTTATATTCTTGGCCTTGGAGTCTGAGTATGGATTTCACAGAGTATTTGATTTCGCTTACTAGCTGTGGGATCCTGGGTCAGTCACTTTATCTCTCTGACAAAGGTAAGTTTCAGCTTACCCTTTCTGTAGAATAAATTTTATGACAATACTTGGACAACCCACTGCCATTGTCGTAAGAAAAGCACTCTGCAAAATTAAAGTAACTATCAATTTGAGATGTAATTACTAGGGATTTGAAGCAATTGTGGCCCACCTTTCAGCTACATCATTCTATTTAGGTACCCAGAGCCTTGGTCAACCTCGTGGACTTTATGAACCCAATTATCCTTCGGGAGGTGTTCCTGGGTAACCAAGATAAGTGTCCAATACTGCAGGCGAGGTAAGCATAGTATTGGCAGCAGGATTGTATCTGCTGGTCTGGTTCATGAGGGTTGCTGGCATCCAGCTGTTGGCTCATCTGGTTCTACATATCGTGCTCCATCCCTTTTGGAAGCCAGCTGTTTGGAGGGAGCTTATGACTTCTGGAACCACCTATTCTGATTTATGCTGGTCCTACTCCTTTCTCACTGATGTATGGGCCCTGGCACAGATTATGGACACCCAAGATGCCAGGCTGGGGACATCTATATCTGTGTGCACAAGATTGAAGCAAAAGATGATTTTTTTAAAGGCAATTGGGGTTAAGTGACTTATCCAGGGTAATACAGCTAGTAAGTGTCTAGTATTTGGTCTGAAGTCAGATTTGAACTCAGGTCCTCCTGACTTCAGGGCCAGTGCTCTATCCACTGCTGCCCCCAAAAGATGATTTTTAAGGGAGGAATCCAATTCCCAACAAATATTTATTAAGCCCCCACTATTTGCTAGGCAGCAGCTAGATGGCACAGTGGCTAGAGTACTGAGCTTGGAATTAGGAAGATATCTTCATGAGTTCAAATCTGGCCTCCAACACTTATTAGCTGTGTGACCCTGGGCAAGTCACTTACTTTGCCTCAGTTTCCTCATCTATAAAATAAGCAGGAGAAGGAAATGCAAACCACTCCAGTATGTTTCCCCCCCAAAAAAAAACCAAAATGGGGTCATAAAGAGTCAGACAGGACTGAAACAACTGAATGACATCTGTTAGGCATATGGAATACAAAGATAGGATGAAAACCAGTCCCTTCCCCTGAGGGATTTACATTCTTCTGAGGAATACAGCATGCATACAAATAAGTGTTTATATGATAAGTTGAAAAGGGAGAGGGCCCTGACACATAGGGGGACTAGGCAGAGCATGTAGTGTGTGAGCTGAGGAAGGAAGCTATGAATCCTGAAGAGGAGAGAGGAGGAGGGAGTGAATTCATGGCACATGAAATAGCTCCTGCAAAGGCTTGAAATTTGGAGATGGATTTTAGGGAACAGAAAGGATTCTTGAATGCTTGCGGAATGGAGTTATCAAAAAAGAGGGGGCAGTAGCAGTCACACAGAATACTGGCACATGACAGCATGCCAGAGCACAATAGTGGGCACACTACATGTGTGTTGCATACTACATGTATGCTGCATACCACATGTATGCTACATGCTACATGTGTGTTACATAGCACATGTGACTACTCTGGATGCATCTGGCCAGTGAATTTTAGGGGCTTTTTTTTCCTGTCCAAATTTTCCCTAGCTTGACAAAGTTGTCCCTACCTCTTTCCATCTGAAGTCAGGAAGATGGGTCTTAACTCGAGGCCCAGCACTGTCCACTGCACCACCTAGCTGCCCTATAAACTTTAAAGCATCATGTGAACATTAGTTATTATTGCCATTGCTATTATTATGGAATAAAAAAGATGTTGGATTTAGCCTAAGGAGAGCTGAGTTCAAGTACCTGATCTGCTTCTTACTGATATGACTCTGGGTAGATCACCTAACCTCACCAAGCCTCAGTTTCCAGTAAAATGAAGTTAATACCTACAGTGTCTACCTTATAGGGCCACTGTGAGTAAAACATGATTGGTAATACTAACGTGAGTTGCTAGTGCAACACTGACCATTCTGGCTTCTACTGCCTGAAGGCCAGGTCTGCTATATCTCACCCCTCCTCCACGGTTTTCTGGTCCCTTTAGAGATATTTGGGCACGTCTAGGCTCTTTGCCAATAGCTCCAGCTCCCAGGGATGACATTCCCAAGGGTAAGGGTGGATCCTCTGTACTCCAGTTCCACTTAACCACTAATAGCTTAGCTTTTACGAAGAAATATTTATTTCTAAGATATAATAAGATGTACAAACAGCTTAGCTCGGTTCCCGTAGAGTAGCATTTTAAGATCCAAGTCCATCCCCTTCTCCCAAGTTTGAATCCCAGGTACCCCAGCTTCTCCAAGCTTCCCTGCTGGGCTGCTGGCTGCAATATCCTAAATCCCATAGTTCTGGTAGTCCAGCACCTGAAACTGAGAAGGACAAATGACACAGAAGAGAAACAAACACCCGCTGGTCCATTGCTGAAGGCAAGGACAAAAGAGGGAGGGAAGTTATCCCTCCTCCCAGTTCAGTCCATGGCACTCATCTTGTGGGGTGAATTGTGATCTTCACCCTCTGAACATAGTAATAGCAGTCAAAAGAGAGACTGTCTCAGTCTGGCCAGCTTTAAGGATGCAGACTGTTCTGTCTCCACAGCCAGTCAAAAGAGGTCACTCCCACCCATAAAGCAGGAGAAGGCAAGATGCAGGTTTACTCCATGTTAAGGGATCTGGACATGCCAAGGAAGGGCAAGCCCCTCACATGAGGAGTAGGGCTAAGCCCAGGAGATGTTCTAATGTGAGAAGGGGATAGTTTAAATTGGCATTAAAATGTTTCCTCTGTTCACGTTCTCTTTTGACAGTCTGGAGGTGACCCTGAGTTCTGAAAGGTTTATTATGGAGCTCCAGCTCTAGCAGGTTCTAACCAAGTTACAAAAGCACCAAGGTCAGGCCTGGTAATAACAGACTGTCCTTCCAGGCCCAGCCTAGCAAGGCTCAGAGAAGCTTATTACCAGAAGGCTAGCCCATGTGGGATATATTTTCATCCAGGGCAATTCAGGAAAGCTATCTCCTAATTTTGTGCAGCAGTCATGGATCTGTCCTGGAGGGAGGGGCACTGACACCAGATGAAATTATGAACTCCCTAGACTGGGCGTTGGAAGGGGCTGCCACCATGTCTCCTCATTTTACAGATGAGAGGGTTGAGACTGCAAGAAATTGAAAGTCACAAAGTTCCTCTGACTTCAAATGCCATTCACTTTCTACTGTTAATACAGGTTGCCTCTCAGTCCTTGAAGCACAGCCATGAAATGGTGCTGTAGAAAGTGCTAGATAATGACATTGCACGGATAACAGGGATCTCATCCTTACCCTCTCAATGGGTAAGGGAGGGTTTGGAAGGAGAGAGAATTTGGAATTCAAGTTTTTAAAAAATGAATGTTAAAAAAAGTATATATATATATATATATATATATATATATATATATATGTGCATATATATACATATATATTTATATATTTTAAAAGGCTGGATATTGAGGTAGAAAGCCTAGGTTTGAATCCCAGGTGTCCAACTTCCTTCCCACCTGAATGACCTTGGGTAAAGCCCAAACCTCAGCGTCCTCATCTATGAAATGAAGAGGTCATACTAGGTGACCTGTCAGATCTGTTACAGTTCTAAATCTATGATCCTAAAAATATCCAAACATTCAATGGCTCCCAATTAATTTGCATGACAGTCTATTTTTATAATCTGTTGACTTCCCTTTATTCAATCTTTATTCAATAGACTACTCAGCTGCCAGAAAGGTGATTAATATCATTTATGTCAGGAAAACATTTTAAGGCACACACGTGGTAGTCTAGGGACCAGACCTGACCAATGCCCCCAGTAGAGCCCTGAGGGGGCTTTCTGGGCAACATCTCCAAGTGCAACCAAAACTCTGTGCCCTGGCCCAAAGCCAGTCTTCCTTCATGCCAAGATGGCCTTTCTGTTTCTTCCTCTCCCATTATATTGCAGCTCTTCATGTAACTGCCTCCTGACAGTCAGAGAAGGTTCTCCAGAACTGGCCAGAATGAAAGAAGTCATCAAGTCCTATCACGTAAGATACGGAGACAGAGCATCTCTTTATGTCCACCTCATCCACTGACCAATACTACCCCTGTTGGGACCCCCAAGAGAAAGGGAAAGAGCCAGTTAATAGAACTTGAGGGCACACCAATTCAGCACCCTCTTGACATCAACTTGTTTATATGAGATGGGCATTTCATCCCCCCTTCTCAGATGTAATCCTTTCCTCCTTGAATCTCAGGCCACCCCATGCTCTCTAATCATTTTCTAAATTTATGTCCGTGTCACATACCTCTTACTTGATTGTAAGCTCCTTGAAGGCAGGCACTCACTGAGTCATGGTTTGCTGTTACTCAGCACCTTGTGCAAATCATCGTAGGTATTGATTCTAAATCAATGTTGAACTTAATAGAATTGATCTGCCTTTCTTAGTTGAAGCTGCAATTTCCTGCCAGATTTCCATGTAATGAAATTTGCCTCATCACTGGCCCTTTTCAGTCCTAGAGTTAGCAGGTTCAGCTGGTAAGTTTACTATGAAACGTACTATCAAGCTAAAATGTCCATAAAAACACACCACAAATGGATTCTCCACCTGAGAAGGGATGAGGTGAGATGGAGCAGGGAAAAGCAGAAAGTCAAGGTTGTACCAAGCTCAGCCCTGAGAAGGTTTCTCTGGGTAAGCTTGTGTGAGGCCCCTCTGGGCTTCAGTTCCTCCATCTGTAAAACCAAGGTTGTACTAAGTAATTCCTTAGGTCCTTCCAGCTCTAAATCCTCTGCTCTTGTGATGTCATAAACTTATGATGCTTATGACAATTTTCTTGGAAAAGGCTACCCATTTGCCCTTCTCCTTGACTCATGTAGTTTCATAGAATAATAGATTTAGACTTAATAGGGAACTTAGAAGTCATCTAGTCCAATCCCCTTATATTACAAATGAGGCCCAGACAAGTGAAATAACTTGACCAAGATCACAAAAATAGTAAGTGCCTGAGCCACCTTCAAACGTAGGTAGTCTGCCTTAAATCCAGGTCCCTTTCTATCATTTCATGCTGCCCACAAGCTTTTTGTAAAACCGTAAATAAAAGGGTGACCAGACCTATCTCCACTTAAGAGTTAATGAATTTGCTCAAGAAGTGTTCCTGAGCCAAGTCCCAATGCTGGATGGAAACAAGGGCATAGAGGATTTGGAAGGAGGTTTAGGTTGAGTGGGTAGGGGTACCACCTTCCCAGATGTGGGTGGTTCGTAGCATAATGAGGATGGGGGGTAGCTTTCTCACTGTGAAGAGCTGATGGCCTGGGGAGCAGGATGTCTAGAAGGGCCTTCCTGTCCAGAAATGCTAACATGGGCACTGAGACCAGGCTGTTCCTCTTTCCCGGTTCCAGATCAGTATTCGAGAGTTAGTGGAGTCGGGCCGCTATGACACTCGAGAGGACTTCACAGTGGTACTGCAGCCTTTTTTGGAAAATACCAGCCTTCCCTTCCAGCCGGTATGGTACCTTCTCCTGCTTCTGCTCTTGTCTTTACTGCTCACCAGCAAGCTTCCTCTGGGGGATTCACTTGAATTCATCTTTTTATACTCCCTCTATAACTTCATGTCTCTTCCTTCAAAGTCTAGTTCACCTTCTCCATGAAGCTTGCCCTGGAATAAATGCAAAGTCTTACGCTTAGGTTCAAAACATTAACTTCACAAGTAGAAGATGAAAGCAGCATAGTTAGACAGCAGTTTTTCTGAGGGAAAAAAACCTGGGGATTTCAGTGGACCACAAACTTATCATCAGTCGACAACATTGCAAGGTGCCTTAAGAAGCTAATATAGTCTTGGGCTATATCGAAAGATTAGTGTCAAGGACTAGGAAGGTAATAGTCCTGCTATAACTCTGCCGTGGTATGTCCACATCTAGAGTATTTTAACTTCTGGATACCACATTTTAAGAAGGACTTTGACCACCTAGAAGACATTCAAAGAAAGGCAACCAGGACGGTGAAAGGCCTTGAGTTTCTACCACATGAGAATTAGTTAAAGGAACTGGGCCCTGGATAATAATAGCTAGCATTTATGTAACATTTTAAGGCTTGCAAAGCTCAATACAAATATTATTTCATTTTATCCTCAAACAACCTCGTTTGCAGATGAAGAAACTGAGGTTTAAAGAGGTCAAGTGACTTGTCCAAGGTTATACAGCTAGTAAGTATCGAGGCAGAATTTGAACTCTGGTCTTCCTGACTCAAGGTTCAGCCCACTATTTCACCAACTAGATGCCTCTGAAAAAAAAAAGACTTGCTAGGGTGCAAAAATAGGGAGGGGTGGCAGAAATGGAATGGAGCCAGCTTAGGAGAGATTGTTGTCAGATTTTCAGTGCGACATTTTCACCTAAGAAATTGCTACAAATCAGGGCTTGATTTATGGTTTTTTTTGACTGTCTGCAATCAACAAAGTGATTGGAGTGATGAAGATCTTAACAATACAGATTACACATTAAAGTGTGTCATTGGTGCATTTTTTTTGGAAGAGTCAGTTGTTAAATATTTCCCAGCATTCCCCTGGGTGGACACAATAAGTGAGTATTTGAAGAGCTGTCGGGTGAACAAGGGTGTAGACATGTTCTGCCTGGCCCCACAAGGCAGAACTGGGATGAATGGGTAGGAGTCGCAAAGAGACAAATTGAGGCATCACATAAGAAAAAACTTTCTAAGTACAGCCGTTAAGGAGTTAGAATGGGCCGCTCCAGAGATGGTGGGCTCCAACTCACTGAAGGTTTTCAAACAGAAGTTAGATGTTCACTCGTTGGGAGTATCGTAGAGGCATTTGTGTTCAGATGCACTTGGACTCAGTGGCTTCTGAGGCCCTAAACAGCTCTGAGATTCTGGGATTCTCCACCAACAACTCCTATTCCCCAGCTAAAAATATTCTCTTTCCTGCTCTGCTTTCCCAGAGCACTTTGCCTAGACCTCTCCTCTGCCCCTCTCACACTTAATTCTGTAACCATTAGGAGCATGAGCTTCTTGAAGGCAAGGATCACATTGCTTTTCATCTCAATATCCCCAGCTTTGAGCACTGTGCTCAAAGCTCAAATGAGTTGAAGTTATGTTCTCAGAGTAAGTGATAGCATGAACTACTTAATGGAAATGGAAACAGGAAATCTCTCGGTTGTAAAGGAGCAACTCTGTTGTGTTTTCAGAACTGAAAAATAGAACATGAGAGAGATCTGAAAGTGTCTACTGTGTTTTCAGGACTGAAAAACAGAACATGAGAGAGAGAGATTTAAAAGTGGCCTGGAGCCCTCCTCTCCCTCCACCCCTTCTAAACCCACTCTTCAGTGATGGGTGATGGGAAGGAGGAATGAGTAACACTGACTGCTCATGTTGGGTACGATCAAGTCCTTGAAATGAGTGAGAAAGAATGGGGAATGGGCATGGGGCAGAGAACTAACAGTCACAACAGCTCCACTTGGCTCTGTCCCTTGGGCCAAAGCCTCCATTTATCCTAACCTGAGGCCACCAGGGGCCAAGTAACCTAAGGCCATAATATATCTCTTCTGATTGGCTGCCAAAGGCAGAAAACTGCTTTCCCATAGGACTGAACAGTTTTTGTCTCACTTGTGCCCTAGGGTGGGATATTATGTGCCTAACAAATTATGAATTGTTTTTCCTGGATTTTAAAAGGGAAATTAAAGGAAAAAAGGAAGAGAGGAGGACATGTCATCTGATGCTTAAGTAGGTCACTTGAGGCTGTCAAAGCATGGAACTTTTTAACGATTCCCTCTTTTTTTCTTTTTTTGAGCAGAAACAGAGAACAAATGATTCCCTTTTAAAACAAGTCCGATCTGTAAAGGGGCTAATGACTCACAAATCTTTTGTAAGAGAGGTAGAGATATTAGCCTGCTTGTCCATCCTCATTAGCCTTCAGAATATTACATGGTACCACCTATGTTCAGAGTACGAAGAATGGAAGCTCCTTTAGGGCAGGGACAGTTCCGTGTATTTTTAATCTTTGAATCTCAAGCAGCTTTCACACAGTAGGTACCTAATAAATGTTTGTTTAAATTAAATACTAGAATTCCAATCAAAAGTCCATTTTTCTCCCTTGGAATTCTAAAAGCATTTTGGCTTGTACCTCTCATGCCCTTGTATGTGTTTGGTATTATATATTCTTTATGTATAGAATTTATCTTATTAGTCTATAATCTCCTTCAGGATGGGGCTATGTCTTACTCTTCTCACTTTTTCCCAAACTAACACAGAGCCTTTACACATGATAGATGCTTAATACGTAATTCCCACCCCTTCAGCTGTTAGTACATCCTGCCCCCACAAACAAATATTGTAGCTGCATGTTGTATAACCTAACTGAATGTAAGCTGTTTGAATTCATGGACCTTTTGGCGATTTTTGTCTTTGAATGAATGCTTAGTGCCCTTCACAGTCCCTTATACGTGGTATGTGCTTGTGATACATGCTTATCCATTGGGGTTTTTTTCATTGTATTTTTAGTCAGTGAAAATCTGCCTTCTTTCCCATCTTTCCCTCCCCATTGAGAAAGCAAGAAAACAAAAGTTGTCACAAACATGAATAGTTAAATAAAACAAATTTCCCAATTGTCTATATCCCTCCAAAATTTACCTTAATCTGTACTCCATCATTTCTGTGTCAGGAGGTGGTAAGCATGTTTCATTAGGCATGCTGTGACATCATGGTTGGTCATCAAAGTGATCTGAGTTACTAAATCTTCAAAACTGTTGGTCTTTACAAGATTATAGTTATAGATCAATTGTTCTCCTGGTTCTGCTCACTTTATTCTATATTGGTCCAAGCAAGTCTTCTCACATTTCTCTGAAATCATTCCCTTCAATATCTTGTAACGCAGTAGTATTCCATCAAATACATAGGCCACGACTTGTTCAGCCGTCCTCCATTTGATGGATACTCTCTCAGTTTCCAGTTCTTTGCCACTACCAAAAAAAAAAAAAGAGCTACTGTAACTGTTTTTATACATATGGGACCTTTTCTTCTTTCTTTAATCTCTTTGGAATAAAGACCTAGTAGTGGTATGAGTGTGTCAAAGGTTATGCACACCCTAATAGCTTTTTGGGCATAGTTCCAAATTGTTTCCCAGAATGCTTGGACTAGTTCACAGCTTTTCCAACAATGCATTAAAGTACCTGTTTTCCCATAGCCCCTCCAACATTTGTCATTTTCCCTTTTTCTTTATTTTGGAAGTAGAACTTCAGAGTTGTTTTAATTTGCATTTCTCTAATTATTAATGATTTTGAGCATTTTTTAATGTAGATTTTGATAGTGTGGATTTTTTTTTTCTTGAAAACTGTCTGTGTCCATCCATATCCTTTAACTATTTATCACCTGGCAATGGCTCTAATTCTTATAAATTTGAATTGGTTCCGATACATCCTAGAAATTAAACCTTTATTAGAGAAATTTGCTGCAAAGATTTTCCCCATTTACCTGCTTCTCTACTATTTATAGCTGCATTGCTTTTGTTTATACAAAAACTTTTAAAAATTTTATGTAATCAAAATTGTCTTTTATTTTCTGTGATCCTTTCTATCTCATGATTGCTCATGAACTCTTTCCTCAGCCATAGACTTCACAGACAATTTCTTCCTGCTCCTCTACTTTATGATGTCATCTCTAAGTCATGCACCTATTTGAAGTTTATCTTGGTGTAAAGTGTCAGATATTGGTCTAGACTTAATTTCTACCAGACTGCTTCTTTGCTTTCTCTACAGTTTTGTCAAATAGTGAGTTCTTACCCTTTGGGGTTTACCAAACACTACTTGTTTGGTGCTTGTTTGTATCTTATTTTTACCCAGTGTGTTCCATTGATCAACCCTTCTATTTTTAACCAGCACCAAGTTTTTTTGATAATAAGTGGTCTCTAATATAGTTTTGAGATCCAGTACTGCTAAGCCCCATTCCTTCCCATTTTTTAAATTGTATTCCTTGAAATTCTTGACTTTTTGTTTCTTCAAATGAATTTGATTATGATTTTTTTAAGCTCTACAGAGTAATTCTTTGGTAGTTGGTATAATACTGAGTAAATAAATTAAATGGTATTGTCATTTTTATTATATTGACTCAGCCTACTCAGAAGCTAGTAATATTTTCTAATTACCTAGGTCTATCTTTATTTGTGCAAAGAGTATTTTGTATTTGTATTTGTATAGCTTCTGTGTGTATCTTGGCAGGTAGACTCCCAAATAGTTTATACTTTTTGTAATTATTTTTAATTGATTTTTTTCTATTGCTTCCTGCCAGGTTTTGTTGATAATATGCATATATACTGATGATTTATATGAGTTTATTTTATATCTTGCAACTTTGCAGACATTGTTGATTTTTTCAATTAGTTTTTTTTTAATTCACTCCCTAGGGTTCTCTAAATAAACCTTATCACCTGCAAAAAAAAAAAGCGATATTTTTATTTCTTCTTGCCCTATGCTTATTCCCTCAATCTTGTTTTCTTATTTTTATCACTATAACTAGTATTTCTATCACTAGGTAGAATAATAATAGTAGTAATGGACCCCAATCTTACTGGAAAGGCCTTTAGTTTATCTCCATTACAGATCATGCTGTATCTTGGTCTTAAAGAGATATTATTTATCATATTAAGGAAAGCTCATTTTATTTCTATGCCTTCTAGTGATTTTTTTTTTAGACAGGAATGAGTTTTTTATCTTGTCAAAAGCCTTCTTCTAGGGCAGCTAGGTGGCATGTGAATAGAGCACCAGCCCTGGAGTCAGGAGGACCTGAGTTCAAATCCGGTCTCAGACCAGACACTTGATACTTACTAGCTGTGTGACCCTGGGCAAGTCACTTAACCCCAATTGCCTCACTAAAAGACAAGAAAAGAAAAGGAAAAAAAGCCTTCTGTACCTATTGGTATAAGCATATAATTTTTGTTGTTCTTATATGTTGATTAATTGATTAATTAAGTGTAATTTAATTAATTTCCCCCATCAGGATGGAAGCCCAGATGTCTCCTTCTTTGCCTCAGACTGTATCCACCCAAATCAGAAATTCCACTCCCAGCTCTCCAGAGCCCTTTGGAACAGTATGGTAAATGACCAGCATGCTTACCTTTATGCCAAAGATGAACAAGTTTATGACATTAAATCTCTAGCCTTTCCCCAAACTCTGTGCAAAAGAGACATCTCATTCTGACCCTTCCATTGCACATGAGGAGCCACGCTCCCAGAGGGTTATAATGACGACTGATACTTGGGTCACACTACAAGTCAGAATCCCCAAGTTCATTGCCGTCATGTGACTAGAGAATACTTCAACACTATTGGATCTGTGATCTCACTGATATCGGTATTCCTTCCAATGATGCCCATCATAATCCAACCATGCCTCCTTGTCCTAGTGGGAGGTGATAGCTCAGCGCAGGAGACAAAGCGTTGACTCTGGATTCAGAGGACTTAAGTTGAAGTCCCAGCTTTGCTACTGGGACACCTGTGTGACCTTAGGCAACTCATTTAACCTCCCTGGGCCTCATTTTCCTCATCTATAAAATGATTTGATGGCATCTGAGATCTCTTCTGACTCTAAATATGTGATCTCATGATCCAGCAATCTTCCCATTGATTCACCACTGAGGGTCTATCTATCATGCTGGGGGTTTTCTAGTAGACCAGGGGTTCTTGACCTGGGCTACATGAACTTTTAAAAAAAATTTTATTAATTTACTTTGATTTATCAACAATCACTTCCATATGCTTTTGAGTTGAAAATTTTTCTCCCCCTACCCCCCACCCTTCCTCCCCAAGATGGCAAAATTTAGATTACTGTATTTCAATGTAATTGGTTTCCTTTATAATCTTATGTATTTTATTTTATGCATTTAAGACCATAATTCTGAGTAGGGGCCCATAGGCTTCACTAGACTGACTGCCAAAGGGAATCACATATTTTCATGAAACATAAGTAGGTGAAGAACCCCTGCCTTAGACCTTTGACATCAGATGCGTATCTCTAGACACACGAGTTATTCATTGATTATTCCTTATCTGGATATGTAAACATCCCACCTTTTTTTTCTTTCTGTTCAAACTTTTTTTTATTATATGTATAGTAAATAAGAATGGGCTCTCATCTGTGTGAGAAGGTACATAATTGGCCAATCAAATCATGGCACACAGAGAGAAAAGGAGTAAGAAGATGGATTTCTTCCCAGTCAAGCTAGAGAAGATGGAGTGAAGAGAGGAGACAATGTATAGATTGGCCTCATGGACTGACATGGGAATATAGTATTGATGGAAGACACCATAGCTGAATAGTATATATTATAATTCAGCAGTTCAGTCATGTCCAACTCTTTGTGACCCCATAGACTATGGCATGCAAATACCATCCATGGGCTTCTCTTGGCAAAGATACTAGAATGGTTTACCATTTTGTTCTCCAGTGCATTAAGGCAAATAGAGGTTAAGTGACTTGCCCAGGGTCACAAAGCTAGGAAGTGTCTGAGGCAGGATTTGAATTCAGGCCTCCTTGACTCCAGGACCAGCACTGTATCCACGGAGCCACCTAGCTGCCTCTGAATATTGTAGAACGGTTTTTAAACCTTATTTTGTTATGGATTATTTTGTCAGTCTAATGAAGCCTGTGGACACTTTCTCAGAATGATATTTTTAAATGTGTAAATTAAATACATGGAATTACAAAGAAAGCCAATAGTATTGAAATACTGTTATCATATATTTAAAAAACAAGTTCATGAACCCCAGATGAAGAACCTCTGTTCTAGGATGGACATAGCCTGGAATGGCTTTTTTTTAAAAAAATTAATTATTTTTATTTTTAATTTAAAATTAATTTGTTTTTCGTTTTCAACATTCACTTCTATAAGCTTTTGCATTTTAAATTTTCCCTGCCTCCCTGCCCTCTCCCCTCCCCAAGACACCGTGCAATCTGATGTAGACTCTACATATACATTCTTATTAAATGTATTTTCACATTAGTCATGTTGTAAAGAAGAATCAGAATGAATGGGAGGAACCACAAGAAAAAAGTAACAAAACAAAAGAGAGCAAATGGGATGTTTCCATTTACATTGACTCCATAGTTCTTTCTCTGGATGTGGTTAGCATTTTCCATCATGAGTCTTTTGGAGATGTCTTAGGTCATTGCATTGCTGAGAAGAGCTAAGTCTATCAAAGTTAGTAATCGCACAATGTGGCTATTACTGTGCACAATGTTCTCCTGGTTCTGCTCACTTCACTCAGCATCAGTTCATCTAAGTCTTCCCAGGTTTTTCTGAAGTCAGCCTGTTCATCATTTCTTATAGTACAATAGTATTCCATTACATTCATATACCACAACTTGTTCAGCCATTCCCCAAATGATGGGCATCCCCTCAGTTTCCAATTCTTGGCCACCACAAAAAGAGCTGCTATATATGTATTTTTTACACGTGGAAAAATAATTTTTTTTTCAATTTTATTAATTTATTGACTTATCAACAATCACTTCCATATGCTTTTGAGTTGAAAATTTTTCTCCCCCTCTGGAATGGCTTTGTTGAGAAGCCCAGCTCCACAGAACTTGGCAATTCCTGGAGGAACCCTCTACCTGGGATAGGGCCAAGGAAATGTCAGAGGAAACAAATCCACTAATCTCCACTACTGCTTCTGTTTTTCCTTTTTATAGCTTGAACCATTAGGGAAGAAGACAGATTTCCTGGATTTGGCAGCAGATACAGCTCTATCCTGCCCAACCCAGGTAATAAAGTTCTTTTCAGAGGGATCCCCTTTCCCTTGAACTGATTGCATTCATCTGTCCTATCTCAACCCCTTTTACCTTCAGATACTGCCAATGCCCATTTCCTTAGTTTTCCCTTTTCTGCTAAATTGCGGAAGGTTGTTTGGAAATGGTGATATTTGAGATAGGCCCCCAAGGAATTTGGTTGAGAAGGGAATGGTAAATATAGCTTTGGAAATGGGAGAACAGAGCCAAAGCAACTTAAGACAAGATTTCTATAATCCAGGGGATGTGAGTAGGACAGAGAGAAAAAAAAGAAAGAGAAATGTGGGCAGGCCTTTGAGAAGCAGAGTGATGTTATAAGAGAATCTGCCCAGAAAGCTCCTCGTAAAGCTGGCTGGAAGAGGATGAGCGAACACACATTTGGGGTAGTTGGTCGGGAGCAAAATACCAAAGAATCACTCTAAACCCTAGTGATGCCCCATTGCCTCTAGGAGGGAGAAATGGAGTCTGGAGGAGTTGGGTTTTTTGTTTGTTTGTATGCAGAGAGAAACTAGAAGGGTTGGAAAGAATCCTTCTCTTTAAGGACGAGTATTTGAGCAGTGACTCAAAAACTGGTTTTGAAATGGGAGTGGGTTAGGAGACTAATTTGAAATTCACAGTGTTTCTGGCTTTCCCAACTAGTCTGCCTCTAGTAGCTTTTTTTAGAAACCAAATTTAGTCAAAATCAGAGAGATAATAAGATGTAGGATAGAGTGATACAATGGAAAAATGGGTAAGCTTTGCAATCAGAGGACCTCCATTTAAATCCCAGTTCTACTACTTATTCTGTGACTTTGAGCAAGTTACTTTAGTCAATCAATTAATCAATAAACATTTAGTAAGCACCTTCTGTGTGCCAGGCACAAGTGCTAAGTGCTGGGGATACAAAAAGAAGCAAAAGGCAGTCCTTGACCTCAAGGAACTTACAGTCTAATGGGGGGAGACAACAGGCAAACAAAAAAAGCAAGCTGTGTACAGGATAAATAGGAAATAATTAACAGAGCGAAAACATTGGAATTAAGATAAGTTAGGGAAGGCTTCCAGTAAAAGATTAAGATAAGTTAGGGCAGGCTTCCAGTAAAGATGGGATTTTAATTGAGACTTGAAGTCAAAGTCAGGAGACAGAGGGAAGGAGGAAGAGTCATTTCCATAGGTTCCCAAAGTGGGCCATATGGCCCCCCTGATGGACTAACAATCCATGGGGGTGTTAGTAGCCTTGGGTGCAATTGGGGGACATTGAATAAAAATAAGGGGGTGGTGGAAACATAAGGAAAGAAGATAAGAAAATGTGAAAAACCTTTCATCTGTAGTGTAACAGTTAAAGTCATAGTGATTACATTATTTTCCAAATAAATACACAAAATGCAAATTATAATGGATCAGTGGTCAGGTCCACCAACAGGTCTTAACAAGCAAGTGTTGGCAAACGAGCTTGTGGGCAGTCCAGCATGTATTGGCAGAAATACATATGTGCACGTAATGATTTGTTTACAATACGATACTCAGTAGTACATCATCAAAATTTTAACGCAGGAAAGCCCCCACAAATTTACAATGAATTATTAAATTTAAGATGCGTCATTTCAAAAATATGTACATATTTTTGAAATTATGCAAATTTCAAAAAAATAAAGGCCATTTAAAGGTTAAAGGAAGTAGATTTCCAGTGGAGTGCTAAGTAATTTTTTTTTTAAAGGGGACATTAGGCTAAATAAGTTTGGGAGCCTTTGATCTAGACCTCAATTTCCTGTAAAACAAAGGAGTTGGGCTTGAAGTCTTATAAGGTAGAGGAAGAGGTAATAGTTGTGGGCCTTGCTGCCTTACTGAGTGGATGGAGGACTGAACTAGCTGCCAAATCTTTAGTCAGTCAATGAACATGTATTAAGCACTTACTACGCGTCAGACACTATACTCAACATTGAGGATTCAAAGTAAAACATTCTTTGCCCTCAAGGAGCTCACATTCTAATGCAAATAACTACACGATATGTATAAGTGGTCCTTTTGATTGGACTGTTGCCCTCCCCTATTCTTTACAAGCTCAGCCAGGAGGTTTTGGTCTCTGCCCTCTGCCCACCGCCTACCATCTTGTGTGAGAACAGGCTTTGCCCCACATTCAATGGGTTGCATCATGCAAATTATTTAATTTCTTACTGTCTCTAAAATGGGTATAATAATAGAGCCACACGAGGAAGCCATCATTTGTTCCATAATTTAACCAACATCTCTTTAGCATTTACTCTGTGCAAGGTCTATCATTCAAATCTCCCTTCTGACACTCTGGCATGCCAGTGGCACTCAGTTTTGAAGTCTGTAGCTCTGGAGCTCTGCAAAGCTGGAAAGACTTTGGACACCAGGCTGACTGGCAAGGGATTTCAAGTCAATTGTCAGCCTTGGTTTAAGAATCTTGTCATGGCGTGGTCTACTGGGGGTAGATCTTTCCTGCCACAGCCTCTCTCAGAGCTTGAGTGGCACCCACACCTATGAAACAAGCTTCTAGAAATACATGCAAGGCTAGATCCTGCGGAAGAGACAAAGATAAATATTAGCATTCATATTGCATTTTAAGGTTTGCAAAGCGCTTTAAATGCGTTCTCTCATTTTATTCTAACAACAGCTCTATGAGTTAGGGGCTCTTATCTTCATTTTACAGATAAAAAAAACTGGACCCGAGAGAGGCTAAGTGACTTGTCCAGGGTCAGGTCACTAATAAGTGTCTCAGGCTGGATTTGAACTTAGGTCTTCTTGACTCCAGGCCCAACTCTCTCTCCACCATCTTTCTACATACCAAAGTTCTCACAACCTCAGTGTCATCTTCAGCTGGTCACTTTCTTTCATCCACACATTTGCCCCTGTGTCTCACATCCATTCCCTTCCTTCCACTCACAGATACCACCCTACTTTTTCTTGGAAACTTGCTGCTTTCCAGAGGAGTCAGTTCTTGAAGAGACTCTACTGGGCTTAAGCAATGATCCCAAGATAGTCATTCTGCCTGGAGGCAGGAAAAGTATTGGTCAGCAAGCAGTACCTCTGCCTTTCTAGGCAACCATTACAGTCTTCACTGTTGGTGGGGGAAAGGGGAGATGCCCCAGAAATCTAATTTTTCCTCCTTCCCAGAAGTCTGCTGGGATAACCCATTGATGATAGCTGACATGTACTTATGTTTGCAAAACACTTTGTCAACATGATGTCATTTGAACCTCACAACAACCCTGTGAGATAGGTACTATAGATCTTATAAAGGATCTTATAGGCTCATTTTGTGTGTGAAGAAACTGAGGCCCCCAAATTAAGTGACTTTCCCATGGTCATACAGCTAGTGTCAGAGGTAGGATTTAAACCTGGGCTTCCCTGACTCTGTTTTCCCTACCCCCATCCCCCCATCTCTTTGAAAGACAATATAGCCATCCCTTTCCCCTGTGAGATGAGCAAGTCCAAGGCTACAAAGTCCAGTGGGCACATCCTCCTTCCAGTAACCTATAGAGGTCCATTTCAAAGACGCATGGTTGCTAAGTAACTCTGGAATCCATTCCAAGAGGGTCCATCTGTTGGCAAGCACATATTTTGCTACATAAGACAACTCACTCTGGCAGCCGTGGGCTCCGTCTGCTACATTCCTCTGTGATGTAAAGCTATATAAATCTGCATGTGTGTTAGGGGGCCAGGCAGCAAGCGTTTTAAATGGAACCAAATCTAAACATAGAGGTAACAGGCAGGACCTGAGTAGGGGTAGGCGAGGAGGAAGAGGTGGCTGCCAAGTCCTTTCATTCTCTTCCTACCCCTAATCAAGCTGTAGATGTATTCTCCTTGTGCCAGGCAGAATGGCTTCTCATTTTTAGCTATTTCTAAAGCACTTTCTATTGGGCAACTTTTTAAAAGCTGGCTCTTGATTATCTATATATAGTAGTGGCCATCCCATGGAGCGTGCAAGGGGATAGGTCTGGGGCCACATCACGTCTGCTTTTTCCAGGAATACATGTTCTGAATAGGGTGCTACCTATGAAATGCTGTCTCTCCCCCTGCCCCCCTCCCCTCACCAAAAGTGTTGAGCACAAGTCCCCAGAAGTGGCCAGGGCACAGATCTATCCTCACACCTAGCCCCATGGGAACTCTATGAAATAGCCACAATTACATATGTGATGGTCCTTCTAGTAAGACTTGGACTGGCTTCCTTGTGAGGAGGCCTTAGTCCCTAAAGACCTTGAGAGTTGTTCTTCTTCCTGGCTTAGACAGAAAGGAAACTAATTCAAGATCAGGGCTGGAGGGTGGGGTTTGATAGAGAGACAGAGACAGAAAAACACAGATAGAGAATGAGACAGAGAGGCATGGGCACAGACAGAAATAAACAAAGAGACAGGTACACAGAAAGAGAAGCAAGAGAGATGCAAAGACACAGAGACAGACAGAGAGAAGTTCAGACAGAGAGAGACTGACAAGAGAAAGAGAAATAGACAGAGAGAGGTATAGACAGAGACAGACAAGGAGAGTGATGGAAGGATGCCCTCTTGTCACTTCAAACTCAATGTGCCCTTTACTTTCCTCTCAAAATCAACTCTACCCCACACTGGACTTTCTATATTTTTATTAATAAGACTCTATTTTCCCAGTGTAACATATCCTTGCAAGACACAGCAATCATAGAATTCACAGCAGGGATGTTTTAGAGAGAAACTCAGAGGGTGTGTGTGTATGTGTGTGTGTGTGTGACTGGAGTAGGATCAAATTCTGGGAAAAAGGAAGTAGAGGAAAAGGGAGAGTTCCTCTGTCCAAGCCTTTTGTTATGAGCACAGTTCCAGCTCAGCAGCCCATTTAAGGGCTTTTCATCACTGCACAGTAAGCCAATAAGAAACAGTGAGAGGATACCTGTGCATATTTTAAAGCCTAAAGGGAAAAGGTCCCTCCATCACGCATTTCTGGAAGCAGGCTCCCCAAGACTTTGTGTGGACATTGTTTGTATATGCTCTGAGAACTAGACCCTCCTTGGCCCATCTGTCTCCTACTCTGCCTTACACCACTGGCCCAGCCTGAGAACTTTAGTCACCTTAACTCAAATTCCTCAGTTTGGATTTTTAAATCCTTTATAATCCTCCTACTCCAGCCCATAGAATATAACCAAGAGCTGTTTTGGTTTTGTCTTTGTATCCGCCTGGGCCTAAGTGTTTAATATATGCTTATTGATTGATTGGCTTCTCCTATCTAACCCATTGTCAGTCAGTGAGTGAGTCAACAAGTTGTTGTTGTTCAGTCATGTCTGACTTTCTGTGACCTTATTGGGGTTTTCTTGGCAAAGATGCTGGAGTGGTTCGCCATTTCCTTCTCCAACTCATTTTACAGATGAGGAAACTGAGGCAAACAGGGTTAAGTGATTTGCCAAGGTCACACAGCTAGTAACTGTCTGAGGCTGGATTTGAACTCGGGTCCTCCTCACTCTAGGCTGGGTACTCTATCCATTAGGTGCCCAGGAATCAACAGGTATTGTATTTACTAAGCATTTACTTATTATTGCCAATGGCTGTGCTACTTGCTTGGGATACAAAACTACTCCTGCCCTCAAGGAGTGATTCTTTCTGCCTAAAGTCTCTTAAGTCTCTCCTTTCTATTTCATCCCATTCTCTGCTATTACAACAATCCAGGCTTCTTACCTTACACTTGGTGTTCTGCAATAGCAATTTAAAAACATTTTTAAAAAGTAATTTTTTTAAGTTTTGAGTTCCAAATTCTATACCTCTCTTCCCTTCCCCCTCCCTGAGACAATAAACAATCAGATATAGTTTATACATGTACAATCATGTAAAAAACTTCCATATTAGTCATTTTGCATAAGAAGACTTAAATAAAAAAAAAGAATGAAAGAAAAAAGGCAGTGAAAGGTAGCATGCTTTAGTCTGTATTCAGACAATATCAGTTCTTTTTCCAGAGGCAGGTAGTGTGCTTCATCATTACTCCTTTGTCATTGTCTTGGGTCATTGTATTACTGAGAATGTTGCTGTTACTGTGTACAATGGTCTGGTTCTGTTCTCTTCATTTTGCATCAGTTCATGTAAGTCCAGGTTTTTCTGAAATCATTCTGCTTATCAATACTTATAGAACAATAATTAACATTCCATCACAATCATATGCTACAACTTGTTCAGCCATTCCCCAACTGATGGGCATCAGCTCAATTTCCAATTCTTAGCCACCACAAAAAGAGCTGCTATACATATTTTTGTACAAATAGGTCCCTTTCCCTTCTTTTGAGGTCTTTGGGATAGAGACCTAGCAGTAGTATTGCTGGATCAAAGGGTATGCAGAATTTTATAGCCCCAGAGGCAGGTTTTAACTCCAGCTTTCTTGACTTGAAGTTAAGCAATGCACCCACTTTGTCTACTACACCTCAATGCGCCTTTTCCAGAAGCTGCTGAGGTTTGCACTCACTCCACAGGCAGAGCCTTTGAGAACCCAGACAGAGTCCTCGACATGCTCCTCTTTGCTTCTAAAATACAATGCAAGCCCTTCTGTTTGGCACTTAAATCCCTTCCCAATCTGGCTCCAGCCTCCCTTTCCAGCCTTAATGGCACGACTCCCTTTCACATATTCAGCTTTCTAGCCAGACTGGTTTCCTTGCTGTTTCCCAGATATATCCTTCTATCTCTAAGCCTTGGCATAGGCTGTGCCCTATGACTGGCATGTACTTGATTTTCACCTCCACCTTTTAGAATCTCTAGCTTCCTTCAAGGCTCAACTCAATTGGCAGCTCCTACCCCAGGCCTTTTCCTGATCCTCTGAGCTGTTTCCTCCTGCCCCAAGTTAGCACTTTTTTTTTTTGCATTTTATATTTACCTATCTCCAGAACTATTGATTCCCCCTCTCCCAATAGAAGGAAATCTCCTAGAGGGCAGAGACTATTTCATTTTTGTCTTTATGTCCCCAGGGCCTAGCACAGTGCTTGGCATACAGTAGGCAACCTAACAAATGCTTAATGAGTGAATGAGGCCTTGGAGAAGGATTTCAATGAAGAATGAACTATTTTTAAGATCACAAATTTATATGTGATTTATTCTTTCAAAGAAAAAAAATTAATGGCTCAAAAATAATCAGAGAACTGAACATAGAATCACAGCACTACTGGAAAAAAAAACTGTTCCCTACGGGGGAAATGAGAATCATAGGATCACAGATTTAGAACAATAAGTAAGACTTCAAAGACCACCCAGTCCAATCCTGTCATTTTACAGATGAGGAAACTGAGGCCCAGAGAAGTTAACTTGCCCAAAGTCTGGTAGGTGGTAAGAGACAAAGGTAGGCTTTAAATACAGGGCCTCTGGACCCAGAGCCATTGCTCTTTCCACAGTTTTAATTTTGTGATTGTTTAGATTTCACCTGTGACTTCATCTCTGTAGGAGCGGCCAGTAAGGTACTTCTTTCAAAGCTGATTAGCATTTACTTTCGCAACTTAGACTCAGAGATTCACCTGAGGACACTAAGAAGTCTTAAGTGACTTGCCCAGGGTCACACAGCCAGTACATGTCAGAGGCAACACTTGAGCCCAGGTCTTCCTGATTCCAAGGCCAGCGCTCTAGCCACTTCTCCATTTACTGCCTCTCCACTAAGGCAGCTTTCTACTGTATTACACAGATATGGAGAGAAGAGGAAACCTAGGGGATGGGCACAATAGATAGGTATCTGCAGTGTTATTGATATTAGTATTGCATCCTGTTGAAGTGAATGTCAGTAAGGAGAGGGTGGAAGAAGCATCTGCATCCCAGCACACAGTGCTTATAGAAGCAGAAGTTCTCACCAGGCTTCTTTGGGGCGAGGAGCAGGGGTAGGGCAGAAGGTATCTAGAGAATGAATGAGTCTCCAAGTCCCCAACACTCCAAGGCCTTCCATATTAAATAACCCTTCTTCACTGATAGAACCATCCCCTGCTGTGGGGAAGGACCTCCTGTCATTCTTGCATTACATTTTTGGAATGCATTTCTTTTAGGAACATTATAAATGTAACAGAGGGATATGGAGACATGTTAAGCTTTGTGAATGGAGCCTTCATTCTGGCATGTACTAAGTGAAATTTTTAGGTCCTCTTATTGTAAAACACCAAGCCAAAGCTGTTGAGTAAAAACCCTCTAAAATGAATGAAATTCTCTCTAAAATAGTTCTGAGTATTTTCATAGACAGCTAAGAAGGAGCCAGAAATAAGAAGGGTTTGAAGGTTAGGGAGACAGAAAAGATTGAAAGGAATGATTCAAGGCTCAGTTCAGACTCTACTTCCTACAGGAGGCCTTTCCTGGTCTCCCCCCCCCCATAAACTGTTAACCTCCACTGCACCCCTCAAAAGTACTCTGCTATTTTGTACATGTTCAATATTTATCTGCATATGCATTGTTTCCCCCATTAAAATATAAGCCCCTTGAGGGTAATCAATCTACAAGCACATATTAATCACCTCCTATGTGCCTGAAACTGTGCTAAATTCTGAGGTTAAAAGTGAAACAATCCTTGCCCTGAAGGAATTTATACTCAGTGGAAGATGTGCACTCAGGCTTTTGGGACGACATGTGTATATAAAGATAGTTGGGGTAGGGGAACATGAGCACCTGGAGGACATCAGGGAAATCCATATGTAGGGCCAAGAAACTTTTGGTTTTGTCTTTGTAGGCCCAGTACTTAGCAAAATCCTTCACTCACAGCAAGTGCTTAATAAATAAGTACTTATGGAATGAATGAATGAATTGAATTGAATATGAAAGTTTGAGCTATTCAGAAAGGATTCAATCCATCCAAAGATCAGTCTCCTCATTATTAGATACTTTTTCTTTTTCTCTCATTATTCACCTTTGTCGCTATTTAATGATCAGTCACTGTAGCCATCTCTTTCCAACAGGAGGAGCCCTTCCTGAGGACCTACAGGAACAGTAACTACACATACCCAGCCAATCCTACTATTGAGGTAATTGATCAAGGTTATGTGTTCGTGTTTCACAAGGTCCAATTGTTTCCACCTGGCAATGTTCTGATCGAATAGTTCGGTATATTTGCATACTTGGAAATGTCCTTTTCTTCTGTGAGGTACCAGGCAGGCAGGATGAGCAGAATACACTCAGATCTGACCACATCAGAGAAAGTAAATACTGGAACACTGGTCTGAACATGTTCGTGAATCGTCATCGTCCATTTCCTGATTACTGCTGGAAAAAATACCACTTTAGCCATTACTCTTTAAGATTTGCAACTGTGTTCTCACAGTTATCTGTTTCTGATCAGGCAAGCTTAACCTTTCTGGAGGAGTCAGTGGGGAGCTGGGGGAGAAATTTCAGTGAATTCCTGCTCAGTGACTGCTGAGCTAAAAGAAACCTTAATCCCCATTGCTGGATCCATAACAAGCTTCCTTCTTGTTTCATTGACTATTTAGAATCAGAAAAGTCAATAAGTCAGCTAGAGTTTATCAAACACCTACTATGTGCCAGGTATGGAAGGAAGGAAGGAAGGAAGGAAGGAAGGAAGGAAGGAAGGAAGGAAGGAAAAAAAAGGAAGGAAAGAAGGCTGGCTAAAAAAAAAGTTCCTGTTCTCAAGGAGTTTCCAATCTAACAGAGGAGACAGCATACAAACACTATATACAAACAAGCTATTATACAAGATAAAGTGAAATGAATCAACACAGGAAAGGTAGAAGCATTGAGGAGGACTTGGAAAGGAATCTTGCAGAAGGTGGAATTTTAACTGACTCGTGGGAAGCCAGAGAGACCAGGAGGCAGAGGAAAGCAGGGAGGAGAATTCCAGGCATGTAGGACAGCCAGTGAAAAGGCCATATGTAGTGCTGAGACAGAATGTCTTGTACAAGGGATAGCAAGGAGGCCAGTGTCATTGCATCATAGAGTAAGTTGCAGGGAGGAGGGGAGATTACAGCGTAAGAAGATTTCTCTAGGACCTACTGTTTGCCTTTCTGAGGATGAAGCCAAGTAGCATAAAGTTGCTCTTTCTGGGAGAGGGAGCCTAAGATTTGATTGTAGCCATGAATAAAAAACTCGGAAGTTGCTAGAAATGCTAAGCCTCCAGGTGCTGGATGGTTGGGGACTTACCTTTCCAGTCTTATTTCATATTACTTCATATCATTTAGTCTCTATTCCAGTAAAACTGGTCTGCTAGCTCTTTTCCTGCCCATGGCATTCCTTCTCCCACCCCTGCACCTTTGTCCAGGCCCATGTCTGGAATGCAGAATTCCCAGCTTCTCTCAGAGCTGAAATGCCACCTCCTACACACCTCCTTTTTCCTTTCCCCAGATGTTAGTGGTTAATTTCGCCTGAAATTACTTTTTATTCACTCTTCTGTGTGTATGTATGTATGTAGGCATACAGATAGATTACATATACATACAAGCATACATACAAATACATATATATACACATACACACATATACACACACACACATATATATATACATGAAATCCCATCCCCACCAGCAGAATGTAAGCACAGCAGATTGACAGAGATGCCCCAGTACCTCTCACAGTCCCTTGTACATAGTAGGTATTTGTTGAATTGAATCAGTAATTATACAGATAGCTAGCATTTATACTGTGCCTTAAGGTCTGCAATGTGCTTTTTACATACATTAACAGGAAACAGCCCTCTGTGGTGGGTGCTATTGTTATCCCCAATTTACAGTTGAGAAAACTGAGGCTAAGTGACTTGCCCAAGGTCACACACCTAGACAGTCTCTGAGGCAGGTTTTGCACTCGAGTTTTTCTGATTCCAAGTCTAACACTCTATTCATTGAGCTACCAAGCTACTTTGTACATCTCCTAAGCTAGTGAAGATAAGGCAGTCCTTACTTCTCTGCCATGTATACATAATATAGATCATTTGCTAAATATACAACATGTCATTCTACCTCATTGAAGAACCATGTACCCTCTTGATTTCTGTAGCCTGGTTAACGTCATAAACATTAATCTGATGCAGGGAAATTTGTACTGCCCTGCCAAAAGCAAGTCACTGAGATATTTCTCCAGTGCTGATAGTTATATTATGTTAAAACCCTATTTTCTTCCTTCATTTCTTTCCTTGGTGAGGCAGTTGGGGTTAAGTGACTTGCCCAGAGTCACACAGCTAGTAAGTGTCAAGTATCTGAGGAGGAATTTGAACTCAGGTCCTTCTGACTCCAAGGCTGGAGCTCTATCTACTGTGCCACCTAGCTCCCCCTGCTTCCTGCATTTCTTATTTAAAACCAAGCTTCATTATTTGGATTAGTTTTCAAGACTAACATAGGGAATATGTCATTGAGTTTAAACTGACCAGTCTCTAAGAACAAGCTAAATGATGGGTCAGATCTTCCCAAAACCTTCCAAACAACCTGAAATGATGGGGGAACATCAGAGTGAGATTTCTTTTTTTTTTTTTAAGGCAATTGGGGTTAAGTGACTTGCCCAGGGTCACACAGCTAGTAAGTGTCAAGTTACTGAGGCCGGATTTGAACTCAGGTCCTCCTGACTTCAGGGCTGGCTCTCTATCCACGGTGCCACCTAGCTGCCCCAAGTGAGATTAAATTAAATCTATTTGAAACTGATTACATATTTGATGCCCCATAATCTAATTAAGACATCTTAACAAAATTGGGCTCAGCCAGATTTTTAAATAGAGAAAAGAATGCATCAAAGGGTGTTGACCATTGGACCCCCCTAGAAAATCAAATCCTCAATCAGTAAGCATTTGTGTAGAATCTGCTGTGTGCCTTAAAGTCCGGCAGCCACTAGGAGTGGCTCTTCAGGAGAAAGAGGGAGGCCCACAGCATAACACCCTTTATTTGATGCTGTAGGGCCTTGATGCATGTGTAGCTTTGGCCACCACCCATCTGAAGACCTTCACCAGCTTCTGCCCCTGTCACTTTAAAAACTTGCTTCTTGAATTTCAGGTATGACAAGCACACTGCTTCGAGTTTGGATGAAGCTACAATATTGCAGGAATTCCTCTATTCATCCCTAAGTTTGTGTGTCCAGAGAAATAGCACTGCTTAACTCTACAGCCAAGAATATGTGGAAAAGCCGGTAGCATTATGCTTGTGAAATCTTCATGCTTTTCTAAAAACATTTCTTGTAACTAGGGTGGCACAATGAGGGCTTTGCCCCAGGGCATCAGATTTACAAGGTTCTGACACCTCTTGTAGTCCTTCAACAGCTAGAAACAATGGTGCTCAGGAGCTACTTTGTAAGAATAATCAGTTAAAATAGGAAGCTACCAATCAGTGAGTGGGGAGGGGGCTACTTCTGCATCTTCTGAGCCTGTTCCTCCCCTCACATTCAGCAGACTCCTCACTGACAGACTCAATGCTTTTCCAGGGTCTCAGTCTTCCTCCATGGAGTGGTGTTGTTCCTCTTTTCCTCTTCTAGGTACCTCTGTGGTACCAGCACAAGAAATAAAAATTCCTAATTACAAATTATTTCTTGCTTAGGCCTCGGCGTTGCAATTAGCTTCATTTTTAAAATAAAAATAATAATGACAACTCTCCTCGGAGAGAATACGGCAAGGTGCTGTCTTACGAAATTGATGATAATGTAGCATCAGTCTCTTGCAGCTGATAAGAGTGTTAGACCTGGAGTTAGGAAGACTTGAGTACAACTCCAGCCTCAGACATTTACTACCTGTGTGACCCTCGGCGAATCACTTAATGTCTATCTGTCTCAGTTTTCCCAACTGGAAGACGGGAAGGTAATAATAGCATATACTTCCCAGGGTCATTGCGAGGATCAAATGAGATAATATTTGTAAAAGCTTAGCACAGTGTCTGGCACTGTAGGTACTTAACAAATGCTTGTTTCTTTCCTCCTTATCCACTATGCAAAATACCAATGACCAGCCCCTGCCTGTCTTGGGATACTGCCAGGCCTTTATAATTCAATCCAGCAAGCCTACAATACACAAAGCTGGTACACCAAAGTGGATAAAAAGAAAGCCCTACCCCTTGAGGAGCAAACAATTATAATAATTGTAGAAGAGGTTAAGAAAGGTACACAAACATTATGCAAATTGGAGTGTGAGAGTGCAGGAGAGAGGTACAAGCAGGCATTAGGAGAGGTCACTGCTGCCTGAGATATGACAAAGCTATAAAAAGGAGGTGACATTTGAGCTGAGCCTTAAAAGGTGAGTAGGATTTCAACAGGCAGAACTGGTGAGGAGGGCATTCTAAGGATAAGGGAGAGCAAAGACATGGAGGTGGGAAAGTCAGGGAATATATTCAAAGAATGGCTGGGGTACGGGTAAACACAAATGGGAGGAATGTGAGGCAAAAGCTATAAAGTTAGGGGGGATCCATGTCGTGGAAGGCCTGAAATGTCAAGCAGAGGGCATTGTAAAATATAAGAGACTTAGAAGAGTGATGTAAGTAAATCTACACGTGGGATGCATTCACCCATTCCATCTTCTCTAGGCACTGTATCAGAATGTTTAAATATAGCTTTTAACCTTATATGCTCCCTACACCAATACAATCCTACTTTGCCAAGGTCTGGACTTAGCTAAAGATTGGTGGGTAGTTCTGGGCTGGAACTGATCTCTCTACATTGGGAATGTTGATCATAATTTGTAATATGCATAATAATCTATTATAATAACATAATATAATAATGCATAATAACCTTCCTTCTCACATACAAAGTGGATTTCTCTTCTTTTGCTTATTTTTAAAGAATTGGGGCAGTGACTTCCTGTGCCCTGAGCAGAAGTTATCCAGCAGTGCTCCCACATCAGGTGAGTGCAGACAGCCCTGACTCCTACCATCCCCTCCCTTTCCACATTATCTTCTAAAGATTAGACAGCGCAGCAAATGTCCTGCTTTGTTGTCTCCTTCAGTCCACCAGCTCGGGCCGGCTGACATCCAGGTGGTTTCAGCTCTGGGAGATTCACTGACCGTAAGTACTAAGCCTGAAATATTTGTTTCACCCTCACCTGCCCTGGGGAACCAGACACTTTAGGTGTCAGCCAACCAGTAGCTAGTCAGTCCCTTGCCCATCCTTAGCCCTGCAACGTAATCAGTTGCTGAACAAATATTTTGTGGGATCCTTACTTGATGTCAAGCTCTGTCCTTTGCCATGCAAAGGAGCCTGGGATGGTGGGGTGGGGGTGGAGGGAAGAGAAATATGAATAAGATACATCCCCTGTCCTCCAGGAGCCTATAGTCATTTTGAAAAACAAGATTTGCACAAGTTGGGGCAGTTAGATGGGTCAGTGGATAGAACACCAGCACTACAGTCAGGAGGACCTGAGTTCAAATCTGCCTCAGACACATGATACACACTAGCTGTGTGACCCTGGGCAAGTCACTTAACCCCAATTGCCTCACCAAAAAAAGAAAAGAAAAGAAAAGAAAAAGATTTGCACAAGTAGAGAGTTGGAGGGGGAGGGGGAAAGGTGATGTGTGATAAATACTAAATGAGAATAGTAACAGCTGTTACAGAAAAAAAGAGAGGTCACTTGGAGCTGAGAGATTCAGGGAAGATGGGGGTGACTTAAAGGGCAAATTGGATTTAGATAGCTGAAGACAATGATTGAAAAATGAAAAATATTTTCAGTGACATGAAATAGGCTGGTTTCTTTGGAAAAGAAACTTTGTACAAGAGAATCAGGGAGTGCAAGGCTGGGAAGGAGGATGGGGACTGGACGAAGACAGAAACGGCGTGCTTATTCAATTCACAGATGATACTAAGCTGGAGAGGACAGTTAATGCATTGATGACAGAAATGGGATCTTAACTCAATAGGCTAGAAGGAGGGGGCAAATTTCATAAGGTGAAACTTAATAGGGACAAAAAGCAAAGACAAGAATTAGATTTTTAAAAATCGGTGGCCCAAACACAGAATGAGGGAGTTATGGCTAGGCAGTTAGTATTGCAAAAATGATCTGGGGGACTTAGTGGACTACAAGTTCAGAGAATCATGGGATTTTTGAGTTGGCTGGCACCTCAGAGGTCATCTAATCCAACTCATACCTGAAAAAGAAATCCTACTATAACGTACCTGACAAGTGGTCATTCAGCCTTCGCTTGATGACCTCCAAAGGAGGAAAGGGGACCCACCTCCTCTTGAGGAAGTCTATACCCCTGTTGAACAGCTCTAATTTTTAGAAAGTCTTTCCTGACTTCAAACCTAAATTTCTCCCTTTGTAAATTCTGCTCATTGTTCCTGGCTTGCCTTCTGGTGCCAAGTGAAGCGGCCTCTTCCACCTCATAGCCCTTCAAACACTTGAAGACATCTGTCCCCTTAAGTCTTCCTTTCTCCAGTCTGAGTATCCCCATTGCCTTCAACCTGGCCTCATAGGTCAATGGTGGCATGGCAGCCTAAAAAAATTAATATGAACCTAAGTTGCATTAAGAGAAGTACAATGTGTGGGGAGGGGGAAGGGAGATATTGGTCCCATAGTCCTCTGCCACAGCTAATGTATTGTGTTCTCTTCTTAGAAACAGTATCCATTGCACGGAATGATAGAATGAATGCTGAATTTAGGGTTAAAGAAACTGGGTTCAAATCTCAGCTCCACTATGCACTAGGTGGCTGGAGCAAAGGGCTCCTAAAGGCCCTTTCAACTCCAGATCTATGATCCTGTGACAAGCTGGGATGCACCCAGAGGGAGACGATGAGAATGCCAAAAGGACTAAAGACCATTCCCTGCTCTGATAGATAGTAGGAGCTGGCAATGCACAGCCTGAAGGAGTGGATGGTTGAGGAGAATCTGATGCCCCCCTTCAAGTCTATGAAGGGCTGTCATGTAAAAAAATGGATTCAGTTTATTCTGGTTGGCTCCAAAGGACAGAACCGGGACCAGAGGGTGAAAATGATGGTCTTGACTCATTAAGGGAGGAGCTTACTAAGTGATCTCAGCGATCTTCCTTGCTGCTGTCTTTAAAACACTGAATTGGGAATACAAAGAAAAAGGGAACACAGTCCCTGCCCTTGAGATGCTCACATTCTAATGGGGGAGACGACATGCAAATAACACTGTATATACAATATGAACAGTGTAGATGGAAGGTAATCTCAGATGGAAGAGACAGGGGTGGATGGGAAGGTAGAAGCTGAGTCCTGAAGGAAGTTTGGGAAACCAGGGGGTGGAGGCAAGGAGAAAGAACATCCCGGTCAGGAGTTCCCTGAACAAGCAGGCCAGTGTAGCTGAATCACAGAGTATGTGTGGGTGGAGGGTGGGGCTTAAGTATGAGAAGATGGAAAAGGTAGCAAGGGCTTTAGAAACCAAATAGAGCATTTTATATTTGATCCTGGAAGTAATAAGGAAACATTGGAATTTATTGAGTAGAGTGGTGACATAGACTTGCACTAAATTTAGGAAGATCATTTTGGCAGCTAAAAGGAAGTTGGATTGGAATGGGGAGGGATGAGGCAGGGTGACCAATGGGAAGGCTATTGGAGTAGTCCAGGAGGTGATGAGGCTTTGCACCAGAGTGCTGGCAGTGTTAGAGAAAAAAAAAGAACATGAAAAGGTAGCAACAATAATACTTGACAACAGATTGGATATGTGGGAAGAATGTAAGTAGTCAAGGATGACACCAAGGTTGTAAGCCTAGGTGATTGGAAGATTGGTGGCACTCTCAACAATATTAGGAAAGTTGGGAAAAGAGGAAGGATTAGGGGAAGGAGAAAATGAGTTCTGTTTTGAATATGTTGAAGTTTGAGATGTCCAAGAGTCAGTTAATGATGATAACTGACACTCAGGAGAGAGATTAAAGCTGGATATATAATTCTTGAATCATCTGCAAAGAGATGATTATTGAACCCATGGGAACTGATGAGATCACCAAGTTAAATAGTATAGGGGGAGAAGAGGGCTCTGGAAAGTCTTAGGTAACACCCATAGTCAGAGGGTATAACCTCAAAAATCCAGCAAAAAAGACTGAGGAAGAATAGTTAGACAAAAAAAGAGAAAAACCAGGACAGAACAATGTCAGGAAAACCCACAGAAGAGAGAATATCAAGAAGACCGTGTTCCTCAAGGTCAAAGGCTGCAGAGAGGTCAAAAAGATGAGGACTGACAAAAAGCCATTAGATTTGGCAATTAAGAGATCATTGTTAACTTTGGAGACATCTGTTTCAGTTGGTGATGAGGTTGGAAGCAAGACTGTAGTCAGTCAACAAGGATTAAGCATTAGGCTCTGTGGTAATGGATAAGGATAAAAAGAAAGTAAAAGAATGGCTCCTATTTTAGAGGCTCTCACAATCTACAGTGGAAACCATGTATAAACAAGATTTTTTTTTATTGGAGAGGTAATTTTTTAAAATTGGAGATAATTAACAGAGAGGAGAAACTAGTTATTGAAAGGGATCAGAAAAGGCTTCTTGGAGAAGCAGGTTTAGAAGTGAGTGGAAGGAAGACAACTTTCTCCAGGAGTTTAGCCAAGAAGGGGAGGAGAAATACAGGATGATAGCTAGTAGAAGGAATAGGATCAAGTGAGGATTGTTCTGTTTGCTTGTTTTGTTTTGTTGTGAAGAATGGAGAAGATAGGGGCATGTTTACAGGAAGTAGGGGAAAAGCTAATAGATAGGGAGAATTAAAGATCAGAGGGCCTAGCACTCTACTTTGAGTAGTACCTACATTTAGGGAGCAGAAAGAGGAGCCTTTGAAGGAGACAGAGAAGAAACAGATGGATTAAGAGGTAGGATAACCAGAATATTGTGTTGTCATAGAAATCAAAGGAGAAAAGAGCTGTTAAGGAGATGGTCAGCAGGGTCAAATGCTACCGATCTTCTATGGCAGGTGCTATATGAACTCTGAGTTGTCACTCAGCATCCACTATCTTTTATTTTTACTTAACTCTCTTTATTAAACATTTATTAAATGGAGTGCTAGAGATGAAGTCAGAAAGATGTAGTATCAAATCCCATCTCTTATACTTCTAAGCTGTATGACCATAGGCAAGTCACTTAACCTCTCTGTTCCTCAGTTTCTTCATTTGTAAAATGGGATGACATTTCTGCAGGACCTATCTCAAAAAGTAGTTTTGAGGTTTTGAGAGTTGTTTTTATCTCAGTAAAATGTGTAAAGCATTGTGTAAACTTTAAAGTGCCATATAAATATCAGGTCCTATTAATATTTTTTATCATGATTATCATGTAGAATAATAGAAATTTACTAATAATAGATGTAATGAATAGAGTTTGGGCTTAATGTCAGGAAGACCTGGGTTCACTTTCCGTTTCTGATATTAGCTATATGACCCATGGACAAATGACTTAACCTCTTTGGGCCTCAGACAATTTGCTTAGAAATGGTCCACTAAATAGAAATAGACCTACTTGGGAACCTTGTTAGTACTTTACCACACCAGGAGTTACTTATGCAGTAAAAACATAGCTACTACCAGTATTCTTTTCATATTTTTTCTTTTTTTTCTTTTCATATTTAAATGTGTGTGTGTGTGTGTGTGTGTGTGTGTGTGTGTGTGTGTGTGTGTGTGTGTGTGTATGACAGGGATTAAGAAAAAAGTGGGTATGGAGGTAGCAAGTAGAAGCAGCTGGTTTAGACCATTTAAGGAATGATATAAATATGAACCTTTATAGAAATTTATTTGGCAGCGAAAGGAAGGAGAGAAATTACAGTGGTTATGCAGAGGAAGAAGCTGGGTCAAGTGAAAGGCTGTTGGCTTTGTTTTAAAGTTTTGGGTTTGGGAGGGGGTGGGTTTGTTTTTGTGTTTTTTCAAGAGTATAGAACTGTGCATGTTTGATGGCAGAGAATGAGTAGAGAGGAAGAGACTGAAAATGAAAGCAAGGAATGGAATAAATTGAGAAAATCAAGACTCGGAGGTAGAAAGGGGTGGAATTAAGATTAGGAAAAGGGAAGGGCAGAAGGGTTAGCCTTAGAAAGGATGAGTCCAAGAGGAAAAGAAATTGGGTGTAGACACAGTCATATTTCAGGTGGTGAGAAGGAAAGATTAGGAAACTCACAGCCAAACAACATCCCTATTTGAAGAGAACTCCTGGTGAGGAAGGAAAAGGAATAATAACACTGGGAAATATTTTATACATCAAGCAGGGGTTGACTATTATTAGTCAGATGTGCCTATTGACAGGACAGCTAGGTGGAGCCATAGTGCATAGAGTGCCAGGTCCGGAGTCAGGAAGACTCATCTTCATGAGTCCAAATCTGGTCTCAGGTATTTACTAGCTGTGTGACCCTGGGCAAGTCACTTAACCCTGTTTGCCTCAGTTTCCTCATTTGTAAAATGAGCTGGAGAAGGAAATGGAAAACTACTCCAGCATCTTTGCCAAGAAAACCCCAAATGAGGTCACAAAGAGTCAGACACAACTGAACAAGTGCCCACTGAATTGTTTTTCTAGTATTTAGGATTATAGATATACAGCTGAAAGGGACCTTAGAAAACATAAAAGTCTAACCCATTCATTTTACAAATGAGTAAACTGTGGCCCAGAGAAGTTAAGTGACTTGAAGGTCACACAGGTAGTGAATGGCACAGCAAAGACTAGAATCCAGGTCTTCTGATTCCCAGCCCAGGACACTCTCTGCCATACCACTCAGCCAAAGTCAGTTCATCTGCAGCACAAGGATTTTCTCAGTCCCCTCCAGCAGGACCTGAGCCCACACTACTCACAAACTCTTCCACTTGCCTTTCCCAGACAGCTGTAGGAGCTGCAGCAGAAAACGTCGCTAACCTGTCCACAGCTTGGAGGGGACTGTCCTGGAGGTGAGGCTCCTCTTGACTCTTCTGTTGATGATTCAGGTCCTTAGGGGCACCTTTGCTGTGTTTCATCTGGAGCAGAAGGAAATTATCCCTTACCCCTCTTTTTTTGGTGGAGGGGGCAATTGGGGTTAAGTGACTTGCCCAGGGTCACATAGCTAGTAAGTGTCAAGTGTTTGGTCTGAGGCTGGATTTGAACTCAGGTCCTCCTGACTTCAGGCCTGGTGCTCTATCCACTGTACCATCTATCTGCCCCTCCTTATCCCTCTTAAAGGCAGGTTTTGGATCCTTAAGAGGCAGCATGATCTAGTAGAAACCTCTGGATTTGGAGTCAGGAGACCTGAGTTCAAATCCTAGCTCTGACACTTGCTATCTGTCTAGACAGGCAACTTAATCTTTCAGCCTCAGTTTCCTCATCTATAATATAAAGCTGTTAATTAATCATTTAATAAAATAGAGACAATAATACCTACCTCATGGGGTTGTTTTGAGGAAAGTGCTTTGTAAACCTTGAAGCCCAATATGAATATGAGTTATGCCTAGCATCTATCCAGAACTGAGGTACCTCCAGACATCCTTAGGAGCCTTCCTTCGTGTTAGATCTTGGGGGTGGGGGAGGGGGGATGTTGCAAGGGATGCTGGTCCACAGGTTTAGATAAAGAAATGGAGCCTGTAGCAAAGTCAGGGCTTCAGAATCTGCGTGGGGAGCCCAGGATAGAAGGTATTCCGTTCAACGAACGCTTCTTTCGAGAATGAAAACATTTAAAAAATACTTGAAGGTTTACACAGTGCTTTCTTCAACCCACTGACTACTTTGTGCAGGAATAAGACCCAAGCCCTGTCTCTTCAAAGAGGTTTTGTTCTCTTTTCCTTGTTTCCACTCCTACCATCGTCATTCAAGACCTCAAGGCCTTCCTTTCCAACTATAGCACAGCCTCTTTACAGTAGCCCACCTCCACTCTTGTCTTCCCCTAATCCAGCTTTCCAGTCCCTTCAAAACAATCTTTCCTATGCATAAATCTGGTCACGTCATTCCTCAGCTCCAAATCTTTTAATGGTTCCCTACTGCCATGCAAATAAAGTTCAAATTCCTTGGTTTAGCATTTAAGGCCTTCTACTTGACACCACTGTATACCTTCCCTGCCTCGTGTCATGTTACTTCTCTTCCTGCACACTATGCTCTAATCAGACTGGGCATTTCTCTCTTTAAATTCCCTCAAAATGCCGTATAGTTTTACATCTCCATGTCCCCACCCAGGCTATTCCCTATACCCTATACCCTATACCTATTCCCATCTATTGAACTGCTTTTTTTTGTTTTGTTTTAATCATATTTTTTTGTTGATATCTTTTGCTTTTACATTACCTTCATTTCCTCTACCCAGAAAGCCATTCCTTGTCATAAAGAATAAAGCCTATGTTTCATGATATATGCAATATTCTAAACCCATAGCCCCCCACCTCTTCAAGGAAAGGGGAATCCCTACCTCCTTTTTAAAAACTGAACCTGTGATTTCTTCCATATAAGGAGTTTTGGTGAGGAACTCCCACAGCCAATGAAGGTTAGCATATCATCTGCAATTTTTTTGTCTTAGGGTGCTTGGGGGCACTGAGAGGATAGTTATCCCTCACTAGACAATAAACTCCCTAAGGGCAGGGATTATTATACAAAGCAGGTGTCTAAAAATATTGGAGGTTTTGACTTTTTAGAGAAAGCTTACTGATTTCTACTTCAATGATTCTACTTTTCTTCCCCTAGCATTGGAGGAGATGGAGTCTTGGAAACTCACACCACTTTGCCAAGTAAGTAACATAAGCAAGAAACACCCCTTCTGGAAACCCAGATTTAGAGAGTTTGCCTTGCCTTCTGGAAGGTTGTGACCAAAAAAAAAAGGGGGGGGAAGGGGGGCCTTTCTCTATAAAATGGAAAGACCTAAAAACCTTGAGCTCCAAAAGAACTGTCATTTCTCAAGACCCTCTAATTCAAGTTCACTGAGTCTCCTGCTGCCTCTCACTCATACTATCTGTCTCTTCCCTTTTGAAAAGATATTTTGAAGAAATTTAACCCCCATCTCCATGGATTTTCCACCGGCACCCAGAAAGAGACAGCTGGACTAAATGTAGCAGCAGGAGGAGCCGTGGCACAGTGAGTAAATTTAATGGAAGCAGTGGAGTGAACTCAGGATTCAGAGTGAGAGGACCTGGGTTCAAATTCTAATTCTGGCACTTCATTCATCCTGTCTACATCACAGTTTCTCCTCTTCTCTAAGACGAGGCAATTGGATTAGATGGTCTCTATGATCCTTTATAGCTCTAAATATAACAATTTCTGATCCAGTGAGGAGAAGGATGGGAAAGAAAAAAGGGGGAAAGGGGAATAGAGAGTTAAATGGAGAGCACATTGAGGCAGCTAGAGGAGAAAAATTGAAGCCCAGGTTGATAGAGCTGGAAGGGACCTTAGAGATCATCTCTGCTAATCATCTCCTTTTCCAGATGAGGAAAGTGAGGCCCAGGAGATAAAGTGACCTAGGACATAGCAAATTAGTGAAAGAACCCAAATCAAAGTCTGGGTTTCTTGGTTTCCAGGCCCGGATAGTTAATTAATGAGAGCAAATCCATAGCCCAATGGCCAAGTAGTTGGCATTCATAAATCAGACCCGCTGTCCCTAATTTGTATAGTGGAGAATGAGGTCAAATGTGGGGTAATTGAAGCCTTTACAATAACAATCCTTTATATTTGTAACACAATTTATGTTTACAAAGTGCTTTTTTTATCTCATTAGATCTTCAAAATAACCCTACAAGTAAGGTTATTACTTTTGTAATTGAATTGTACAGATTACTATTGTACTACTACTGTTGTACAGTTGAGGAAACTGAGGCTCAGGGAGGTTATAAAAGACTTCTAAAGTCTTCAAGAGAAATCGAACATGCACTTGTTGGAAAATATATATAGATTTGTGCATTAGGAAGATATTTAGACTAGATGGTCTCTCAGTTCCTTTCCAAGGTTCCAAATCTGAATGGAGAATCACAAAACCTGAGGGTTAGAAGGGACCTCAACACCTGTCTATTCTATCCCTCTACAATATGGCCTTCAAATGGTTATTTAGCTCTTCCTTAAAGACCTCCGGGGGAGAGAGAGAAGGAGGGAGAGAGAGAGACAGAGAGACAGACAGAGAGAGAGAGAGAGAGAGAGCTTGCAATTTGCTGAGGCAGCTCATTCTATTTTTGAATGCCTCTAATTGTTAGAAGTTATTCCATCAAGCCTAACCCTGCCTTTCATTTATCTTCATTTATTTCTCCAACAAATATTTATTAAGCGCAAACTATGAGCCTAAAAAAAACAAAATAGTGAATGCCCTTAAAAAGACCTTACATTCTACTGGGGGAAAAACATGTATACACATAAATATAAAATCCAAACGAATGAATGAATGAAAAGGCATTTATGTAATCCTCACTATGGTGCAAAACATTGTATTAAACACTGGGGATATAATTTTTTTTGGCTAGGCAATGGGGTTAAGTGATTTGCTCAGGGTCACGTAGCTAATAAGTGTCAAGTGTCTGGTCTGAGACCACATTTGAACTCGAGTCCTCCTGGCCCCCGGGCAGGTGCTCTATCCACTGCACCACCTATCTGCCCTGGGGGATATAAATTTTAAAAAACCTAGATGGACCCTGCCTTCAAGGAGCTTGTATTCTAAATAGATGACAACAAATATAGGGAAGTAGCAAAGGGGAGGAGTGGTTCAGTTTGGAAAGTCACATGAATGGTAAGTGGGGCCACAGAGATATAGATTGATACTCATTCCTATAGTAATGGTAATAACGATTTTATCAATGATAGCATTGATCAGACCATGCCCACTTATCTGAAGGGTGGGAGAAGGGATAGTGGTTGGATGGTTGATTGGCTGGTTGGTATGTAGTGGTAAAGACGGCTAGAGCAGGCTTCCATATGGTGGGCTGTGAGCAACACTTGTCAGTTAGGGTATCATGGACCCTAGGACAAGAGCTCCAGAGCTGAAAGCATTAAGTTCCTCAGGGCACGGTTTTTGATTCAGTGAAAAGAGGGGTAGCTAAGGTAGAGGGCAAGGAGTAATTTGGGAGGAGGGCACTAGCAACTGCAGGATCAGAATAGAACTCACGTAGGAGGTGGTATTTGAGTTGAGCCTTAAAGGAAACTACAAATACTAAAAAGTAAGTAGGTAGAACACAGCAGTGGGGTACAGACTCTGGAAAGCCAGGGAGGTAGAAGGTACAATGCAACCTATGAGGAATTAGAGAATGGAAAAAAATGATTGAAAAAGCATTTGTTAAGCATTTACTATGTTACAAAAACTATGCTGCACCCTGGAAATACAAATATGAAAGCAAGACGGCCCTGCCCTCAAAGATCTTACATTCTAATAGGGAGAGGTTGGGGACTGGTGACCAGGAAAATGTATTTTGGGCTGGGAAGTTTCAGGGATGATGAATTGAGCAATAAGTCTATGGATTGACCTGGCCTTTCCAGAAGCAAGGTAGTGTTGATTTCAGTAACTTTTCCAGTGTTAATCTTGGTGTCTGGGAGAGGAGGGAAGAAGCATGGTCCCAGGGTGGGAGTTTGGAGTTAGGTGTCTTAACCCCACTGGACATCGTCTCAGGAGATCCAGTCTGAAGGGGAGAGCAGCAGCACCATGGAACAGCGAGTAAGCCAGTTTGGTGGAAGGGTAGAATTGAACTTCCTCTTTATTCCTTGTTGTACCCTCTGACCTTATGCCCAAAGTTATAGGATTAGAAAATGAGTGAAGTTGGCATCTATAGTTTGCTATCTCTAAATGAACTAGGGAGCAGCAATATTAATCAATACAACCAGATTTTTAAAAAATTACCATTGTTATTGACTCCTTTTGTTCTTATCTCACTTTTATTTCCAAAATGGATCCCTCCCTTCCCCCTTCCCCATCAAATCATTCTTTGTAATGAAGATAATAAAAGACAGAAAATTTAAAAAGAAAAGAAATTTAGCAAGGCAAACCAATACATTAACTGTGGATAAATGTACAATATTCCATACCCATAGTCCCCCAAATTGGCCAAGAAGTGAGGTAGATACATTTCTTCAAACTTTCTATGGTGCCAAGCTTGGTCATTGTCATTATGGAGCATTCAATTTGATTCCTTTGTCCTTTCCCTTTGCATGCTACCATGGTATCTTCAACAAGGTTTCCCCCTTTTTCTGCCATGTCTCTCTGTCCCTCAATGCTTTTAGCCACATACCAACCATATTTACCAATAAAGAGTTAACTGTTTGAGCCTCCCAAAGATCATGGGCAATTGTTTGCTTGTTTTTAATCTTCCTTTCTGCTGTGAACAACTGTACTGATTAATTAAAACTGGAAAGCTTGACACAGTCCAATGATTTTTTTTCTCCAGACATGCTGATTCTTTGCCTTTTGGAAGACTGAGTTTGTATCACCTGGGGAAATCTAATTGGTTTGATTCACTTCCCCTTTCTCATCAGTGTTCTTTTCAGACTGTACCACCCTCTGAGTTCCAGAGCCAGAGGAAAAGATGGCAATTCTTCAATGTCAAACAGTGAGAGCTTCCTTCTCACAAAATAAGCTGCGTCTCAGAGGCACTATATTTCTGCGTGTTGTTGTTGCTCATTATTAATATAATTATAAAGCTAAGCCTTGATCATCCAGGAAGCTGATTCTTCACTGTGTTGATTGTTCAAATTCTCTGTTTCTGTTCCTTCTCATTCATGTTCCTACCTTTTCCTATCTTAGTCCTCACAAGGTCAAAGGATTTAGGATTGTTAGATACCCTGGAGAAAATCCAACTCCACCCACCCCATCCTCCATTTTACAAATCAACCTGGAAATTTAAGCCCAGGTAAGCCAGTCAATCAGTCAATAAACACTTATTAAGCACCTATTACGTGCCAGCATCCACTATGTGCCAAGCAGTGGGGATACAAAGAAAGGCAGAAGATTATTCTTGCTCTTAAGAAGTTCATAATCCAATGGAGGAGACAATTTGCAAACAATGATGTACAAGCTATATACAGGATAAATTAGACATATTCAACAGAAGGAAGGCACTAGAATTAAGGGGGATTAGGAAAGGTTTCCTGTAGAAGGTAAGATTTTAGCTGGGACTTGAAAACCAAAAGGTGAAATGATTTTCTCAACATCACATAAATAGTAAGTATCAGAATTGGGATTTGAATCCAGATTTTCTGCTTTCCAATCTTTTGCTCTTTCACCTCTAATAAATATAAAAGGAACTCACAGGCCCAGTCTGTAGCTCTATCCTAAAGCATACCCATTCTCCACTTTCATCCTTCCCTTTGATAACTGGAACCAGCTAGTGAGAATGTAAGTATTCCTATAGCACAAGCCAGAGGATCAGAGATCTTGGAGCTAGAAGGGACCCAAACCTCTGCCTTTAGGCAGGTAAGACATCAATCTCACTTCACCAGTGAGGCAGCTGAAGACCAGAGGGGTGGTGTCTCACCCTACATCACACAGCTAGTTTACAGCAGAGTGGGAGTCTACAACCCCTTGTTCCTAGCCTTTGAATCCACTGCCCTTTGTACATAACCATTACACCTCCAGTTCTATCCTAGGCAGCCCTTGTTTCTGAACCTCATCTAAGCTCTTCTTGTTTCTCTCCTTGAATAGGGACATGCCAAGCCAGGCCCGTGAACTGGTGGATAGAATGAAGAACAGTTTGGTGAGTGCTTGTCTTTGGGGTCAGCATTGGGAAGGTATGGAGGCGACTTGAATTAGGGAAAGGCATGGGATTCTCCCCCAACTTCACCTTCTGCGTCTCTCAGAGAACAGTGAGAAGAAAAGAGAGTCAGGGAGCAAGAAAAGCAACACCTTCCCCAGAGCATGTTGGACTTTGCTTCCCTTCTCTATGAGTCTAACTTTTAGAGGTTATGCATCTTTGGGGGAAGAGAGAGTACAGACTGTAAAAAAAAAGAGATTGGCGAGGGACTGTCTCCTTGGCCCTGGACTTTAGCTGTTTCCCACCTTAATCATGATTTTACTTCATTCAGACCTGTTATGTAAAAGCTGCATTCTAAAAATAGAATTCTCATTCCATGCTTCCTCTTTCCCCCTCCTTCAGCTCCTCAGCCCTGTCCCCTGAAACCTTGCAGGCACATTTTTTTCTCCATGACTTATCCTTTGGAATTTAGCTCCTGACAATAGCAGCAAAGCTTCTGTTATGGAGGCAGCTAAAAGGGAAACAAGCTTCCCAGCCCTGCTATAGGACCTCATTGAGGTCTTTCTCAAGCACCAGGACCCAGGAGGTTTCCCCTCTCCCTCCAATATTTCTTGTAAAAGCACCAGTTCCTTTCCTCTCTCTGCTTACTCTCTCTTCTTCAAGAGACATCTTGGAGGGTTTGCTTCTATGTTCATCTTTTTCATCTTCCCCTTTGGCCCCAATATCACAGCAATTGTGAGACCTTGGGTCATCTCTGTCCACCTAACCCTTGTAAGTTCAAGGAAAAGTCTCTGAGCCCAGCAGCTGCCAGGCTGTTCACCCAGAAGCTTTCTGAAGGGAATTTCTGCATGAAATCTGTTTCCCATTCCCCTTATCTATGCACTTGCGCCATGACACTCACTGTGTGGTGCTTAGTCTCAGTGAGTCAGGGTGGGGTGATAAATTCTGGGTTTCCCCTCATTGTTCACTTCAGGATCTGTCCAAAGAAGAGCCAGCTCTTCCCTGGATCTTACTTTAAAGTGAAAAATGGAAGAAAAGTTGCCTCCCAGATGTCACCATTGTAGGCCCCCCTCACACCCCTGAGTTCTAAACCTCTGGGTCTTCCATCCCCTCAGGAAATCAACCTGGAACAAGACTGGAAGCTAATCACCATCTTTGTTGGAAGCAATGACCTCTGTCACTACTGTGAAAACCCGGTAAGCACTAGCTCAAATCCCAGGCCAAGGAACCCTTGGTACCTAATTCTCCCTGATTCCTCTCCCTTACAAAACTGTAACCGTACTAATCACTCCCAGATTTACAAATACTCCATTTAGAAACAAGTAATCTAGTTCTTAGCCTCCTGTATTCCCTAAATATCCACAGACCTCTGTTCTCCAATTTAGAATTGCTGAGCAATGTTTCTCTAGAAAGGTATCTTTATCACTTGAAGATGTAGAGGTATAAAGAGATATATTTTCTTATACTGAATGGAAAGAGTCCATACTGATGCCTTACGATATTCAATTCTACTCAACAAGCGTGCACACACACACACACACACACACACACACACACACATTTGGCAATGAGGTAAAGTGACTTGCCCAGGGTCACACACCTAGTAAGTGTCCAGTGTCTGACTCCAGGGCTGGTGCTCTATCTACTGCACAACCTAGCTGCCCCTCAACAAGCATATATTAAGTGCCTACTAATGGCAGATGCTGTTCTAAACCCTGGATGTAGAAAGACAAAAAAGAAGCAGTCCTTGTACCTTTGAGAGGATCTTGCTTCCTACCTGGGGTAGGAGAAGAACACTCATGTGGATCTCTCTACCTTCAATCTCTGGGCTGGTTAGTTCACCCAACCTACATTCAAACTGGCAAGTGTAGGGTTCTAAGAGAGGGTCAATCACTATGCTGCTACAGGGTTCCAGAGTTAACCCTGTTGTGGGGCAGATGTAGTCCTACTATTCACTACCATAGCTCCTGAGCCCCCACCAGCGTACTCCTCATTTACCCCAAATCAGTCACCATGATAGCATTAATTCTCAGATATAAAATATCTACTAAATGACAAGGTGGAAGAAGGAATAATCATGACATTTACTCATCAGAAGACAAAAGCAATCATAATTGAACATCATAGTTGCTTAATAGAAAGCTAAAACAAGAATAATCAAAACATCACAGTCTACCCATAAATCTGGGTCACACTTTTCCTTTAATATGGGTAATGTCTACAGGGAAGAATAGGTATACATTTATAGACTCATAATAAGGAAGCACATGAGTGAGGAAACCCATGCCTGAGGCAACTCACAACTCTAGACTGCAGGCCTTGATTTCCTTGGTCCCTTCAGGAATAATGTACACCACACAAAGAAGATTCTATGCTGGATGCTTTCCTTCTGGTCCTTACTACTTACCTGTAGAGCAAAGCCATTCTTCTTTTGCTCTTGAGCTGATGAAGCAGTGACATGCTCTTTTCACTCATAGACACCCTTAACAGGGCATGGAGAAAGTGGTATGTTATTGTACTGACAAACAGCTCCTTTCAGCCAGGGAACTTCTAGGCTCCTCAGGTAGCAAGTGATGCCACTTTATCCAATAGCTTCCAAGCCTCTTCTCACAGCAAAGCACAGCTCACAATAAAATAGACACAAAGCCTATCTTTCCCCCTTTATCTCCTCTTTTCAAGCCACAGAAGTGAGCAGAGGGCAACACAGGCACTCCTGAAAGGTTTCCCCACTTGTACTTTATAGGTGACACTCAAGAGAATAATAAGCTCCCGGTAGCTCTTTGCACAAGCAGGATTTAACTATTTTCCAGCAAGCTTCCTCCAGCATTCCCTCCAACCTATCTCTAGCCAATCAACAAAGCTATCCCTCTCTTCTAATCAGTAAGTCTGCGGCAAAGCAGCTGAAGAGCCAGCTGTTTCCAGCCTTCTATGCTGCCACCTCATCGTGACTCCTCACCTGTTCAGTTTACTCTCTTGCTTCTTCTTCTGTTTATCTCTTCCTGTAGCTTCTTCTCTGGCATCTTTACAGCTTCTAATGCCTCAAATCAGAGCCTCCTGGTCATCAGTGACTCATACCTTATCAGGTAAAATTCATAAGCGTTTCTGTTAAGTATGAATCCACCAGTCCTTATAAAATCTTCCCAACATTCTTGGACAGTTATTTGATTTATAATTTTGTCTGTTGTAACTTTTAAAAGTCTGAAAAACAGTACAATGTAGATGAACTAATGGGTCACAATGACCTGAAACCACTTAACTCTAGTCATTACCCTACCTTCAAAGAGGTTCTCTACATACATTCCTCTAAGGCAGGGCTTCTTACACTTTTTCCACTGCATTTTGGAGCATTCATTGGCATTGTGTGGCCTGAGGGCATGCACAGTGCAAAGTGCACATGCTGTGTGTTCAGAACCAAGGCTGCAGGGAAGTTGTGTGATGCAACACATGCAAGCACAGCCAGAAACGCCTTGTGTTCACTGCACGTTTGATTTTGAATTAATTTTTGGCTATTGTGCATTCAGAAACCTTCTACTGTTGCCTTATTTTTTTTTTGATCCCCTATGGGGTCACAACCCACAGTTTAAGAAGTGCTGAATTCTAAGGGGAAGTTCTCCAGCTGCTTCATAGAGCAGTCGGTGTCTCCTCGATGTTTACCTGAGAGGCTGTTTCTTCACAATGGATTTTATCAATTTTCCTTGTATAAAATGTTCTTTCATCGCCATTTTCAGCCACCAAACTGTTCACATACAAAAGGGCAGGACCTTACACACAGATAGTAAATATACAACATGTGCAAAATTATATATAATATATGCAAAATATATAACATATGCAAATATATGTTAAAATAGATAATACATGTAGATATATATAAAAACAATATATATATGTGAAATATAATAAATGTGACAATAATATATGTGAAATATATAAACTATATAATATGGAGATATATGATATGTGTAATATATAATACATGTGAAATATATTAATATATAGATTGGGGCAGCTAAGTGGTCCAGTGAATAGAGCACTGGGCCTAGAGTCAGGAAGACGCAAGTTCAAATTTGACCTTAGATACTTAGTAGCTATGTGACCCTGGGCAAGTCATTTAACCCTGTTTGCCTCTGTTTCCTCATCTGTAAAAATGAGCTGGAGAAGGAAAATGCAAACCACTCCAATATATTTGCCAAGAAACCCCCAAATTGGGTCAGACACAATTGAAACAACTCAACAACAACATACAAAATAAATACAAAGTCATTTGGGGAGAGAGAGCACTAAGAATTGGTAGAATCAGGAAGGGCCTTGTATAAGAAGTGGCATTGGAACTGAGTCGTAGAGGGAATAAGGGATTCCAAGAAGGAGCATTAAGGAGAGAGAGTATTCCAGGCATGGGGAACAGCCTATAAAAATGCACAGAAAGGAATGATGGCATGTTGTGTCTAGCAAATAACAATTGGGCCAATAGGAAAGGATATCTACTTTATGCCTCTGCCATTCCAATGTTCAGAAAGAGTCCCTCTCTCCTGGTGCTCCTACCAAGAGAACCAGGCCATCAGAGTCAGCCTGATGTAGTGGAGAGAGACAACTGACTTCAGCATCAGAAAAGTGGGAATACAGATCTTTGCCCTGACACATGCCTGGTTACTGACTCCGGGCAATCCTGTGACCATAATGGAGAACAGATGCTGACTCACATTGGTAGAAAGAAAGCTTCTTCATGGGAATCTCTATGCCAATGAAATTACAGGTCTGGGATTTTAAAACTGTACTATGTTTCAGGCCCAGTCTGAGTTACATAGGCTTTTTCAATAGAGGCCAGGAAGCCCACCTTCCCTGGATGACATTGTTCCTATGGAAAAAGGTGTTTGAAGTTCCTAACAATTGACTTATAAATGACAGTAGAATGTAAACTTTTAAAAAAATTTTATTAATTTATTTTGATTTATCAACAATCACTTCCATATGCTTTTGAGTTTAAAATATTTCTCCCCCTTCCTCCCCCCCACCCTCCCCAAGATGGCACACAATCTGATATAGGCTTTACATTTACATACCCATGAAACATATTTTCACATTAGTGAAGTTGTAAGTAAAAATTAAAACCAATAGGAGGAACCATCAGAAAGAAGAAACAAAACTTAACAGAAGGTAAAAATAAGTGATAGCGATTCGACTTCCATAGTTCTTTCTTTGGATGTGGACAGCATTTTCCATCCCGAGGCCTCTGGAGATGTCTTAGATCCTTGTAATGCTGCGAAGGGTTCAGTTTAACAATATTAGTCATAGAATGTAAACTTCTTGAGGGCAGGAACTGTTTTGGTTTTGGAAGTGGGGAAAAGGGTTGTCTTTGTATATCCAGTGCCTAGTCCCCTACCTTACACGTGGTGGGTGCTTACTGAATGTTTGTTGAATTGAATTATAAGATTTGACTTGCATGTCCCACTGGCAAGTTGGGGGCTGCCTGCCTGTATTTATCTTAATGGAAAGAGACAACTCCGAAGGGAGAGAGGGCAGGCGTATAGTCATTCTCAAGACATAGTCTGAAAGAAGTAACTAGTATGTGGCTGGTCACAAAGAGCAGTCACATTAGTAGTCATTGTTTGTAAAAAGCCTGTGTGGGAGCTTGATAATAATACTAATTACCCTTGATGTTTTAGTTTTCCAAAGCTTTTAGTGTTTCAAAGCCCTTTCATATTTATAAATTCAATTCAATAAACACTAATTGATCACCTAGTAGGTATAAGGTGTTCTACAAATTCTGTCATTACCATTTACCCAAGATGACTGGAGTTTAGTTAGACACTACAAGTCCTTGGTGATTGGTGGGAAGATATAAAATAGATTAGATAACCTCTGAGGTCCTTTCCAGCTATGAGATGCTGCAATTCTAATAATTCCAGACTCTCCCTGTAGCATCTGCAAATGTACATGTTCTTACCAGGAGAATATTAGCTCCTGGAGGGCAGGGAATGTTCTTATCAACCAAAAAGCATTTATGTGCAGCACCCCCTCTATAGTCATCCCTCAACTCACAATTTAGAACCCTAGAGAGACAACTATTCTTAGGGTTCAAGTGCACACTGCCAGAAATTATGCTCCTTGACAATAGTTCTTCTCATGGGTGACTGTCTCTGTATCCCTTCTGTCTCCAATGTTTATGTCTGTTCCCCACTGGACACAATATCTGCAATGTTGCTTCCTGGCCCAGGAACTCCCCTTCAAAGTTACATGGCCTGGAGAAATTCCCTTTCACATCCCTCCCCCTTCCACAAGCAATTCCCAGCTTGCAATCTCTCCCACTCTCAAATTGCTGAAATTCATCCAGGTCTTAGCTATTTGAAATCCCCAAAGGCATGACTAATTTGTTTGCTCAATCAACTTGTTCCCTTCTTAACTCAATCAGAGCCGTGTTCATACCTCATAAAGGGATCTGAGGGTGTTACAATTTGTTAATACCTTAAAACCTTACGGTGTGTGACTCTATTCTGTTACTACACCAATGGAGGGGAGAGGTTAAGGGAAGGTAAAAATTACACCAACCTCCCTTACATACGAATCACCTACTATGAGACAGGCATTGTTTTAGGTTCTAGGGATTAAATGGTACCTTTCCTCAAGAAACTTGCCTTTTAAAGCAACATGCAATAAATAAGGAGACACAAAATATGTATAAAGTAGTTTCAGAGGGAACAGGGAAGGCCCCAGCAGCTGGAGAGATCAAGAGAAGGCCTCACAGGGAGGTGGAATATATAGTAAGTACTTATTAAATCCTTGTTGAATGAACAGTGAATGAAGAAAAGGGTAGATTATTTTGTACAGACACCTAACTCCTTGACCATAATGTGTCAGTAACTCTGGGGAGTAATGGAAGGAGCCCTGGATTTGGTGTCAGAGGACCTGGGTTCAAATGACAAGTATATAATCACCTAAGTACCTGTAAAATAAAGAGACTGGATGAAGTGCCCTCTAAATACCTTATGGCACCAAATATATGACCCTATGTTCTAAGTCTCTGAAGATATCCATTTGACTCTATTGCTTGTGTTAGCAAAGTGTGACTAGTGACCAAGGAATACCAGCAGAGTGTATTAAACTCTAATCCTAGTTCCTTAGCATTTATCAGAAACACTCCAATGCTGCCACCGGTAGGTGTGAACTTAGTCCAAACCAATTGGAGGGAATGGGCTCAATTCCTTAAGTAAGCAGTATTTCATTCCCTGGCCCATTCAACTCAGATCTCAGATTTGGTTTTTGTCTTCCCTTTGCAGACCCTTGCTACTGGGGAGCCCTCTGATCCCACACTTGTCTCCTCAATCCCTTGGTTCCTGGTTCTAGCAGGCCCTAGGAAGTGTTGGAAGAGTGGAGAAAAAAGAAGATGGAACCCTCTGTGTAGATATACCAGGATGGGGTTAGGGATATAAAGGCATCAGGCCTAGTTTCAGGAAACAAGCTAGCCCTAGCACCTACAAAAAAGCAGCATACCTAACGCCCTTTTCTGAGGTAACAGCTACTACTTGGCATACTTTCTTGCCAGGTCCTGCCCACTGGACAGCAGGTTGATATCTGTTCACTCTCTTTTTTATCTCCCGCCCCACCTCACTATATGCATAAATGCTCCCTCTCTCTCTGATTAATCCTAGAGTAAGTAAAGGTGGGGAAGCTGGGCCATCTCCAGTTGTCCTGATCTATTGGCTGGGCCATTGGACCCAGAAGCTCCAGAGGAGAAAGTGAGGCTGGTGACTTTGCACAGTCCTCCCTCATTTAAATCCAACTCACTTGCATATCATGGCATCACTTCCCTGAAATCATGATCCTCTTCAAGAATGAAGGAGAAACCACAACCGTGCACAAAGGTGGTGAAAAGGGTGCCTAGGTCTTGTTTACACTTTGTGCTTGTGGAGGATAAAGCAGACAGCCTTCTCCTACCCTTTTGGAAGCTGTTTTCTCTTTTTTCCATCAAATTCACTGCTAGCTCCCACAGATCTACAGCCTTCTTCTGTGCTTACCTGATCATCTGTACATCTGACACCTCTTGCCCCCAAGGGCAGTGGGACAGTTACTGAATCAACCAAAAAATATTTATTTGAAATTTTTATTTATTGAATATAATATTTATTGAACATATACACTGTGCCCAGGACTTCTGAATTCAAACCTAATGAGAACTTGCTATCTTCTTTCTAAAACCGAAGTCATGCATTCCTTTGAATTGCCCTGCATCAAAGAGCATTGAGTCCAAACATCTTAGAGAACTTGGGCCTTTCTCTTTTCTTTCTCACAGAGAATGAACATTTAACAGGTGACCTCTCCATCTCTTTTCCTGTAGGAGGCCCACTCAGTGAAAAATTACGTAGAGTCCCTCCAACAAGCACTGGACATCTTCTACAAAGAGGTAAAAGCTGCTGTTTGTTTCCTGTAAGCCCATTTATTTTATTTTATGCATTTAAAAACATTCTTCTTAGAAAGGAACCATAGGCTTTATCAGTTTGCCAAAGGAGTCCACGACCTGACATGAGGAAGTTAAAAGTCCCTGCCCTAAGGCAAGAGGGCCCAGTTATAACAAAGGGTACCTGCGTGTCTCTGTACATAGTAAGCTATGCTCCCATGAGTATTCCCTCACATCATTGAGGAGCTATATGATAGGAAGAGAGAATGCAATGGTCATGTGGTAAAGGTGAAGGATAGCAGGCTGATGGCCAGTGGCTCCACTGGTTCTTTCACAGTGCCAGGGTGAAGTGAGGAAGGCCTCCAGCATATTAAGTGGACCCTCCTTTTTCTCTTCCTTGACCTCCCCACAGCAAACTGCTAGAAGGAAGTAGACAATAATCACCCAAGATGGACAAGCTTGAATGGTTTGCAAATTGCATCATTGGAGGGAACTTCCAAGTCTAGGAGACTGCAAATCCATTTGTGTGTTTGCATTTGTCTTATTACTTGGTAATTTGGATGCAAAAGTGAATATAGGCGATGACATCAAAAAGTATTCTGGGAAATAATGGATCAGGGTCAAGAAACAAAGGAAGCCAAATGCTCGTATTTAATGGATACTTGCTTCAAGAAAAGAATGCCCCCCAAAAAAAAAGGAAAAAAAAGAAATTAACTATATCTTAACATACAGGAAATGACTGGTTACCATTCTAGAAGTTATTTCCAAATCAGCTACCTGTGTACAATCAAGCCATCAATTTGTTAGAGCAAAAATGAAAAGCAAAATCAAAGTAAAGGAAAGTATGTAGTTGAGAAGATGTTGAAACAGCTTTGATCTGGCCTATTCAAATAAGCTATTGCTGCCAAAAATTAGGAAATAGATTAAAAAAAAAAACAGATACGGAGCCAGCATGTTAGTTGATTCAGAAGAAAGAACACTTTTGGTTTGATGTTTGGCTTTGAAGAAAGCACCAACTCAAGAGTCAGAGGTCCTGGGTCAAATCTCACCTCTGACACCTAGCACCTGTGTGACCTTGAACAATTCACTTCAACATTCTGGTCTCAGTTTCCTCATGAAGAGCAGGTTAGACTTGATGGCTTCTGAGATCCCTTCTAGCTCCAGATCCACGATCAATGTAGACCACCACCATTTCCTGAGGAAGTTTAATTGATATAAAGCAAGCACCACAATAAGAATATAAAAGTCCCCAAATCACCTCAGGCAACAAATAATTTTTCTCCTCCAAGTGGAGAGATGTGACAGCAAAGGGCAACACCAATTTGGAGTATAGGGATTGCTACCAAGAGGGATGATTGAAAGAACATTAAAAACTGCCTACTCACAGACCTTCTAAAAAATCTTTATAAATTCCTTTGGTGAATGATTTCCTTTTGTAGAAACAATAATAGTATCTTTAATGAAATCATAACAATGAATAGTCAGGTTTTCTTAAATGATAATCTCTAGGAGACTACCTCTTTACAAATGATGAAAGATATAGAGGATACAAGATCCCACTTATTGTGCTTATTAAGTTCATTGACTGCAAAAATGCATTTGATTTGGCTGACCAAAATTTCACCTTAAAGGTTCTCCTCCAAAAGGCTATCTTCCACTAATGTGTTAGTATCATAGAGGATTCCTTGAAATATGTAACAGAGACCACTTTGTTCAACAATCCACTATTATTAATTACAAATCAGGCATAAAACAAGGAGACACATGCTCATGTAAAGTGTTTGCCACTCTCCTGGCAAAAGTCCAGCATGAAATACAAATTTAATTTTCCTATTTGTAATATTGATTGTATCAAATCCTAAAATGTTTCAGTCTTCTCAATAATTTCTAGAGGAAATATCTGAAAGGGTTCATCCTAGCCATTCACATGGGAAAAATAAAGTGGATGCTCATTGTCTGGACTTTGACATACAGTTGGATGGACAACCAATAGAACTAGTCCTTCAGTATGTGTATCTTGGAAAAACCCTGCAGGTGGACAATGAGCCTTTGTAGGGTAGGAAGATGACAGGTTAGATTACAAATGGGAAATTGTGCAGTCCTTTTGACAACATTGAGCTAATTCCTGAAACAAAAACCCATCTTTGTCAATATCCATATTCTTTCCATGACACTAGATGGCTGCAAATCATGGAATATAACAGTCTCTGAAGAATCAGAATTGTAAGAATGATAAAGGGAATGGGTGGCTAGTGGCCATAAACTGGTTGTAATGTATTACCCACAATGATTTGCACAAGGAGAGGTGTTAAAGAGATCTAGAACAGGGAAGGATGACAAATGGACAGATGACTAGGGCTGGCTACACTGGACCTCTATAGAGGAAAGCCTTCCTTCAGCCCATCAAGAATCCCTACAGAGGACTTATGGAAAGACATGAAAGACAAAAGTTGTGTGAGGTAAGAAAGCATAGCTGAGTTGAGGTCTGTGATACTGGAAGGAGTGGCTACATAGGAGAGATTCTTCTTTTTGTATTCCATGCTGTACATTTGCCAGGACAGTAACAAACACCTTTCACGAGCATGCTTCTCTTTGTTTTACGCCTGACTCGTTATTGATAATCAGCGGATTGTTGAACAAAGTAATCTCTGTTTTAGCAATTCACTGTTGCTGCTGCTGCTACAAGATTTGATATATCTGTAGTCATATCTCATAACCTGACCTGGACCACTCCTCCAAAAGCACCCTAGACTAGGCTTAAATAACATACTAATCCAAGCTACCAGACACCTCCATACAAAAAGCATGAGCTCAGGGCCATGAAATATGAAGAACAGTGATTTGACAGGGAGCATTGGGAAGACTAGGGGGAGCATAGCAAATGACAGATGACTGGAATGAAAGAGGGATGGACAGAGAGATAATAGAACAAATATTTATTAACTACTATGCTAAACATTGGGAGAAGATACAAAATTTAGGTAAAACATATCCCTGCCCTCAAGGAGCTGCAGGGAAATAAGGCATCAATGCAGATAACTGTAATGCACAATATATGATAAATGCACTGAGACCCAAAACAAAGTGCTATGTGAGCTTTGAGGGGAAGATTGTTGCTTATGAGGAAGATTTCCTGATAAAGATTCCAAGAGGTAATCACTAATACCTTAGAGTGAAGTAGCTTCTTTGGGGGTAGAAACTTCTTACTCATTTTTTTTTGGCTAGGCAATTGAGGTCAAGTGATTTGCCCAGAGTCACCCAGCTAGTGAGTGCTATGTGTCTGAGGCCGAATTTGAACTCAGGTCCTCCTGACTCCAGGGCTGGTGCTCTATCCACTGCCCCTGTCTTACTCATCTTTGCGTCCACTGAGAGAACTAGGACAATGACTCACATAGTACGCATTTAGTGCTATTTTTATTGGTTTGGAGGAGAAGAAGAAAGAGATCAATAGGCAAAGAGGAAAAGGGAGGGCACTTCATGCATCAGGCATAGCACAGGCAAAGGCAGAGAAGAGTTCCACACACAGCTCACATTACAGACTATAAAAGAAGGACTATGGAGATGCAGTTAGTTTCACACATGTTCAGAGTAATAGATACCAAAAGGTATAGTACAAAGCCAGTAGAGCCCACAAGGAAGAGCTCACTCACTGAAATTAAGAGAGGAGTTGGGTAGAAGATACTCAGAAAGCACTTTGTGCCATGACTAAGACACTAAGAAGTAAGGAAATTTAGACAGAATGACCTAATATTATGAGTAATTCAATTTCAGTGATGATGATGATGATAATGATGATGATGATGATGATGATGATATATGAACATAAGCAATTTTATAAGAGTAAAACTAATAAGCGTTCAACTATTCTAAATAGTCACTCCAAATTATCTTCCATTCTTTAAAAGTGTTGGTACATGCATATGTTGCACGTGATTGTTAAGTTATTTCCTTGGAATTTATCCTCAAAAATCATTATCAACTTAAAGAACATAAATAGTTTTACAACTCTTGTTACCCATTGCTAGGTTATCCTCCAGAAAGACTCATTTTTCCCCTTTTTTTCTTTTATTAATTTATTTTTAGTTTTCAACATTCACTTCCATAAGCTTTTGAGTTTTAAATTTTCTCCCCCTGTCTCCCTGCCTCCCTCCCCAAGATGGCATGCAATCTGACATAGGCTCTACGTATACATTCCTATTAAATGTGTATTCACCTTAGTCATGTTGTAAAAAAGAATTAGAACTAGAAGGAAGAAGAAACAAAACAAAACAGAAGAGGAAAAAAAGAGCAAATAGTATACTTCATTCTGCATTCCAACTCCATAGTTCTTTCTCTAGATGTGGATAGCATTTTACAGCATGAGACTTGGAGATATCTTAGATCCTAGCATTGCTGAAAAGAGCTAAGTCTATCGAAGTTAGTCATCACACAATGTGGCTGTTACTGTGTACAATGTTCTCCTGGTTCTGCTCACTTCACCTGCCAACAATCCATACAAGTCAGAAAGACTCAATTTTTAATGCTACCAAAAAAGTATCTCTTCCACATGGTCCCACCAATTTTACATTTCACCATTTTAATTTCGTTTTACTATAAAAGAAATATGAGATGGGCAGATCTAGAGAAATCTCCATCCCAAATGTTGAAATGGACTATTGGTGCCCGATCTGTGATAGAGCCTTCTGAGATCACATTGGTCTGATCAGCCACAGTCAAACACACAGTACCTTGACCTCAACATCATGATGTCATTTGATCTTCTTCGAGTACAAAGGATACACTGTTAACATCTACTGTAATAGGTAGATGCAATATCTTAAAACTCCCAATATGTGCATTTTTTTTTTATTGCAAGAGAAATTGCATTTTTTCCAGTGTACTGATTGACTGTCATTATTCCCTGGTATGTAACTTGTCTCTTCATCTATTTTGACTTCTTACTGCCTCCATAGAATTAAACGTCAATCCACCTCATGTAGTCAGAGTCTTGAGTCCCCATAAAATAGTTGATCCCTTTTGTTTATGCTCCACTCTTTTAATGCCAATCTTTCATCCCCTCAACACATATACATCTGAACCCTGGAGTCCCCCCAACCCAGTAGAATGTAAGCTCCCTGAGAGGCATTATTGTTTCATTCTTTGTCTTGTATCCCTGGTGCCTAGCACAGTACCTGGCACATAGAAGGTACTTAATAAAGTTGAATTGAATCCTAACTACTAATTCCCTATTTGCACATGGAACCTCTCCTCAACTTTGGTAGAGATGTTTTTCATAGAAGGAGAATATTTACTGCCCTAGTATCTACTGATCTAAATAGTTCCCTGACCATCCTAGGCTCAAGGGATATGATGAAACAATTCAAAGAAATAATCCCACTCTTCCACTGTGACTCATTTGTTTTGAGTGAACTAGTTACTTTTTACGTGGGAAAAAAACCTATGAGTCAGCTACAAATCCCTAAAATCAGCTTTATGGGCCTACAAGGGACCTAATTTTGTCAGCTGATTTGCCATGAACTTCAAGGCTTGAAACCCAGTTTTCCAAATTAAATGGCTGGGCTCAGTGACCTACTTCAAGGACCCCCTGCAGAAGAGCCCCACATACAAGGCTAGTCTTGGCCCTTGTCAAGTAGGTGGTGATTATCTTCTGGTCCTTTCCATCTCCAGTTTCAGCATCCTTCAACTTGAACTGTTCTTTCTCCTAGACAGTGCCCCAACTCTGGACCTATCTTTCCACCCTATTTAAATTGACCAGTCATATACCAGTCATTCAACACAGGGCTGTACTAAAATAGAGAGCTAATAAAACAATTCAAAATAAAGGACACAAACTCTTGAGACCTAGCATAATAAGGGTTGTTTGCATATGTGAATTATGAGCTCAGAAATCTACCCTCTAATAGGAAAATGTTAATCATCAATGATGACAGAAGATATGGGTGAGGTGGAAAGGGAGATGTTTCCAGGCATCCATCACATCATTATGTATGCCTGTATAGTTGGCCTTGCGTACATTCCAGTTAATAGTCATCCTTCTAAATCCATTTCAACTGTAATCAAATGCCACCCCAACCACCACCTCCATCTTAGTGGATTCCTAAGGAATAGAACAGAGCATGAAACTTGTGCCCTCCTGTCTTTCTTCTAGCCTGCTTATCACATTGGCCCAGCCAACACTGCTTTAAGCTGCTCCTTAGAAAAGCTCACTGCTGGGGGCAGCTAGATGGTGCAGTGGATAGAGCACTGGCCCTGAATTCAGGAGGACCTGAGTTCAAATCCAGCCTCAGACACATAACACTTCCTAATTGTGTGACCCTTGGCAAGTCATTTAACCCTGCTGCCTAGCCAAAAAGAAAAGCTCACTGTTTTTTTTCTACAGAAAGCACCTTCTTGTTATTTTCATGTAATTTCTAAATCAGATATGTAGGCCCATCTCATTTTTAGAATATGTGACTTTTTTCCAGCTGAATTTTCCATGTCCAGCAGAAAACAGTGATGATATTCTTACTTTATTTGCCAAGATTAATTTGAGAAGGTGCTTTTGAAGTCATGGACAGTGAGCTAGCTACAATTCCACAGGTCAGTAGAGGATAGTTGAGGGATTTTTGCCTTGTTTTAATAGGAAAACCAACACCCCTAAAAACAAGTCATCCAAATTATTTTATTTAATGAAACAACAATCTTGCATATTCTATCTATTTTCCTCAACAGAAAACCATGACACCATGGAAAAAGGACTGATTCTGGAATCAGAGGGATCTGGGTTCAGATCCTGTGTCTGACACAACCTATGTGACCTTAGGCAAATCACTTAACCTCCATAGACTTCAGTATCTTCATCTGTAAATTGAGGGGGTTGCTGGTCAGGAGAGTGATTATAATCCCAGCTACTGGAAGGCCGAGGCTAGAGGCTTGCCTGTACATTCAGGAGTTATGAGCTATGGTGGGCTAAGCTAGTTTGGTGTCTGCACTCATTCTGTTACCAACATGGTAAACCCCTTGGAGTTGGGGTCCACCAAGCTGCCTAAGGAGGGACAAATCACCCCAAGTTAGAAATAGAACAGATCAAAGTTCCTCAATAGTGGGATTGGGCTTGTAAGTGGCCACTGTACTTTCAGACTGGGCAAGATAAGGAAAATCAGTCTCAAAAACAAATTAAATTAAATTTTTAGAAGTGAGGAGATTGGACTAAAGTAAAGAGCTTCTGAGGTCCCTTCAAACTCTAGCCCTGTGATCCCATGATTCTCTGTATGGTCAGCATGTTGAAATGGATGGAAGGCTGGACTTGAGGTCAAGAAGATCTAGGTTCAAATCCTCCCTCTGACACTTAACTGTATGATAATGGTCAAGTCACTTAACCATGAGCTTTCATTTTCTCATCTATAAATTATCAACAACAACAATAATAATATCTGTAGTATCTACCTCATTAGGTTGCTGTGAGGCTCAAATTTTTAAAATGCATGAGAAACATTTGGCCAATGTGAAAGCAAGATCTGTGTGTCAGCTAGCACAAAATTAGTTATGGATTTTTTTGGTGTGTTTTAACTATTTAGTCATAGAAGGGGATTTTAAAAATACTTCCTTCAGCCAAATCAACATGAACTATTTAAAATATTGGGTTTTGCAAGTGACTCAATCTTCACCTCCCTCTTCCTTTTTAAAAGTTACATGAATATGTTATTTCAAATATTATATGAATAGAAATAGACTCAATGTTAGGTAGTGAAAATAGTCCTGGATCCAGAGTCAGAAGACTGCTTTGAGTCCGACTCTGCCATTTCCCAATCCATTGATCAGCAAGCTTTTACTAAATATCTACTGTGTCCCAAATGGTGTGGGAAGCATACGAGAGTCAAAGACAGAAAGGACAAAAGTCCTTTGCCTTAAAGAGCTTATGTTATGTTAGGGGGACAACATATTACACATGAGCAAATACTGGATATGGGTGAAATAAATCCACAGTGATAGTGGAGGGGCATGAACAACTATGGGAAAAGCCCCTGGAAGAAGATAGAATTTGAAGGAATCTAGAGGTTCCAAGAGACAGAAACTCAAAGGTAAGAGATGGAATGCTGCAATCAGCCTTGCAAAGATAGACTGTAGTCATACGGGGAAGGGCTTCAAATGATCAACACAGAAGCTTGTATTTTAACCTAAAGACAATGAGGAAACATTTAAATTTCTTAAGCAGAAGGTAACACGGTAAGAACTGTGTTAGAAGACTATCTTGGAAGGTGTGGGAGGTGGATGAGTTATGGAAGAGACTAGCCATGTGATTGTGGGTAAATTATGGAAATACTGTGAATCTTGGTTCCCTTATCTAGAAAGTAGGGATAATGCTAATTGTACTGCCTGCCTCACTAGGGTGTTATAAGAAAAATACCTTGTATATTATAAAATACTATGTAAATGTGAGCTATTATTATTATTAGACTTTATTTCATGAATAGTTGTGTCTTTATACAGAGGGGTGTTTTGCTGCTATTGAAAAATAACTATTTAATAATCTCATTTAAAATGTTTTAAATCAGTATTTTCATTTTCTTTGAAAAATTAATTTTTTTAAAACCAAACATCCCTATAGTCGCTATTCTGCCTCCCATTAAAATTAAAAAGAGCACCTAACTTGGAGTCCAGCAACCCTTTTGGCAGGAACTAACTTTGTGACTTTGAGCCTTAGTTTCTTCATCTGTAACATGAAGGGTTTTACTAAATGACCTCTAAGATTCCTTCAGCTCTAAATCTGATTCCATGATCTCCAAGGTCCTTTTCAGTTCTCAAATTCTGTGATTCCATAAGATTCTTTCCCCATTCCTCTTGCTATTCTTGGAGAATCAACAAAGTCCATTCTTGTACCTCCTACAGCTGCCTCGAACCTTCATTAACGTGGTACAAATTATGGAGCTGGTTGGTCTACGTCAGATAAAAGGGGAAAAATGTGAAGTGACGACTGAGTAAGTGGCCAAATATACCTTCAGCAAGTCCCTAAACTAGTAGAATTCAGGGGAAAGTGAGACCAGAAACCACCTGGGGAGGAATGTGGTAGAAATCAGCACTTTTTCATGGTGGAGATGTCAGCCTGTTAAGTGAGACTGAGCCAGGCTGGGGACCAGCTAACCTGGACTTGGGTTTGGTGGAACTCTTTATCTCAAGGCTTCTTACTCCACAGATTCGTTTGCCCTTGCTTTGGATATTCCCTGGATGATTCTGAATTGCAAGAAATGCAGAACATTAATAGACAATTCCAGGTAAGCTTCCAAACTTTTCTTTCATTGTTTTTTCCCTTTTCCCTGTCCCAGGAATGAGTAGTTCCTTAATCATATAAGAAAGACCCAAGTTATCTGTCCAAGAAATGTTTTTGAGAGCAGGCCCATTCTCAAGGCAGCATGAAAGGATAAGTGCTGGGTCTGCAGTCAGGGAACTCGGTGAGAATTCTAGGACAGCTCTTTGCTAGTCCTGTGAGATTCTGAGCAAGTGACTTAGCCTCTCTGGGTCTCTTTCCCATCTAATGTAAAGTGAAGAGGTTGGACTAGAACAGGGATAGGGAACCTGAGGCCTTGAGGCCCCATGTGGCCCTCTAGGTCCTCTGAGTATGGCCCTTTGACTGAATCCAAACTTCACAGAATAAATCCCCTTAATAAAAGGATTTGTTCTTAAAACTTGGACTCAGTCAAAAGGCCACATCCAAGGATGTAGAAGGCCACATGTGACCTCGAGGCTTCAGGTTCCCCACCCCTGAACTAGAAGATCTCCAAGGTTCTTTTCAGCTCTGAAACTTTGATTCTAGCAAAGGTGAGGACTGGCCAATGATACTACACGTATGTCCCTACACCCATCAGGTGAAACCTGGTTGAAGTGGCAGATTTAAAAGGTAATCATACTCCCCTTTTCAATCGTTGCTCTCCCGACCTAAATAATTAATTAATTGAAGATCTTCCTAGGTACTTGGTATATAATTTGTATATGTTGCAAAGGAAAGTAGCAGGGTACAGTGAAGGGAGCCTGCCTCTGAGTTAGGAACCCCTGGTTCAGGCCCCACCTTTGACAGATACATACATACTGGCAGTGAACTCTCCAGGGCTTCCTCCCGGAGGAACAGCAGTTGCTACTATGCATCAGCAGAGGGAGTTTCCTCCCTGGGGAGTAGTTACCTACACCAATGGATCGCATGTCTGGAACAAATATATGTGTATGTATGTATGTGTTAATTGTTAATTATGTTATAATTAGATACTATATTAGTAATTAAATATAATATATCTATGTTGACATAATATGTGCATATATAACATTATTATTACATATACATATGTATTCATATGCTTATCTGTTTACATGTTTTTTCTCCAGTGGAATATAAGCTCCTTTGAGGGCAAAGACTTTTTTCATATTTATCTTTGTAAACCCAGCATTTAAAGTGTTGAACTCGGAGACAGGAAGATTTGAGTTCAAATGCTGCCTCAGATACTTACCAACTGTGTGACGCTGGGAAAGTCACTTAACCTCTCTCAGGCTCAGGTTCCTCATCTGTAAAATGGGGATAATAATAAGAACCTACCTCACAAAGATTTTGTGAAGATCAAATGACACAATACAGATGCCCAACAGGCCGCTGCCAAGTATGGCCAGAATGAGATTAAAATGTAATTGGGAAATATTTAACAAAGTGAATGAAAATATAATTAAACATAGATAATGTTACTATGTCAATATGTAGCCCACAGGGATCTTTATATATGGTTTAGTGGGCCCTGTTTCATCTGAGTTGGACACCACTGATGTAACGTATAGAGAGAATTTTGCAAACCTTAAACACTATTTAAATGTTAGCCTTTATGATGAAGATGGCTATGGAATGGATGGAATGGATGGAAAGAGAAGACACAAAGATGTCATGGAAAGATACATATAGCCTGAAAAGTGTGCAGGGGAAATGGTAGAGGTAGCCAGCCTATCTCTATCTCTCACTCCCTTTTCTTGTTTATTGACTTAATAGAAGTCTCAGGTACTTGGGGCACCAGTGCCTGCCTATAGCTCCAGCCCAGACTTACTCCCCTCCAAGCATAGAGGCCAATAATGGTCCTGATGGAGTGAATAACATTATTTACCAGCATAAACCCAGGATGATACACTAGTTAAATCTCTATCTCAGCACCCCCTACCCCATGGTTCACTCTCACTCACAGACGTAGGCAAGAAATAGATATTTATGATACTGCTAGTCCCTGGGCTTTTTTTTTTAAATTTTTATTTATTATTTTGAACTTACCAAATATTAGCAAAGGCCAACATTTCAGTATATCAGTAGAAAAGTGTATTTGAAACCATGAACTTCTATGATGTACAGTTTTAAAATTTTACATTAACTTTAACATGCTAGAACAAATCCTGCCTTGGTTGTCTATGCCCCCTTCTAAACTTCCTTCTGCTCTTTTGTGCATTTTATTTTATTTTAATTTTTAGGCAATTGGGGTTAAGTGACTTGCCCAGGGTCACACAGCTAGTAAGTATCCAGTGTTTGGTCTGAGGCCAGATTTGAACTCAGGTCTTCCTGACTTCAGGGCTGGTGCCCTAACTGCTGCACCACCTAGCTGCCCCCACTTTTGTGTATTTTAAAGTGTTTCCTTGATGTACTTTTCTTACATCACTCTTACTATCCCACAACTCCCCTCCTTTCAAATAAAAGATCTCTTGTGACCAATAAATATGAAACAAAATAAAAAATCAATAAATTGACTATGTCTATAAATATACGTCTTTTACTACACCTCTAGTCCATCACCTCTCTGTGAAGATATTGGATGGGGGGACGGCGGAATGTTTCATCCCTAAAATGTCTTTCAAAGTTGTTTTCTTTTACATTATTGTGATCATCATGTAAATTGTTTCCCCAGTTCTGCTCACTTCACTCCATGAATTCATTGAAGTCTTCTAAGGTTGCTTTGAATCTGTTAGATTCATTTTTTTTTGTGTGAGGCAATTGGGGTTAAGTGACTTGCCCAGAGTCACACAGCTAGTGAGTGTTACGTGTCTGAGGCCGCATTTGAACTCAGGTCCTCCTGGCTCCAGGGCCAGTGTTCTGTTCACTGCGCCACCTTGCTGCCCCTAGATTCATTATTTCTAACAGTGAATAACAACAACTGCAACGATAAGAGACAGCATTTACATAGCACTTTAAGGTTTACAAAGCAATTTACATATGTTATTTTATTTTGTCCTCAAAACCACTTTCTAAGGCAGATGCCATTGTTATCTCCATTTTACAGATGAGATTGACAGAGGTTAAATGACTTGCTCACAGTCACAGCTAGTAAACCATCTGAGACAGGATTTAAATTTGTTCAGGCACTCTTCAATTGATGAATACGCCCACCCCAGTTCCAATTATTTGCTGCAGTACAGCGTACACTACCATGAATATTTGTGTGCATTTTCCCTCTCTTTTTTGACATCTTTGAATATATGCCTAGCAGTGGCATTGCTTGATCAAAGAGTATGTATGTTTTAGGGGTATAGCTACAACTTAAGCAGCATTTGAACTCAGATCTTTCTGTCTCCAAGTTCAGTACTTTAAATGTTGGGTTTACAAAGATAAATAAGAAAAACAAAAGATATCAATATAATTCTATCTTTTAAAAAAGATCAAGGGTCACCATGTACACACACAACCAGGTCAGCTCTACAGACCCAGCTTTACAGAGGATTTATGGGATGGAAACCACAGCCCTTCTGCCCTTGAATACTACCCTTGCCCTTACTTGCCAAGGGTACGTTGATAGTTCCTTCAGTTAGCAAGCATTTCTTCAGTACTGTACCTGCTGTATGCCAGACTCTGTACTTAGCACTGAGGATGCAATTCAAAAAGTCTGACCAGTGCCTGCCCTCAAGGAGCTTACATTCTACTAGAGGAAAGTAACAAATCACAGATAAATAAATGCCCCCACAAAAAAATACACTGGTGGGGGGAAGGTGGGGGCACTCACAGCAAGGAGAATTAGGAAAGGCTCCTGGTAGGAGGTAGTACTCCAGCTGAGCCTTGAAAGAAGCTAAGTGGGGTGGGCAGCTATGTGGCACAGTGGATAGAGTACCAGACCTGGATTCAGGAGGGCCTGAGTTCAAATCTGGTCTCAGACACATAACACTTACTAGCTGTGTGACTATGGGCAAGTCACTTAACCCCATTGTCTAGCCAAGCCAAGAAAGAAAGAAAGAAAGAAAGAAAGAAAGAAAGAAAGAAAGAAAGAAAGAAAGAAAGAAAGAAAGAAAGAAAGAAAGAAAGAAAGAAAGAAACTAAGGGTTCCTAGAGGTGGAAATGAGGAGGAAGAGTATTCCAGGCACAAGCAGCAGCCCAATCCAAGTTTGGCAGTAACAGAACCTCTGACCAATCAGCTATTAGCAAGCAGAGCTCCCAAATGATTGGCAGTGGACTTCAGGAAGATTCAGGGTGGCACAAAAGGTAAACTGACATCTGGGGCCTCTTTCCTCCACTCCCAGAGCGGCAGCTCAATGATCGCCTACAGCCAACGATACATGGAGCGGGAGGACTTTGCTGTGGTGGTGCAGCCATTCTTTCAAAACACTATGGTCCCATTTGATGATGTAAGTTTGGGGCTTTTCCAGGGTGGAAGGAGGTAACTCTGTTCAGATGCATTATGTCACATGGGACTCTTTGTTCTCCAAGAGTCCCCTCCTGACTGTGAAATTAGACATGAGTACAGCTTTTTCTGAATTGACCTCCCCAAGCCTCTCTGCAAAGTTGGACATGATGATGGCAGGGAGCGGGTGCAAGGGAAATCTTTAGGGGAGGAGCTACCTAGCCAAACTCTTAGTGGTTATTGGTTTGAGTTAGACTTAAACCATTACCTAAATGGTTGGTCCCTCTCCAGGTAAAAGTGTAGAAGAAGAGGAAGGAAGGACCCAAGTGGTATGCAGATGGTCAGCATTCAGACCAATGTATTAAAAGAAAAACTTCGAAAACCCACATTTATTCTGCTTTATCTAAGTTGCTTTATCTAAGCATAAGTGGGTTGATGGTTAAATTGGTTGGCAGGTCTTCCTTAGCTTCAAAGCTTGGACAGGTGAATAGGATAAATGCCCATTTCACCTTCAAGTGTAGAGACTTCTTTCTTTCCTGGAAGATAATTCCATTGTGTTTGCTCACAGAAAGGAAAGCCAGACCTGAGCTTCTTCTCTGTGGATTGTTTCCACTTCTCTGAGAGGGGACATGCAGAGATGGCCATCGCCCTCTGGAACAACATGGTAAGTGATGGCGGGGAAGGGGGGGCAATGGTTCAGCTTTACCGTGAACAGCTCCATGTTGAGAATGCTTTCCAGTGCCACAACACTCCCTCTCCGCTCTGGGCAGCTATGGTGATGGTGGGGGGAGCCTTTCTTTCCAAAAGCTTAATTTGATTGTAGAGCTAAGCCTATTTGTCCTCAAAGGTTTGTTTATTTAAAATAGCTCCATATTGGCAGCAGAGGCATCTGGGAAGTATAGTTTTCCCAGGTAGAAGGAGTCACTGAAGGATGGAGCTTCTGGAAGGCAGGAAACTTTGGAGCTTGGAAGAAATGGAGAGGCCCCAGGGCTTCTCCTTCCCACAAGACTCCTTCATTTTATGATCTTTCAGTCTCTATTACCACCTGGGAAAACTACATGTCCCAAGAGCCCCTGCTTCTAATATAGGGCTACAATGCACATGTGGCCCAGGTCTACCTTTCTACAAGGCAAGCCTGAACGTATCCCTAGTAAGATCAATTACTTTCCATTCTTTCTTTAAACATCCACATTTCAAAACAGCTGAACAAAAGCAGCAAGTTTCCAAGTCCACTCCCTTCTTCCTTTATTTTTCTTCTTACCTTTCTCCTTTAAAAAATTCTCGTTTGATTCCCTTTAATCCCCTTACTTACCCTCAGCAATCTCTTTTGTTGGCATAGATATGAAAGTAGAGATCCACCTTCTCCCTATTACATCATAACATTGTGGCTTCTACTGGGCTCTTCTTAATTCTTTCACCTTCTACTGAGGAGATTGGGGGAGAAAAAAGGAAAGTATTATAAATCACAGAATATATGTATACAGGACTCTCATATTCTTTTCATCTTATAGAATTTTGTATTTTTTTGTATTTAGTCTAATTTATATTATCATTATTTTGTACATATCTTTTCATCTTTGTTAGATTATAAACGCTTTGAGGACAGGGATCATTTTTTAAAAATATTTTATATCCTTCGTAGTGTAGTATAGTAGATAGAATATTAGTCTTAGAATCAGGAAGATCTAGGTTTATATTTCACTTCTGACTACCTCATAAACTATATAACCATGAGCAAGTCACCATTTCTCTGAGTCTCAAGTATCATCGACTCTAAAATGGGGATAATATTTCTGGCATTTAAAGCTTTTTTTTTTGGCCTTACTTAATATCCCTAGCATTTAATAACTGTTCTTATATAACTAACTCTTCATAATCTGACTCCTATATTTCCATTCTTATTCTTTACTCCCCTGCATGCACACTGTGGTGTAGTCAAACTGGCCTTGTTGCTGTTCTTCTAACAGTGTTTTCCTTGTCTTGATGTTGGCCAATCTACATGCTGTGAAAATACTCTCCACCTCTTGGAATCTCCTATTTCCTTCAAGTTTCAGGGAACCTTTCCTGAGCCCCCTAGCTGCTTGTGACTATTTATCTGAGATTATTTTGGGTGTGTGTATGTGTGTGTGTGTGTGTGTGTGTGTGTGTGTGTGTATGTATATATGTATATATATGTATGTGTATATGTAAATATATATGTATGTGTGTATGTATGTATATGTGTGTATATGTATATACGTATAAATCTTGTGTCTGTATATTATCTAGCCCATGAAAGCTCTGAGGAGCCCTATATCAACTCCCATTGCCACTGACAAATCAAGTTCCTAGAATTGGTTTGGGTTCTAGGTTCATACCCCAGAAGAGAGATTCTCTACTGTCATTGACTAAAGCCCACATTCCTGTGTGCTTTCCCTTCCCCCAAATATTACCAGTTGAGAATCACTTAGTCACCCCTCCTTAAGTAGAGTTTAGAGAAAGGCATTTACTAATTTACAATACAAAAAAAAATTAAGAAAAAATATTTAATCTACAAACTACTGGGTCTATGAATATAAACTATCTGCAGCAAGTACACACAGAGTGCATGGAAAAGTAGGTTCAAGCTTAGAGACCATGTGGCAAAAGGATGACTCACCACACCTTGCTGCTGGAAATCCTTTTCTCCCATTCATGGAGTACTTGGGAATTTCTCTGTAAGTGTAATAAATTTTTGACCATCAGTCCTTGGCTCCCTGTGCAGACACTGCCACCCACTGATTTCAGCATGAGGCTAGAAAGATGGGAAATCCAGAATCTTGTGTGCTCTTTGAAGTTTACATGGTCTATCCCTGCCTGAAACCAAAGCCTCTCCTCCCCAAGTGGTTCCCTCTCCAGAGATGTGCTGGAAAGCCACACTTGCTCCAATCTCTGGAAATCCTCCTTTCTCAACTTGGTTGATAATTTATAGATGATACCTGGAGTATGGCCAAGTTTTCTTGGCCAATCCAAACACAATTTTTGTGTAATCCATTCCAGTTGACTTGATTTAAGTCTATGATTGATCGATTGAGACTTGTCATCTAGTGAAGATAGCAACACTAAAATTCAGTGAGGTAGTTTCAACCCCACCCTTGCACTCTCCCTCCAGTTTTAATATTTGCTGTCCTCAGCAAATCTACTGGAATGTGTTTGGCAAAGATTAAATCTTGGCTATCTTTTTAGTGATTTGGGGATACTCAGCTTGCTTTTGGATACCTTCCACAAAGGGGGCCATTTCCAGTCGTCCTGATCTATATCTTGCCACTGGACCCAGATGGCTCCAGAGGAAAAAGTGAGGCCGGTGACTTTGCACTGCCCTCCTTCCCTCACTTTCCTGATGTCATGGTCCTCTTCGAGAACAAAGGACAAGCAGTAGCAACACCACCTTCCCCAGAGCCTTATCACTAAGACATCTTGGGAAAAGTCTGCATGGTAAGGTTCATAACCAAATCCAGTAATTAATATTTCCCCAGACTTCCAAATACATAATGATATAATTAAACAAACCTTTACAAAGTTCTAATAGGCTACCACCTGTATTGTTGCTTGCAAAAAGGCCCTTCCCCAATCCCAAACAATAAAGAAAAGGAAAAGAAAAATGTCTCCCCTCTTAAAGAGAAGAGCAGCCAGATAGTAGATAGATTGTGAGGTTTGGAGTCCGGAAGACTACTCTTCATGAGTTTGAATCCAGCCTTAGACACTTACTAGCTGTGTGACCCTAGACAAGTCCCTTTGCCTCAGTTTCCTTATCTGTAAAATGAACTGGAGAAGGAAATGGCAAGCCACTCCAGTATCTTTGCCAAGAAAACCCCAAACAGGGTCATGAAGAGTTGGAAATGACTGAAACAACTGAACAACAAACTCAGAGAGAAAGCCTGATCTCTTACATATCACAAAATTGTTAGCATATAGATCAAAATTGATACCAAGTAAAAATATGAAATAGTAGAGATTATTTCTCTATAGACACTATTTCTCTATAGAGAAATAGAATGAGATTATTCCAACCTGACCAATTTAAACAAGCCATCGCCACCAAAAAATGGGAAGTGAATAAAAGAATAAATATTGACACAGACTATCGCTGTGTCCCAGGAGATTTTTAGCAGATAATAAATCAATCACCACAGGGAGGAGATCAAAATAACCTAGAAACTGCCATAGTCAACAAACATTTATCTCTCTGCCAACCAAAAATACGTGACAGCCAAAGGCAACATGTGCTTAGAATATAGACTCACTTGTTTATAATTATTAATATCAAGAAAGGCATAAAACAATGAGACACATGCCCAGTAGAGATGTCTGTCACTGTCATGAAAACTACCCAGCGCAAAGTACAGATTGAAGAACTTCCTTATAGATGGTGATGTCCTACATATGATCTTGTTTACAGGTAAAAATTCTGATTGCAGCAAATCCTAGAACATTGCAGAGTCTACTAAATGAGATTTATAATCACTCAAAAGAGTCTATTCCAAGAAAAACTAAGTGGATGAAGAATACCTATTGTCCATACCATACCAGTAGGATTGATAATTCATATCTCTAATCCATATATATGTAATATTGATCATAATTAGTATGATATTTGATAATAATAGTTAACATTTACATAGCACTTACTACGTGTCAGGCACTATGCTGAGCACTTTACAATTATTATCTCATTTGATTGTCACAACATTTGGTCCTCCTTTATTTTCCCTGTTTTTTTAGATGAAGAAACTGAATCAAATAGAAGCTAAGTGACTTGTTCAGCATCACATAGCTAATAAGCATCTAAGGACAGATTTGAACTCAGTTCTTTATGACTTTAGGTCTGGTGCTTTATCTATTGCTCCACCTAGCTGCCCCAGATATATGTATATGTACAGATACAGATATAGATCCAGATATGGATATATATATATATAACATGTATAGAGGGAGATACACAATACATATACGTATATATATATACATATATGTATATTATATGGGTGTATATTAGATAGATACTGTGCATGAACTAGAACCAGAACTGAATCAAAAGAAAAGAGTAGGATGGATTACCTTTGGGAAATTGCATAGTACTTTTAATGACCTCAAGATTCTCCCTAAAACAAAGGCCCATCTTTTTGACATCAACAGCCAATGTTGTTACATATCTACATATGGAATACATATCATATCATGGTTACATATCATGGAATATCCTTAACACTGAAAAATTAAAGTTGTGAGTCACCCAAACAACAATGAAGAAAAAGGTGCGTGGTAGATGTGGGCAAGCTGAATCATGTTCCCAAGGAGGAGTTGGGCAGGGAAAGTGGTATAAAGGATATTGTCAGAGAAGTATATAACCAGAAATTGAGGTTGGCCGTTCCTGCAATGAAAGCAAGGGACAACTGATGGATAACCATCATGCTTCATTTGTGTTCACACAATTTTAAGAGGTATAGTGGAAGGCCTCTTAGCACATCAGGTGACCCCCTTCTCCTCCCAGGGCAGACTGACAGGAGAACATGTTTCAGTCATACAAGATGAGACAATATGAATGCACTGTGACCAGTACCACTGAAGGGAATACCCATACTGATGAGATTTTGTATTTCTCCAAGTATTGAAAAGTGCCTTGAGCCTAGCAAAGTGAATTGCATA